CTTCTGATCAGGTGGTCAATGTCCTCCTGTGGTATCTCATTCCAGGCAACCACCAACTCCTCTCGAAGTGCTTCTAGAGTCTGAGGAGGACGTTGCAAATTGAGCAATCTCCTACCCATCATATCCCACACGTGCTCAATTGGCGATAAGTCGGGAGATCTTGGTGGCCATGGTAACAATGTGACATCATTATGTTGAAAGAAGTCTATTGTGACTCTTGCAACATGTGGTCGGGCATTATCTTGTTGGAAAGTTGGATCTGCCAGGCTGTCAAGATAGGGTAAAAGATGGGGTTCTAGAACTTCGTGGATATAACGCTGCGCGTTCATGTTACGTCTGATGAAGATTAAAGGTGACCTGGAACCATAAGCTATAGCACCCCGAACCATAACTCCAACAGTGTGATGAACATGTCTTTCAACAAAAAACTGTGGATTCCTCCTTTCACCACGTCGCCTTCTAACCCTGGCACGACCATCGTGCATGCCTAAACAAAATCGAGACTCGTCACTAAAGACAATACTGTTCCATTCTGATCCCAGAGTGACCGTTGTCTGCACCACTCAAGGCGCTTACGTCGGTGTTCTCGAGTTAAAGGGAGGACCCAGTGTGGCCGGTATGAAAACAAGCCAAAACTTCTCATTCGTCGGTAAACACTTCGCATGCCAATAGGTCTTCCGTGTTCTGCAAACCATTCATTTGCAATGGACCTGATAGTGGAGAAACGGTCCCTTAAGGCCAATAATCTTAGGCGGCGATCTTCACGGTCTGTTGTTCTACGGCGGCGTCCAGTGTCCCTTGCTCTTTGCGTACGGCCTTCTCGAAGCCATGCCTGACAACACCTAACCACAGTGTCTACACTTCTTTGCACTCTAACTGCAATTGCCCGAAAAGAAAGTCCAGCTTCCCGAAGTCCCACTATACGACCGCTATCAAACTCACTAAGTTGACGAAATCGTACAGGTCTCCGTACTCTAGGCATCGTAACCGATCGTAAAGGATGTCAAGAACCAAAATCCGCCAACGTTGATTCTTTACTGCGGCTGAAATATTCATTTTTTGAGCGTTAGTGAATTAAAAAAAAGCAGTATAAAAACCGGAATGTCCAACTGATAGGCTGAAAATTTTTTCACTTGTTATTTACAGTGAGATAAATACATTCACCAACTTTTATTAAAATAAAACCATTTAAACTGGGTGTTCGGATTTATATGTCACTTAGTATAGAAGTTAAAGAAATAGTTAAAAACGATCGCCGAATCATAATCAGAGAAGTCGTTGATGATGTTGGCATATCGACTGGCTCATGTTATGAAATTCATTCGAATGTTTTTGGTATGAAACACGTGGCAGCAAACTTTGTTCCAAAAATTGCTGAATTTTGAATAAAAACGGCGGCGAATGAAAGTTACTCATGAGTCACTAAATGAAGTCAAATACGATGCAGAATTACTGAAACGTGTTATAACAGGTGACGAAACATAGGTTTATGTATTCGAAAAAGGCTCGATAAGTGTAGTCAAACGTGAAGATTATTCTCACTGTGTTCTTCTATTTTAATGGCATAGTGCATCATGATTTCTTCCCATGAGGTCAAACGGTCAATAAGGAGGTACTACCTACAAGTTCAACGCCGTTTGCGTGAAGCAATCCAAAAAAAACCCGGATTTGTGGAAAAACAATTCGTGATTTTTGAACCATGATAATACACCTGCTCACACTTAACCTTAAAGGGCCGTCGTCTTACAAGCATACATGACATTAAAAGCGCATCGCTGCAAGAGCTAAACGCTATCCTAAAGACCGAGTTTGAGAAGTGTTTCGATGATTGGAAAAAACGCTGGCACAAGTGCATAATTATCTAATGGGGACTATTTGGACGGAGGCAATATTACTGTAGTGTAGACGAATAAATATTAAAAAAAAAAACTTTATTTTCTGAGCACACCTCGTATTCTCCCGTATTTGGAATAGAATTCATCGGATGTATATAATTATCAATTATTAGAACACCTGCAATAAACTTCATGTTGGGAGAAACTGTGGACGTGATAATTAAAACATGTAACAAGTAGACATCACATAATTAATGACACAAAAATGGCGTCAGGTAGATTGACTCTATACTTGCTACGCCTTCGTTGGAGGTTTCCAAGAAAAGGGATGAGTCAAATCCCTTCAAAAGGCGAAATCGAATTGTGATTAGGTAGGTTCACTTAGGTAGGTACGATGAATCTTCGACCTCTACATATCAAACTATATAAAGTAAATCTATCGAATTCTGTTTCCATGACAGATGTATAGAAAATACACTGACATCAGCAGCTTCTTAATAACAGAAGATCTTTCACTGATACCAAATATGCAACAATGTACAACCATTCACCGCATACACTTTTCCAACCTTATAACAACTATGTTAAAGCGATTTTATTTTCGCGGCCTCTGAATCAATTTTCAAAATCTACGACTACCTAAACGATAGAAGTATTAAGCTCGCGATAATATTTGAACTTCGGTTCACTCACAAGTTTTCTATTGCTTAAAGATATCTGCATCACTCAAGTCCGTTTTTCTCATGTATGTTGGTTTGTCAGTCTGCTGTATATCAATGCATTATAAGTACTGAGTCAATCTACTTGACGAACTATTTAGAGAACCATCATAGATGGAGTAACACAAATCAAAGGTTAGACGAAATGCGTGGTACATCTAATCATCATAAAAATTAGAAAAATATGTGTAGATATAAAAAATAAGTCATGATTCACAAAAGCATCATAAACTGCTAAAGTGGTACGTACTCCTAATATCCAAATATTGCTAAAATATATGAATATCTACCCCGTAGCGGTGTGTCAGTGACGACTCCACCACAGACCAGTTGGAGTTTGTTACCCAATGCACAGTCGGCAGTGTCCTCCACGACGATGCAGCATCGCGCCGTGCACGCAATGCCAACGATTGCCAACTTATTTCAAATTGTGAGCACATCGGACTTCAATCATTCAAAGTTTCCGTTGTTACCGGGATTAGAAGCTTCTTAGTGATAGAACGTCTTTGATTAATACCTAAGACAGCCTCCTCACCCCCTACAATCCCAAATTTCAAATCCTACAAAAAAAAATCCGAAAATGATCAATAGCATCTGAATCGTCATTAGAAATTTCAAGCGATTTTTATTTTTCGTCTTTTTGCCCATAGCTCCGCCACCACTAGATTGATTTTTAAAAACTACAATGCTTTTTCATCCTTGGCATAGAAGTAATCTTATGTGAAAAGTTCATAAAAATCCGACCGGTATTTCTTAAGTTCTAGGCGGATATAAAATTAGCGGAAAGATCGACGGAAATAAGTGACATGGTTTTTCGTGATGTACATGTCATATAACATCCAAAAAACGTATCTCAATTTCAAATTTTTTCGCGATTAGTTTTGGCATAGGGCATAAAAGCCTCCAGTCTCCTTAATTTTTGTGAAACATGTATTGGGAGCTAAAAGTTTAGTTAGAATTTTAATCAAGTCATGATAATTTAACGGGTACAAAATAATAGTCGACTCCATCCTTTCGGAGCCTCTCTATTGAAATAAAAAATAAGTATCAATTTTTATTTCTAATCCCATCATTTTCAGATATAAAACTTCAAAATTACGAGTAATTAAATTACGAAATTACAATTAGGATATTTAATGTGCAATTACCTAGTACATACATTTTTGTCAATATAAACATGAAATACAAAGTTTTGAATGTTTTTATTTTTCAAAGTATTCACTTTTCCACTGAAATGATAATTTTTATGAACATCATAAGTAACTAGATTTACTCTACAGGGTGATCCTGAACATGACAGAAGAATTGAAGGGTTCAGTTTAAGAGTATTATTATTGATTATTTGATCATTTTTCTCATTACTGCAAAGTAGATAATGATTTTCACTACTAACCAGAGTAATCATTATTGACCGCATTGCCCAACTGAGAAACTAGCTTTTTTTTCCTAGGTAAATAATGATAGCAAAAACAGCAAGATAAATAATAATGTCATTCTAAACTGTAATCTTCTGACTTCCCCTATCTCACTTCTTCAAAGAACACTTCAATTTGGGTTGGGATTAGGAGACTTGCAGCATGAAGCTACAGCTCGCAGATACTAACCAAAAATGTTTCCATGTCTCATATCATTGAAAGATGGCCTGCGCGATCACCAGATTTGAGCATATGTGACTTTTTACTTCCCACGCCAACTCTCGCGTAAGTATTGTGAGGGCGAAAATTTTCGAAATTGAGATATTTTTTTTTTTTTGATGTCACATGAGAAAAACCATGTCACTTATTTCAGTCAGTCTGCCTGTCCGCTAATCCTTCAGCCCTCTGTAACTTGGAAAGTACGACTCGGATTTTGGCGAAATTTTTACGCAAGATTACAAATATGCCAAAAACGAGAATCTTTTTAGTTTTTGAAAATCGGTCGATTGGCAATGGTGTTGGAGGCAAGAGAATGAAAAAAATAAAAATCATTCAAACTTCGTTTTTGACGTTTCAAAAGAAATTTTTTGGGGGTCAAACTTGGGTGGTTGGAGGTTGTAGGGGGTGCGGGAGAATATATACACATGTTCTTAGTTAACTTTTCTTTCTCAGAGGGGCTAAGTTGTGCCAAACATAATCCTTTATGAGCTGATGACATTATCTCTCTGGTAATACCTAAAGGACCAGAAGTCGTCTCCAACGGTGTTGGGTGTTGTTACTACCGGCCGTCATCTTGAAGACATTAGGGTATTACTGCCGCGTTTGACTGCGACCGAGTTAGGTACCGGAGAGAGGCGACGTTGCCAGATGGACTACCGGTAGGACAAGTAAAGAATGTCTTTGTACTGAGCGTTCAAAATCCTTCATGAAGTCGTTGGGTGGCAAGTGCAGAGCTAATATACTTGACGCCATTCTTTATAATTGCTTACACGATCTTCTTGTCGCATATGAACAAGTGAAATCTGACTTACCAGGGGCAGGCATAGGCTGATTGGTGATGGGACCTCCTCCATATGGTCCTGGTGGCGGGTATTGTCCAGGTGGACCATAGCCTGGTCCAGAAGGACCATATCCTTGTGGGGCATACCCTGGAGCATTCGGTGTTGCATAGCCGGCGGGGGGTGGTGGAGGGTAGGGCGCTAGGAAAATGTGAAAATGATGATCATGAGAATTATTACTTTGCATTTTATTTGTCTTGACCTCCAATATAAAACAGCAATATCTGAAGATACAACTAGGATGTCAAATTTTTAGGATTGTTTTCAAAAAGTGTAAGGAGGATGTAGGTCTACTGATTTGCAAACACCCTGATTTGTTGCACAATTATAATGAAAGGAGGTGAGTAAAGATCATTTTATTAAGCTCATCATATCTGTGAATATTGAAAGTCACAGTTACATGAATTAAATCTAAATATAATAGAGTGATCTAAATTAAATTTTGATTTTTGAAAAAAGACCAATGTTTCCCCACCTGCAAGGCCATCTTAATCAATATATACACAGGAAGCTCAGGGCCTGCAGCTGAAAGGGCACTAGGCACAGAAAAATCTGAGATACTATTTTGCCTTTAGAGACGAGGGAACATGTGATGCGCCTTCAGTACAAGTTTGAACTCACTAGAGTCATTCGTTGTCTGTAGCAATCTTTTTGTGAAACAGTTCTTGCTATTGTGTTTGATGCAATGGTTGCTATCAGGTTTTGGGCACAGTGCAATGGAAACTCTTACTAAACAGGCCTACATGTCTTTTGTCAAGAGCCCAGGTTTTTCGGTGGTTTAAGGCATTGAGGCATAAGGGAGACAGTTGATTGAAGATGAACCACAAAGTGGAAAGCCTTCATCTTCAAAAACCAATGAAAATATCAATAGAATCTGGGATCTTGTACATTCAGATAGTCAGTTGACAGTCAGAATGATCGAGGAAGAGCTAAATTTGACTCACACCACTCTCCCATCAGATCAAGAACAACTGGGTGTTGCACCACAATAATGCTCCTTGACACACAGAAATGTCAATAAATGAGTTTTTGTCCAGTAGACACATCCCTGTGGCTCTTTAGGTTCCTTATTTGCCTGACTTGAGTCGTTGTGACTTTTTACTTTTACCAAAGTTGGAAACACATTCAAATGGCTGTAACTGACTAGCTGAAGGCTATTCCAGTATCAGGTTCCAGCACTGGTATGAGGAGTGGAAGAACCGTCTCCAGTGCTGTGTGGCTTCAGAAGGAAGTTGTTTTGAAAGTGACAATATAAAGTTGTAATTATATTTGGGTAAAAAAATTAAAAAAAATCAGTCTCATCACTTAATTTACAGACCTTGTATGCTGTGGTCCATCATTAGCTGCTAATTCATAAAACTAGAATCCTGACACCTGAGTTCATTAAAAATGAAGCAAAAGCAACAGCTTAAAAAATATGCAAACAGCCTTATTTATTATCCGATAAAGCAAGCTTGATACCTTTTCATAAAATTATCAGTGTATTTGTTTGCAAAAATAAAACCTCCCAAGTTATTTTCTTGCTAAATATGTACTCACTGTTGTAAGGTGTAGGATACATGCCGCCTTGCATCTGAGGACCCTGCCCTTGATTTGGGGGTGGATACGACATACCTAATGCCTAAAGGCAATTAGCTGATTAGTTTTTGTACATTATATTCCCTTGGGCGTGATTAATACACTCCTCACCTATTTTTTATATGAAGATAAGATACGTGATGTGGGTTTATTTGTGTGTCAAGGTTGTGAAGACACTTGACTTGAAACCGTAAATAGATAGTCGCTAGCACCTAATCCTTCATCATATTTCTTATATTATAGGTAATTCACGATTGCCAGTGTGCGATAGTTATGAAAAAATACCTATGAGTATAAGTGGAAGCAATTATTAATCAGTCAGAATAACCAGGATTTTTGTATCACTTGAATGGCATTTCAAAAATATGACTCATAGCATTTCCAGGCTCATGCTCACTTTAAAAATAAATTGTATACAAATAAAACATAAAACATCAAACTCGAACAGTAGGTCGAAGTCCGAAGCAATTCTGGAAGCAATCCAAGCACGTCCGAAACCACGAAAAACCTTCCGACGACCAGAGAGCACAAAACATGATACGACAGGCACGATACACATACACTGAAGATAGGATATTGCGCATGTGGGCGGAGCTTCGTGACGTCACCCGGAGAGTTGTCGGCTCGTGGTTACCAGCGGCAGGATTGTCGTAACGTTACTACAGTTCAAGTGTATCGTGGTTAATTTTTTTTTATACTTCAACTACCACGAAGGCCTAAGGCCTAAGCACCCATTGGGTACCGTGGGGCTATAGGGGGATACATGGGAAAGGGGGGGGGACGCCACACGGACTCTGGCGAGGGAACACGTGTGCATGCAACATGCTCCGCCTACGAGATCCGCCGGGTGGTACCTCCGCGTTCGACAGTCAGAGACCGTCTACCACCTACGGATAATCACAACATCCAAGTTATGAAAATAGATGTTTGTCCTACATATCAGGAAGCAGTGTTCCCTGTTGACCCCATCACAGTTGTATGTTCATTACAAGGAAGAGGACAACAAGCAGAGGCTGACATATGCAAGTGACAATCAAGTCATCTACTAGATAGTTATTAATTATAAACATTTTTTTGGATATGTTTGCCCATTTGCCTAATGTTCAAGCCTCCTTCAAAACTGCTTGAAAATATTCAGCCTTGCAATCTTCACGGAGTCCTCAAAGAAATCATTAAGAAATGCACCAGATACAATTTTTAAGTACCTATGTTAAAGATTCTTTGATAAGACCTGAAACTTCTGATGGTCATTCAAGGAAAATGAAAAAGTTGAATGCCACCAGGTAAATCATCTTGAACATTTGCTGTTGGTTTTTTAATATTCATGTAGGTACCACCATGGATGAGCCATCACAAACCCGGCTGTGACATATCTGATCAGGACAACATTTTTACCAGATTGTGATGGATTTTTTTTATTTTTTAGAATCATGTTGAGTTATCAAAATTACTATATTAAATGGCCTTTTAGATAGATTTCACAATGATTTTATTGTATTTTTGTTGAGTGTGGTATCATGGGTTTTTGGTAGTTTACTTATACCACATTACCTTATCTACCAATTATATTTTTTTATTTATCACTCTTGAAAGATCCCAAAAATATATACTCGTGAGGTATTTGAATTGTTTTTCCTAATGCAAAATTGATTTTTGTTATTAGGAAAATTATTCAAAACAACCAAATAAAAGTAGATAGAGTGAGAGTTGATGTGAAAAACTATGCAAGAATAGAACCACCGTATGTCACTGTAAGAACATGGCTGCAAATGTCATTCATCGAATTGTTCTGAGTAGACAGGCGTTCTTTCTGTGTCATATTTGTTCTATCACTGCAAAATCATATATGCAAAAAGGTGTATTTTTAAGTAACGGGTTAGCCAATTTTTCTTTTTTTAATTTCCGCAGAAACATCGACTTTCAAACGAGATACTTTGAACATAATTTTGAATGTCTTCACTAAAACATGAATTCGACACCTTTATCCAGAACCTTTACAATAAAAATGCAGATCTCTAACGTGTTGCGTCTGTATCAACCATCAATTGGATAGTCTGAAAACCTTCTGAAAATAAGGCAAAATGTGTTCACATTTTCATTGTTTGGTAGGGTGATACAAATTGTCAACTTCAAAGCAAAACATCAACAAACATGTTACGTGTTTATCGTCGCGTTCCCGTGCGCATTTGCTAGAGTAGTGGGAGCCTGGGAGCGTCACACTCCGGGTCTCTGATCCTCATCATTGGATCACCTTCTGTTGTGCCCACATAACACCTACTTGGTGTGGTTGTGCCTTCCTCAATTTTAGTAGTGTGAGGAGAAAATAGGGTGTGGCCTAACGATCGTGACCTTTCATCCATCGGTGATTGGTCAAGCTTATAGTACAGAACCGTGCTGCCAGCGACTTAGATTTTCATTAAAGATGCTACTTTCCTCCGAACCTTCGTTTTGAACATTGCAGTTTTTTTGTTGTTGTCTAGAAATGAATTTATATTGTTTATGGGAAGCAGGTAGTATAATATCGAAAAATACGAAATCAATAATTTATTCACGAAGAACATGGCACATTAAGATTACATTTTGAAAAAAATAAATTTCTTTAGAAAAGGTACTATAAAACATCATAAATCCTACAATCGTCAGGCACATTTTGAATTTGTACAAATATATATCACAGTACACTGAGCCATTGATTTTATTGTTCCAAGCAACATATCAACAAATAAAAATATAACAAACTATAGTATTAAAAACAAAAGTCTAACTTGACTCGGAGGCAACTCATTGAAAATGAAAATCAGCCAATAACGCAACTCCAAATAACTAACTTAAACCATTTGAGTATCAACAATTAACTAATAATAGTCAGACTATTAAAATGATATTCTTCAATATAATATTGCTACAAGAGCTGTTTCATTGGCCCACAGTGGTTTTATATTTTTTGTTACCAAATATAAGATAAAGATGTTTCCATCTTAAAAGCTAACCAACGTTATCTCCTGCTCAAAATAGAATCATAGTTCTTTATTTTAAGCTCTATTTTGATAAATTGTCATGAATAGAAGGTTACTTATAATACAAACTATTTTACTAAAAAAACTTGATATTCTGGATGTCCTTGCACACGGTAATATGTTTCTATACAATATTATGCATCAGAAACATTTACTGAAAATAAAAAATTAATTACTATTATCGGTGCGATAATAGAGCTCAAAATATGAAGATAGACTATTCACAGACATTTGTGGGAATTTTGAACAGGAATCTAGTATTATGTAGAAGCCTGCAAAAGAATAAAGTAGTGTCTTTTCTTCAATTTGCACGCCTCTGTAGTGAACTACATCTCGATAAAAACTGAAGCATATTTAAAAAGACATCACTGAAGTTAATTATTATCGAACTCTATTCACGTTAAGTCGCAATTCAACAACGAAATATATTTCAAAATTTTACATTAATTTCTGTTGGTTTCAGTCCAAGAACGAAAATCGAAAATATAATATTAAAGATATAATGCCAAACGGGTCATTCTTCTTAAGGCTTTTTGATCACTTTGAAAACCAACTGAAAGAGTTGCTCAAATATCAGTTGGAGATCATACCAGACCACAAATAAAAGCAAATACAATTAACGAATCCATCCAACAAAGATTTCTGATAAGCTAGACACAAGTCAGCATCTTCTTGCTTGTGGGGCTCCCGATAGACTGCATAGAGTTCCTGAAATGGAAAAAACATTTTATTATGTGTGCCTATACTGAGAGCCAAATTTGTCTGATGGCTTGAGTAAGAGAGATGTGTGTATAGGCACACATGTTAGAAAGAGATAGAAGCTTGATACTTAATTGTAGCAGAATTTTTTGGCAAGTTTCCCGACGAGTCTGATTTTTTTTTTATTTACTTCAGTTTTTTGTCTCCTAGAAAAACAGGCCATCGCGGATAGTTGGAGTTGCATCAAGTGATTCTTATTAATTTTTTAAGTGTTGTTCGAGAAAATAAACAAGTATGATATTACTTATAACAATTTTATTTAATACAAGCAATAGTGCGCATCAATCATAAAAGGTGTTCAATATGACCACCATTTTCGGCGCTGCATGATACGGCGCAAAAAATGTTAACACTTGACAACGGAAAGCGAGACTATTTTGTAAAATTGTACTGTATACTTACACCTCTAGAAGTGTGAAGATCTAGAGACAAAAGCATGAAAGCCCCAAAATATCTCTGATGCAATATCACGTAGTGTTGGACGTTGCCATCAGGAGAAATGAACGTCCTATTATGATCCACGTATTTGTTCAATAACAATTTTGCCAGTCCTTGGTACCAGCTGAGAGGTTGGTTCAGTAGTGGTCCCAAATTTGGATGCATTTCGCATAAATGTTGTAGTTTGGCAAGCTTTTTCAGTTCCAAAAACTCTTCGTAAGAAAGGCCGTTCAGCTCTTGAGGTGCAATGAGTCGGTTCCAGAGAAGATGGGTTCGGCAATGCACCATTCCTGGAAAAATTGCTCAATTAGTAGACTGATTCAACGCCTTTTACTAGTTTTGGATATCACACTGTCGCCACGTCATGGCAAACTGAGATTATCTTATGGTAAATGCCGCATCAAGGATTCAGTTAAGAGGAAAAAACCAATATTCCCATATATCTTTAAAATCTTCAAAAAAGGTGACAACGAATTCCCAGAAAATGACAGGCCAATTTATCTTTTACCGATAGCTACCAAAGTCTTAGAGAAATGTAATGCAATTGACTGAGTTTCTTGAAACAAAAAACCTTTTCAGCGACCCGATGAGAATATTGGAGCTAGTCTCTGGAATGTTTCCACAATCATGAGTACAGTACAGTCCTATTCTGTGATCTGGCCCAAGTGTTCGTCTCTATTGACCATTCTTTACTACTTAGGAAATTGGAAGCATACAGTATCAGTGAGGACAACATCCATTTCCTAAACTCATTCCTCCAAGACAGTTTACACATGGTTACGGTTGCTGGGGTATCATCACCAAACAGTAGAGTGAAGTATGGTAGTTCCCCAAGGGCCAGTTTTAGGCCCCATTCTCTTACTGATATATATAAATGACCTTCCACTTATGGACGCAAACTATAGATACACGCTTTTTGTGGATACAACTCTTTTCTACTGCAGATAATTTTGAGAAATCCTACAGAAATATACAGGTGGTGCGCCGTAAGCTGCTGATGAATAAAGGGAAAATTGTGAACATTACTTTTTCAGCTAGGAATATTGGGTCATCCAACAGTCTCAGTAAGATCAAATTTCTTGGAGGACACCTTGATGCTGGATTAAAATGGGATGTCCATATTGACGTTTCTGTAAAAAACTTAAGTGCACGTCTTTTTCCTAACAAAATTTGAAAAATTGCGTTTCAAAAGTGCACTGAGAATAATTATACAAAAATATTAGACGTAAGTAATATAATTGCTCTCATTATGGATGTTAAAAATAGTAAAAGTTAAAGATAAACATTTTTTATTTTGGCACTCTAAAAGCAGATTCATAATGTTTTTCAAAGTCGTCAAAAGTTAAATGTTGAATTTCGAACTACATATAAAGAGATATCGCATTAAAGGCAAATGTTTTATGTAAAAACGAAGTTCAGTAGATAGGCATGGTGAAAGCGAATATCTGGTGAGTAAACAGAAGTACAAAATACTACCTTTTCCTTTAAAAACGGGGGATTGCGGTATTTCGAGTGTAAGAGCCTATTTGACTGACTTAATTCATTTAGTTCCTTTATTACAGATTTTCATGCTTGACGTTTTTTTATCGTTTATGAACTATGACAGCGTTGGGTGGAAAGTGCAGATTTAACCTACTTGACGGCATTTTACCTTTAGAAACCATATCCTTGATATGTTTCTGCGTGTTATTAGCCCTGTCCAAAATCAACTGTTGCATCAACTGCTCGTGCGAAGAATAATAACCCAAGTAATTGACTATTTCTTGTGATAGCTGTACATAAGGCAGAGAGTTAGATTGAGTGGACGATTCTTCTTGATTGATACTGCCATTGCTGTTTTTTCTTGATATGCTGGCGTACTCAGTAGAACTTTCGAATGTCTCAGTCAGATTAGGGTTTGAGTCCTTGTCTGTAGTTGAAGATAAACTCCTTGCTGTTGAAGATACGGTTCTGAATTTCCCCAGCTTCTCCTCGATTTCGGATTTTGGATATATTTCTCTGCAAGATAGAACAAATAGAAAAATACATTGCGGTTCAAAAGTTTCCGGACACGTCACTGGAATTTATACATGAAAAAGGAAATAGAAGATGGATCATATAACTAAATGTAATACGATCATTGTTTATTTCAGCCTGTGGTATTATATGTACCTCAAATCATAGCTGTGAATGATTTTGCAACGCAAGTATGTTTACTTTGCTCAAAAAAACTCTTTCACCTATCTGTATATGTTCGATACTCCGTGGGGGACGTGCTCTTCGAGAACAGATCCATTTTAAAAATTTTTCGCGATTACAATACTTCCTCGCCAGCAGGCGTGGGAAGTAATAATAATAATAGCGTTTATTTGCAGTTAAAAAATTACATAGGATACAAAATAGGTAAAAACAACAAATTACACTTACTGCAAGATGGCCAGCAAACAGTCTAGGACTGATCAAAGTACTGGCCCAGTGACAAAACAAAACAGAGAGCACATTTTTCAAGCCGTCTACGGATAATACAATTTCAACTAATTCATTCCAAAATGACAAAAAAGAGAAAAAAAAAATCAAAGCACAATATGTTTCTGTAATCAAACTTTAACTTAAAACTCATACCCAGATGATAAAGGACAACACATGAGAGACTCAACTATTGTTGCTTCAAAAGAAATTTCTTAAAAATGATAGGGATATTACCTTTTGGACGTCAATATCAAGTAGTATTTTAAATGCAGCACATTATCTTTATGACTATATGGCGTACATAAATTATATACAACCAAGGTGATATCGAAATCATCAGTATGTTGACAATCCTGAGAGTCTTTATATGACATCTGTGGTGTAGTGGTCACTTGAACCAAAATATATTCTGGTTCTCCTTCCCAGATATCCATTTCGAAAACCTTGAAGTTGTATTGACTTATATTTGATAGTAAATAATCGAACAGTTGCTTGCCCTCAGTTACTAAATTTTTTATCGTAAGAATATCTGAAATTGAAAAAATACATTATATATCGTCTATTCAGTTTTTGTGAAGGTCATAGATGTCTTGACATAGTAATCTTGAAATATACCCTATTTCACGAGTATCCGTCAGGGTAGAATGACAGCTGATTATCTTAGTAATATCTCAAAATTCCCCATATCGGCACACGACACATAATTCTGATGGATCCGTCAACGTCAGGTAGTCAGAGCCGTTTGTTTCTATTTTTTGTACGCTACAGATTCATTTTGTACTTGCTAACAGCTCTTTTATTTAGAAAAGTTCGTTTGCATACAAAAAACAAAACGCTACAAACAAGTTTTACTAGATTTACACCAGATTCATTATTGCCAACGTCGCAGACTAGCATAGAAATGTCACTTGCTGATCAGCTGTTCACCTCAGTAGACGTCAAAGCGTGATGGATATTCGTGAAACAAGGTATAAGTTACCTGTGTGTACTAGATTTCTGGCAAAATTCGGAGCTTTGTTGTAGTACTTCATAAAGTCGTCTAGGAACTGATGCACGTTATATTTTTCGCATACTTTATTGACTGTTTGGCTTCCAGATATGTAGTTGTATATTGAGCGTAGGTGGTAGTCATAAGTAAAAGAATGAAGGTGCATCAGAACCTTCACTCTGTCGCATTCATCCACAAAGCTGAGAGTGAACTGAAACAGTTTTTTTTAATATAATTTATTCTTAAGCTATTTTAGGCAAGAGCTTTGTATTTTACTTGAGTACTTACTCTGTTTATTGAAGCTATTGATACTCTAGTTGTGATATTTTGTAGTCTATTGCATTCTATGGCAAGTAATTTGGTAACAAAAAATGGTTCACTGAATTCTACAGTGAATATCAAAATTCCACCCAAAATTGTTTTCTGTATATAAAATACATTGTTGTAAGATGATTTGTCATTAGTCCAGATCCTGTAAAAAACATACATACTCGAAGCATTACTTTTTTTTCGATAATGCTGTGTAGAAAAACTAAAAAGATCAATACGACTTAATAGGTTAAAATTTCCACTTTCGTGCATGTTCAGTAGGGACCAAATTCGGAGTTTACGCATCTCATTTTTGCACAAGAAACGTTTTTTTTCAGATCACAAATGTGCAGGAGGTTTTGAAAATTTTTCTCGTAGGAAACCTCAAAATATTAATACGGCTTTGTCGGGCAAAATTTTCATTTTCGTCTCCGTTGTTACAAGCAAATGAAACCAGGTAATTTAGGGCGCTGCATACGAGGTCTATAAATTAAGTGAGGGCACTGTTGTTTTTAATTTTTTATTCAAATATAACTAAATTTTATATTGTCACTTCCAAAATAACTTCCTTTTGAAGCCACACAGTGCTGGAGACGGTTTACCACTCCTCAGAGCAATGCTGGAACTCCGATACTGGAATAGCTTTCAGATGGTCAGTTACAGCCGTTTGAATGTTTTCGACTGTCCCAAAATGAGTTCCCTTGAGGCGAAGTAAAAAAAGTCACAAGGACTCAAGTCAGGCGAATATGAGGAGGCTGAGGAGCCACAGGAACGTTTTTACTGACCAAAAACTCGTTTATTGGCATTGCTGTATGACAAGGAGCAATATCGTGAGTCAACACCCAGTTGTTCTTGATCTGATGAACGGTGGTGTGAGTCAAATTCAACTCTTCCCCGACCATTCTGACTGTTCGAATGCACAAGATCCCGGATTCTGTCGATATTTTCATCGGTTATTGAAGATGAAGGCCTTCCGCTTCGTGGTTCACCTTCAATCGACTCTGTTCCTTCTGAAAATGCCTAAAACCACCGAAAAACCTGGGCTCTTGACAAAACACTAGCACCGTAGGCCTGTTTAGCAAGAGTTTCCGTTTCACTGTGCACAAGCCTGAAGCAAAACATGATAGCACACCGTTGCTTGAAATTGTTGTCACTCATTCTTAGAACACAATAGAAAAAACTGTTTCACAAAAAAAAAATCGCTACGGACTATCAAATGACTCGAGTGAGTTCAAACTTGTACTAAAGGCGGATCACATGTTTCCCTGTCTCCCCTCCAAGTCCGGCGTCTCCAGTGTTGCCAGATCGAACGCTACGTTGCCAATCTCATCACTTAATTTACAGACCTCGTACAAATATGGAAGTAGTTTTGAACCCACCGTCAACCGTAGCGTCACATTCGTAATTTACGAGTATATATTATATTATAATTTTATCAATGAATTTCATACATACGTATTAGTGGTATGTTGATTGTTGATCTGCAACGGGATGAACCCTAAGGTCTGCAAATAATGCCTATATTCTAAGAAAAATCCATAGCATAGTTCAGTATGCCACATCTCTTTCTGCTCGGAAGCCATCAAATCAGCTAGTTGTATCGCGTGTGAAGGATACAAGGAATGATCTCTGGTAGATGCAGATTTCAATCTCCATCTTGACAAAAACAACAATGGCGTGTGGCAGTAATGAACGATTCTAGCATTCTGGATCAACATATAGATCTGCTGGACAGTCACTGTACTGGTTCTGGATTGATACATTCCATGTAACGTTTTCATCTCTTCCCTACTTCTTTTTTCTAAAGACTTCATTTCTCTGATTTCTAAAGTGAAAGTGACTGCCGGGTCGAGTGAAGCGTACTTGCATATTTTATAGTTGTCTCTGAATGCCTCTAAGATTGCAGCAAAGTTCAACAACGGGTGTGGTCTTTTGTGAGAATGGTCTTTCGGAAAAGTTAGAGTATACTCTACACTTCCTATTATGTTTGTGTAAGGGTTATTCGGTATCATCTGGAAACGAAGGGCAAATTAAAAATCGTAACCACAACTGCAAAAATTCTTTAATTTACGAGGTTTTATCCCTATGCTCCCCCCTGGTCTCTTTAAAGATCTTTTTTTATAAATGATAGTAAAACAATTGTTTCTAGCATGTTAACAAAATATTATGTTTAGCTGAAAATACTTACAAATACTTTTCTTGTTAAAGGCTGGTTATGAAAGATACCCAACTTCTGCGATGTTACCGAGTTTATGAACGAAGATCTAACGTTTAACCAGTAACCCAAGTTTGTACAATTGTTTATCAGCTTGTCTACGTTGTCTTTTACCCAGTTATATGTGTAAATAATGATCTGAAAAAAAAAATCATCATTTTCTGATTTTGAGCTTTGTCATAAATGTAAAGTTGTCCAACCTCTCGTATGCATATACACACAATGCTACAAGCTCCCAAAAAATTGAATCAGAGGTCATTTCAAGGTCAAACTGATTTTCTTAAATGAAACTCTATATTTTTGACCCCAGGAATTGAAAGAGGGAGTTCTACGTTTGGATATGTCCTTGACTATCATATTGATGTTCTTAAATAAGGCCCTTATACTTATGGCACTGGAAACCAAAGAGGCAAACAAAGTGACCTTGACCTTTGAGGTCATTGCAAGGTCAATCCAATTGTCTCTTAAAACGGGACCCCGAAATTTGAAAGACGCGAAATTTCTAAGTTTGGATATATCCTTGACTATGAGGAGATCGATCAGTGACCTGAAATTACCTTCAATTCAATTTTTATGTATACGAGAGATTGACATGATATGCTGAAAAACTCTGCATACTTACATTATCATTCTCCACGGATATCCACAAGATCTTCTGTCTCGGTATAAAATTGTTGTTACAAATAGCAGGTACAAATTTTTGCGTATGCTTCAAATTCTGAGGGCTCATGTAATCGGGGAAATCGTCTGCACTTTTACATTTTACGTTTGCCATCCAATGTTCGATGTTTCTCGAAATTATTATCGACCTCGGTATCAAATTCGATGCAACATAAGGCACGAAAATATCTTCTGATTCGTTTTTAATACAATTTGTTAGGAAACATCTGAAAACTTTTGGCGAGTCTAGGAGCATGCTAACTAGCTCGTTTATGATAGTGGTCGGTAGGTGTCGATTAATTAGGGTTATTTTGTGTTTCTTTACAGACGGGGTATTCAAGGAAAATCCAAATTCTAACCAATGCTGTAAGTACTTAGAGTATACGATTGAGAGCCTGCCAGTGTCTCCCGATTCTAGCTGATTTGGTTTCAACTTTTTTCTTACGGGAGGTTTAAAATTATCTCTCTCATCACTTTCATCTATAGCGACAGCTCTGAGTGGCCCACGGATCCTCTTTTTTCTATTCAAATATTGTTGAATCTTTGGTTTATCACAGTAGACAGTGGGTCTAACATAGTTATCACAACTAGAGCTTAGAGTACAATTAAACTCAATCTCCTTACTGAAATCCAAATTTAACTTGTCAATTTCCAATTTGGAGCATTTTTCGGGTAATTTTTCGTTTGAGTTAACGCAAACAGTTTGTGTTAAAAGGAAATATTCCATCACAATATCCCAACTAGCTTGAGATACGGTGGCTTCCATTTTTTGCGAGAGGTTCTCTATGTTTACCCGGCCTTGTTTCCAAATACGGAACTCTATGTACGAAGGTGGCAATTCAGCTAAAAAAGATTAAATTATGAAAAAAAACTGCGTCTAGATTTTTTGAAGGGGTCATAGACTAGACGGGTCGAAAAACTGTTTTTCGTGGGAAATTTTTTTTTTCATAATCACGCTGTGGGGTGGTAACCCGAAGCAAGTTTGTTTAAGCGATCATTTTAAACAGATTACAATAAATGCTTTTTTATCTAGATCGGTTCCGAGTTATAGGCGAGTTATAAGCGGCAATCCCAAAATCGTGGAGCAAGCCCCCCCCCCCCCCAAAATCGAGGCGCAAGTGACACCGCCCCCCCCCCAAATCGAGGGGTAAGCGGCCCCCAAAATCGTGGGACAAGCGGCCCCCCTAAAAAGTGTGAAAAACATAAAAGTAGCTATTTTCAATTCCATAAGCTATTAGAGAGACGCGCGTGGAGACCTAGCGCGTTATGATATTGACATCGAATTCGTAATCTACGCACTCGATATACCTAGAAAATAAGTTTCCATCTAGATCATAGACGAGCAACAGGTTTTGTAGATTTTTTATTAGTCGTTTTTTGAGAAAGTAGAATTCTTGGCAGTATCTCGGAAATGAGGGATTCCCGTTCTAAATGGGCCCGGATTCGGTTTCAGCGATCCAAAAAACATATAATAAGGATGGTTAGGCTCACGTGCCCGTCTGACCCATTTTTTGTTTTTCTTGCATATACGAGTACATGGTACCGAAAAATTAGAATGCTTTAAATGCGGTTCAAATGACCTCTATTGTACGTATTTTGGGTAGCTAAAACCGAAGTCGTTTAACATGTATTTGATTATTTAGCACAAAATTACAAAACTGTGCTTTTTGCGACTTTAGGGGCTAAAAATCCATTTTTATTATCGATCGCTACTTATGAACGAAGCTTTGTACAATAAGGTAATTTAGGGCGCTGAATATGAGTATCATAGTGAAACATTTCAAGTATCATCACACCGGATTTGAGGTGAAAAGTTAGTAAAAAAACTATTTATTCAGGGCTACCCGTGAATCCTAGCACTTGATTGACATCGAATTCGGAATATACGCACCCGATTCACCCAGAAGACAAACTTCTATTTAGATTATAGGTAATAACTAAGTCATTTCGGTGTTATGAAAGGGAAGGTTTAAACTCTAATTTAGTCACTCTGCAAAATCAAAAATATTTTTTTTTATTTATATTTTTTAAGTATTTAAAATGGTCATTTTTCAGGATCGTTCATACCTTAACCTCCAACAAAATTTTTATTGTACTTCGTATAAGTATCTTGATTTACGTCAAAACGTGATTATGAAAAAAAAAATCGAGTCGGACAATTTGTGGCACGAATATGAGGCTTTTGCCTCGTCTAGACCCATATATCTTGATAACTTACCATTATTTGAAATGATTTCGGAATTCACAACACTATCAAAATCCCCAGTCTCGAAAATCTTTGTAAAATCATTCGAGTGAAACTTTTGTCCTGTCTGTTTGTTGTTAATCAGTGCCAAAGCGATGCAGGCTATGCCACGACTACCAGCTGACGGATTTTGACTTTGATTATAGATAAATATATTATCTTCACAAGCCATGTGGGTCCCTTCTTCATTTTCAGTATAGTCTTTAAAGTGAAAATGTGTTCTGCTATCCGTATATTTCGGTATGTTGAGAAATTGTAGAAGGTTCTGTTTCAAGTAGTGAATGAATGATTCTAAGTATTGGAGCGCGAAGTCTTGGATAGTCAACTGGAAACAAAATATTTCATCAATGTCATAAAACCATTTTATGAAATTATGTACCTACCCTTACAACTACCTCAGGAGGCCTGAATGGTTTCTGAACGAAATGCACATCTTCTGGGGTAAGAGGACACATAGCATTTCTGGCCAACATAATCGAGAGAAACTCCAAGACAGCATCATCCAGTCTGTTTTGCAATACTTGAACTAGATCGTTTTGAACATCAGAACCTGCTTCAGTGATTCCATGTACTTTTAGTATCAGGGTATCTTCGTTAGGATTATCCTTGCTCTCTTTTTCACCGAATGATCTCACTCTTGGCCTGATGTCTCCCTGCAACCAATCTGATGAATGAGTGTTCATCACTTGGGACGATTCGATTTTTATCATATGTGACGTTGACACAAAATTTATATATTTCTTCTATAATGAGAAATCGACTCAATGCAGGCTGAATAGAATCTGTTTGATTTACGTCTCTGTGACCATAACTCAACTGTATACAAAGTTGTTCCAGGCGTTTTAGCAATCATCAATACAAACAACTGACAGCAAACAAGATAATACTTTTAGTTTTTCAGTAGACTCATTTTCGTTTGTTTGCTTTCCCTAGTTTGTCTCCAATGCACTGTACCGATGACAACAAAGTTATAAATTTTTTAAAATCAAAATTAAAATACTTCCCCCATCAAATGTCAAATTAACAATTGATATCCCTCAGATCGGAAAACTTGACATTTGACAATAGTCCTGCCATTACCAAAGCAAATAAGGCGTACCCACTATAAGAAAGACTCAAGAACCGATACGCATTCGGCCCTTAAATGCCAAAAATTGCTCAAGCACCTCAAACAGGACATGAGAATAGTAAAAAGATATCGTGTCAACTACCTATATAATAAAATTCGAAAATATTGTAAAAAAAGTGTTGTTTTAATTTGTATTACCGATGTTGTCGAGGTTATACTTTGTTCTGACTGGGTTAAGTTTGATTTATTTTGTCCTAAAGGCAGTGATGCAATGGACGGACTTCTAGACACTGGCCCACTTTCGTATTCATTTGATCTCATCAGCGATAATTTTGTACCGGAGTTTTGCACGTTTTCGTGTAATCTAAACAAAGTATTTTTGAGATGATTCACCTATGTCTTACCAAAATATGCTATACTGTATGATCAATAGTTCAATAACAAACGCCATTTGTAAAAAATGTATAATCAAAGTCTCAAGTCGTCAATCCAGTATTAAAGAGAAAGTAATCTATAAGTTATGTATCTTTTGATATTGCTTTTCCACAAAAAAATTAAATATGGAAAAATAAAAGTTTAGTGTCTGTTATTTAACTATTGTTTCACTAACCTCAAATAAAAAACATTGTTCTGGTTGTCCTTATAGACAAACATATTGTTTCGATTTAAAACAGAAAATTTGTCGAGTATAGTTTTTAACGCTAGGATCCCTCTGGATATTCCAGATTTTCCAGGTCCTGTTTTCAAGCGAGGATGCAAAATAAATGGTGTTTCCCATACTACTGGACAACTGAAATATCCTGGTTTCAGATTTAGAGATGCTTCAGATAGTGATGTTGAGTAAATCATCATATCAAAATCGGTTGGCTCTTCAACTAAAACAGCAATACGTTCATTTAAAATTACTTTTTTTCTCATTCAGTAACATACCGTCTAAGCCTTTCAATCTGGCGAAAGAAGCACTTCTCGAAATCGGCGAGTTACACTCACTGCAGTCGTCAGGTTCTAGTAATGAATCGCAAGTCTTAGTATCATAAAGTGATTGAAGCAGCAAAAGTTGGTTAACACGTTTGCATAGATCTCTGACAGATTCTCTGACTGCTCGTTGAACTTCTATGTATACTCCAACACGGTACGTGGGTAACTCCAAGAATCTAAAATAATGGCATATACGAGTATTACTGACTATGGTATGCCGCGACAAACTTTTTTTTTTATATCGAAGCAGCCGCGCAGGCAGAAGCCTAAATGCCGTAACACCGCGGCTGCTATGATGATCCCAAAGAAATTTTGTTAGCCTAGCTTTTTCCCAGCAGCTGCTGCTATTGACGAGATGTGTTCGTCAAAGTACAGTATTGTGTTTTGGAAGCATTGAACTGTACAAGATTGTTGCGTCTCCAAGCAGTGATAGCCTCCAGGTCTCTTGTCAGAGAGGAAGTCGTCGCTAGTCTTCTTCTTTCCAGCTCAGCGGCAGAGATCGGCTTGTCACTCTGAATTCCTGCATGTAGAGTGCTGTCATCAGCGAAGCTGTGGATTGGGTTGATCGTGCAGGAAAGGAGGTTGTTGATATGTAAGAGAAACAGTGTTGGAGCTAAGACCGATCCCTGGGGAACGCCCGCGTTGACGTTGTGGGATGAAGAGGAGAACCCGTCAATTACGACGGATATCTTGCGGCCAGAGATAAAGTCAGACACCCATCTGCAAAGCTTTTCTGGACGGCCATAGGATGGAAGTTTGCTTAAGAGGGCAGCGTGCCACAGCTGATCGAACGCTTTCGTGATGTCAAGAGCAACGACATGAGCCTCACCATAAGACTGGATGAGTTTACTCCATAATTGCGTAACGTAGGCTAAGAGGTGCCCTGTGGATCGTTGGTGCCGGAGACCATACTGCCTGTCACTAATCAAGCTGTGACGTTCGAGGTAGTCCAGAAGCTCGCGATTTATGCACCTCTCCATCACCTTACTTAAAACAGAAAGCAGAGCTATAGGCCTGTAGTTGTAAGGGTCGTCTTAGATCCCTTTTTTGGGATGGGTTGGACATGAGCAAATTTCCAGTTTTCTGGGAAGGTGCCGGATTCATAAGATATCTGGAAGAGACGCGAAAGAACTGGAGCAAGCTCCGCTGCACACCTCTTCAGTACAGTTTTGCGGCCTATACGAGTTTCTGCTGCCACAGTGGGTTCTGACCGAAACCTAACCTCCACAACACCGTGGTCTGAGTTACCCAGGGGGGACAGGACAGCAGTGCTGTAAGGGACAGGATGCGTGGTCAGAAAGAGATCCAGCAGGCTACTGGCGTGTGACGAGACGCGGGGGAAAAAAGTAGGGCTCGTCACCAGCTGGGTCAGCCCTTGAGTAAGAGCTCATTATGGGCATTGAAATCACCGAGAAGAACTACCTCTGAAGCGGGGTGATTGCTGCTCAGGAAGTCGATCTGGACGGCGAGGTTTTCGAGTAGGTCATCCCAGTTATGCTCCGAGGGAGAGCGATAAAGGCAGCAAATAAATTTGGGTGATGTTTTGGAGTTGAGGCGAAGCTACAGAATATCCTTCCGGTCTGATTCCAAAGAAACATCTCTGGAGCAGGAAAGACTGCTGCGGGCAAAAGCCACAACTCCTCCGTTCTTTCTCAGATTAGAGTGCACCTCGTAGTTTGGGAAGTTAAGAAAGATGGTCAATCGGTGCAGACTCTGACATTTTTGTCTCCGCCAAGAAAAGCACGACGGGACGATTGGATTGCAGGTAGTGATGAACAGCATCAATGTTGCTGTTAATCCCGCAGATGTTCGAAAAACAAATTTTATCATCGATGTTGTTCCCTCGAGCCCTCCGAGAGTGGAGTGAGTTTACGTCCGGAGTTCTTAGTGCTCGAGGGATGCATCATCACTAATTTCTTTGTTTTGGAAGATAACCGACTGCATAGCTTAGGTGTGGAAACATGCGGACATTTATAAGACACCCTGGGAAAAGCTAGCGGGTGGTACTGCCTCGGTCGACTGGTCCTTGTCTACCACCTTCTTTTTACATGTTAATGATATTAAATAGACCTAAAGTGGCCCGTTGGCGGACTTGTACACATCATCGGTAGTACACACAATTTCAGGTGTCAATCTGCGACAGTGAAGTCTTACAACTGGATACGGGGCAAGGCGCAAAATACCGGAAGATTCCCGGATTTTCCGGCCATCTAGCAAACCTACACGCAATATATAAAGAACAGAGGGTCATGCGGATGGCCCATAGGATCAATTAAAGAACAATGTGTTAAAATCATGAATCACTCTTCATGGTCTTATAGGGGAAGGTTCTAGCTTCAATTCAGACACTTGACTACCTCAAAAATAGTCATTTTCAACCGATTTTTTCAGCACTGAAAATTGACATTTTTAGGGCGTTCCACACTTTAAATCACTTTCTACTCTAAACGGACAACTTGGGCGGAAAGTTATTAGGGTGCTTTTTTGTTAGGAATGACCCAAAAGACTCAAAAAAAACTTTGGGGCAAAAACATATTTTAATTACGGTTTATCATTTCGCAGACTCTTGATTCATCGTGTCAGAAAATTTCTCATACGAGTGCAAGGTTTTATCTAAAATATATTTATGCTTTGACTTACCTACAATGAAAATAAATGGTAACAACGTCCTGAGTAATTTTCAGTATCAACCAGAAATTTGATAAATGTGGTCTTTTATCGTCTAAGGTCGTTAACCAATCGTAATCTTCGTATTCATCGTCGTCCTCGTAGCCTATCAAAAAATACAAAGTTAACAAGGTCTCCTTGTTCGCCTTAAGAGTCTTGACATATGGAAATATCAACAGATATGTCAAATATCTTTCTCAATAAGTCTTCCTTGTTCGATACGAGGCCTCCTTATTGCCTTTCACAGCCGTTAACATCAAAGCTTCCTTATTACAATGTTGCCATCAAGAAATGCTTGAGCTACCCATTCTGATTCTTATAAATATGAAAAACACATTCGTCTTCAAGCGTCAAGTTAACCACTCATAATCAGAGGTACTAAAGAAGCCTCGGGCCACAAAAGGAGGGTTGTCTCAAAAATAAGATTCCCAACGCTGTATTTTTGCCGCGCGTGGTGCTAGGCAAAACCTGACAATAGCACCGTGTTTGTCGGCTCCCTCACCAATGATCCCAACTAGAAGCGCCTATTTGCAATGCTCAGTACCGGCCCGACAGCCATGCGCAATGCAGCCCTTACGTTACTACCCTTAGAAATTCATCGCCACTTAAGTGGAGTATATGGGAAACGTGTATAAGCATTCAAAATGTCCTGAAATGGTGAGAGAAAAATGGCGTCTGTAGAGAAAGATAGCTTTAAGATCAACGCTTCCAATGGTGAATTCGCTTTTTCAAATAAAAAATTCATTGTGCCTGAAAAAATGTGAGAATCTTATTTTTGAAACAACCCTCGTATATATGACAACTCTCCTGTCAGTCTCAAGTGACAAGGCAAGTAAGGCGTCCTCAGAATAAGATCTCAGGCCGTTGTTTTTTCATCAGACCAATACTTACCGTCCGTTCCTGCAGCACTCTCATTCATGCTAGATATCTCACTGGGTTGCGAGCTTTCTTGACGGTTATCTTCATTCGACGTAAATATTTCTTTCAGACTACCTTCCAGATCGTCACCAAATCCACTTCCTAGGTTCAAAAAACTTGGATTTGTCCCTAAGGAAACCTGTTCCGCTCTCATAAAATGTATGTTGGGCACGGTATTAGGCACTTTCGGATCTTTGGCTAAGTAAAAAAGGTCTTGCTCTTGGCAAAGTTTGTATCTACCACACACTAATGATAGATTTTTGAACTCTTCGAGAAATTTTTCATAGCTCTGGGCCGTGGCGTAGACGAAGTTTAAATTGATATGATCTAGTACACAAGATGATCTAATAGCAGTACCGTCACTGACATGCTTTATAACGTAGTTCAAAGTGTCTGTTGAAACTGGTTCCTGGTCCAATAGAGCTGTGCAAATTTCGTCACGCAAAAGCCATTTTATTTCGTCTCTTATTTGCAACACAGATTTCATTTGGTTTTCGGATAGTCGTTTTAGCGGCTCCGATATCCTAAAATTTTTTGAATATTTAAAACATTTTTAGTAGCGGTTGGCAATTTAATTGATTTAAATCACTGTACAAGGTGATTCAAAAAGCAGTGACAATAATTCTATGCAGCAAAACATCATGGAACCCGGTGGCAATAGCAAAGTAATCGCTATGAAATGACTGTTTTCAAGAAGCTACTAGTACCTCGTGGATGTAATCAGATCGAGTTCCTGGATGTTTCCATCCTGGGCCGTAGGATTGTTTGTCTCGTACAAAGGTCGTTTTGACACAGTACAAGCCCCAATTAAGGGAGAAGTTGCCACATCTTTCCACATAATTTTTGGGCGTAGAAGTAATGCCTCTGTTCTTTAAAGTTACGCTATATATGAAAAGAATTTAGACCTTGTAAAATACTCACTCTGGAATAAAACTTGCTTCAGAAACATTGCTAGCTACATTTGGAGGAAAACCATCTGAACAAAATGAAGTCGTTCTCATACCATGTGAAGAATAGTCGTTAATTATATTTTCAACATCTGAAGGTAATGTTAAGCATAACATATCCAACGTTACGCGGATGTTGTTTTTGTCAAGAAATTCTATAGAAGGATCCAAATTCTGAATTAGTTCGCCTGAAAAAAAAGCAATCTACTTGAAAACAATCAACTGTGTCGGGTTATCTTTTGTATCAAACAAAATAAGCATTCATTAAAATGCTTTTTGAAAATTATTTTTTAAATGTTAGCCATCACTGTGGACAACGTGGTACACTAGGCAGCGCAGTGGCATAGTGGTAAAAACTATGGGTCAAGTAATCAGTAGCCACCCCAAAAGAACTTTTCTCTTGGCTATGGTTCTTCATAAATAAGCTTACCGCTTCACTAAAGTGTCGAAATTTACTATTTGCCGATGATGATTTGAAAATCTACGCCAAAATTACAAATCTAGAGAACTGTATTTCCCTTCAGGACGATCTAGATACTATCACACAGTGGTGTGACAATAACTTTCACTTCTTAAACATTTCAAAGTTTGTTCATAAAGTCGCAAGGTGAACTCGATTAACTTTGATTATTGCATAAATAAAGCAGTTTTGGAGAGAAAATAGAGTCTGAAGGGTGTAATAATTTCCTGTAGGTTGTACAGCTGTCCATGTAGCACGTGTCACTTCTGAAGCGACACGGATTCTAGGTTCTATAATGCGTAACTGCCGATCTTTTTCCAACGAAATATATAATAATAATAATAATATTTATTCACTCAATGTACAAAGATAACAAACAATATGAGTAAATAAATATAAAATCAAAACAGGCCCAATAGAAGGCATCGCCTGTACATGGACCAATAATTTAAGTTCAAACTGTAGAATGCAAATGACAAAAAAGGACAAAAATTAGCTACAGTAGATTATGTATTTAGTTGATGTTCGTATTTATGAGTTTATGAATTTCAGTCCTAGATATAGAATGTAGCCACTTTTTTAAATTTCTTTTGAAACAATTTCCGAAACGTAAATCTTTTAAGTCTTTAGGTATAATATCATAAAATAAATAAAATAAATAGAGATATGATCGCTGCATTTTAGATTTATGCGGTTGAGGAACTGTGTCACGAATTTTGTACCTGGTATAATGATTATGTTTAATTTTTTGGTCGGTGTTTACAAATTTATGGTAGTAAGTGATACTGTGTAAGAAATAAAGCTGTCTTATATCATACATTCGAACATCTGCGTATAATTTTTCAGTGGGATAAAGTTTCGGTTTTTTAAATATCATTTTTAGAATACTTTTTTGAAAAACATCTAAATTATAGATATGTGAGGAACATGCAGCTCCCCATGCTAATATACCATATGTGAGATGAGGCTCAATCAGTGCATGGTATAATGTTCGAAGATATTTTTCTGTCAATATATTCCCAAGGTATTTAATTTTGTAGGATACAAATATAACTTTCTTTAAAATATAATTGACATGGATGTCCCATCGTAAGTGAGGATCCAAGACCACTCCAAGGTATTTTATGTTGGGCACTCTATTAATTTGCATTTTTTGATCATTAATGTTGAAGGAGAAATTTGTGTAATTTGGCAGATGTCTAGCATAAGATCCAAATGGTAAAAAATGTGTTTTAGAGTAGTTAATGCTTAATTTTCTACTGTTAAACCACAGAATAATTTTGATAAAATCATTTTCAATTACATTTTTCAGATCAGACCAGTCAGTACCTTCATATAATATTGCAGTATCATCTGCAAAACTAGTTATTTTGCCAACACAATTAATTTGGAAAATATCATTTAAATATATATTGAATAACAGCGGACCTAAGACAGTTCCTTGTGGGACACCACACTTAATATACATTTCTTTACTAAATGATCCTGATATTTGCATAGATTGTGGGCGATTTGACAAATAATTTTCGATCAGTGAGTACGCGTTTCCTCTGAAACCAATTCTCTCCAATGCTTCTAATAATAATGTGTGATTAACTGTGTCCAAAGCTTTCTTTAAATCAACAAAAATGCAGATTGAAGGGATTCTGTTATCAATATTTTGATGTACTTGATTTACAATTTTAGTTATTGCGTCCGATGTAGGCTTCCCTTCTGTAAATCCATATTGATTTTCACTTAAAATTTTGAATTTTGTGAGGTATCGAATCATTCTAGTAGATAAAACTTTTTCAAAAACCTTTGCTACACTGGATATTATTGATATTGGTCTATAGTTGTTAACATCTGTTTTTGTTCCTGATTTATGTATCGGTATTATATTACCTTTTTTTAAAATTGAGGGATATATGCCAGATTCAAAGCATTTGTTGATTAGGTAAGTGAGTGGTTCTGTTATGTCCTCGGCTATAATTTTCAAATGCTCGCCTTTAATACCATCGAACCCAGGACTTTTCCGATTTTTTAAGGACATAACAGTGGTGTATACTTCGCATTGCTCGACTTTATCCAAAATAAATTAGTTCAAAGTTCTTTTTGGAGGCTGAGTATTTTGTACATTTGCTTATATATTACTTGCTAAATTTTCGCCTATGTCAGTAAAGAATTGTACAAATTCATCGCATATCTGTTGAGTATTTTTTAATACTGTTCCCGATGTTGTATTTAACTCATCAATAGTTGTCCAAAGCCGCTTAGGATCATTTAAGTTATTATTCAATTTATTTAGGTAATGTTTTCATTTGGTTTGCCTTGCAAGCTCTATAAATTTATTTTTATATTGGTTGTAGCAGTCGGTATTCTCTGTAGTTGGCGTTAGTTTCATTACATTATATAGTCTTTCTTTTTCTATTGCCGATGTTATTAATCCTTTGGTAATCCAGGCATTTCTGCTTTTCTCTTTGTGACTAATTATTACTTTATTGGTACTAATATCTATTAGTTTTTTTATTTTCTCTATGAACAGTCCCGTTGCTTTGTCTATATTATTTATAGAGTATAATTGTTCCCAGGATTCTTGTTTGACATTTGATATTAGTTTTGAATTGTCGACAAAAACTTTGTAATTTTCCTGGTTGTTATATATGAATAAATGGATGCATGATTAAACGAATATAAATGAATAAATGAATAAAATCATAATATATTGTGCTTGTTAATAGGTGGTAGATGGTTTGAGACCGTCGATCGTGGAGGTACCAGCCGGCGGATCTCTATGGGACTATAATGTGTTCGTTCCCTCGTAGAGTTCGTGTGATTCTCTGCCTTGTCCTTGTATCCTCATGAAATCCCACGAGTATTAGACCTGCGTGGTGGCTCAAGTACAAACAAATTTAAGCGATATTTGGCGAATTACTAGAGTAATGCCGATATTTTATCCCTCAATCGTACTCTCTTATCCATGGAGACATATTTCCAAACAAAAATGTCAAGAGTGGTGAAATCACACGATCTAGGTGGCCAATTCATCGGTCCGATACCGGTCGCCATATCACTTGAAATGCGCGGACACGTCATCAAAAACTGGAATTTCACAATAGACTTTACTTCGATAATAAATACATGATTTACCTTTTATATATGTATCCCTCAATGAGCGACTCGTTTGTTTTGAAATCAGGGTTTTATGAATATCATGGAAAGAAATTAGCTTACCTAAGCAAGTTGGGATGACTCTCACGGATGTATGAGACTGTTCACCATGCCCACACCTTAAAGTACAAATCAGATGCAAAAACAATGGTTCGACCTCACTGCTATTGACCTCGCTGATCCCGCTTATTCCACTCTCTAATCTTTGTAATAAATGTGGACCTTCAGAGTAAATACTTATTTCTGATTTAAACACAACTTCTGATGGATTTTCCGAAACTTCGTCATCGCTATCACTCATTTCTTCTAAAGGCTCAGCATTTTTGAGATTCTTGAAAAAATAGTACTCGCTGTTCGTCGGTATAGGATAGAAAACGGTATTCAGCATCTTGAAAAACTTTTCTTTGATCAAATTATGCAATTTTTTCAATTCATAGCATGGATGTGCCTGGTTTAAGTCTTTCACAAGCATGTGGTCAGAGTTCAGCTGCTTGACATGGGCGCATACTGTCATAATATATTCTGTGATATCTATTTCAGTGATAGACTCTTCACATTGATCGATAGCTGATTGGACATCATAGCTGTGAATAAAAATACCCCTGTGAAGGGCTATGAAAAGGGATATTGTGAAACATTTCGAATGAGTTACTATCAAAGTTTTACAGTGTTGACGGACACTGTTGTGGTTGTCATTATCCTCTTTAGGCTCCGAAGGAATATCACAGTCTTCTTTTAGCCTAGAAAAAATGTAGTAATGTAAAAAGTACCACCTCGTCATAGCTGGTTCATGCTATTTGACAACATTCAGACATTTTACAAAATATCTAAGCAATTGACTTTATGTTATATGACATCAATCTTCTTGTTTTTAGAAGCTCTATCTAAATATGCAATAGCATATAGAGTATTCTATTTAAACAAAATATATGTTTGCTATGGCGAGAAGTTATGGAACACCCTGAATATATTCAAATAATTTTAAAATATGCACTCATAATATATCAAGGTTTTCCCGAAAACAAATTTTTGATATCTTTTCCATTTTGCTCATAAAACTACTTTCCATTTTCGTTGGGACACCTTGCATAGTATAAATATACTAACTGACATATAAAATGCAACGCCCAGAATTATTTATCGAATTTTAATAAAAACTTGTAAATATACTCGTATTTGCTATCATGGAAGTGTACGCTGATAAAAATGTTGAAGGTATTCCGAGCCGTACTTTTTTTTGTCATATCAGGATCCGAACAATATGAACATGTTTACTTAATACGGGGATGTCTTTTAAGTTTGCATATAAACATAGTAGGCCGCGCGGATCGAATCTTAACCTCACTCTTTAGTAAACTTAAATTCAAAGTTTCACAACAATACGTGCAGTGTTCTCACTACAGTGAATTTTTAAGTGTCACCAAGTCATTAGAAAAATGGAACTCAACCGAGAACATTTTCGCGCCATAATTTATTACAACTTTCAGAGACACTTATCGCAACAAGAATGCCTTGCGGAGTTACTGTCTGTTTTCGGCAACGAAGCGCCACATCAGTCGACAATTTCACGTTGGTATGGAGAAGTCAAACGTGGACTTAGCGACGATCCCAGGGTGGGTGCACCAAAAACGGCAGTCACCCAGGAAAACGTCGATGCTGTGAGCAAACTCATTGAAGATAGACATGTGACATATCGCGAGGTTGAGGCGTCCTTGAAGATCTCAAGGACCTCAATTCAAAAATTTTACATGAAGAATTAGGAGTAAGAAAATTAGTTTCTCGTTCGATACCCCACCTGTTGACTGACGAGCAGAAAGCAGTCAGGGTTAATTGGTGTCAAAAAACGCTTGACCGTTTCAATTACGAAAACTCAAAAAATGTGTACAGCATTGTTAGTGGTGATGAATCGTGGATTTTTTGTTATGAACCAGAAAATAAACGACAGTCGGCTGTTTGGGTGTTCCAAGGTGAAGAAAAGCCAACAAGTCATCCGTTCTCGAAGTGTTTCGAAAAAGATGGTCACGACATTTGTATCAAAAGCGGGTCATATTGCAACAATTCCTCTTAATGAGCAAAGAACTGTTACTGCGGATTGGTATACCACCATTTGTTTACAAAAAGTCATCACCGAGATTCGAAAAATCAACCCCGAAAAAAGAATCATCCTCCACCAAGACAATGCAAGCTCGCACACAGCCCAAAAAACAAGGCAGTATTTAACGGAAGAAAACGTGGAATTATTGGACTATCCTCCATATAGTCCCGATCTAAGTCCTAACGTTTTTTTTACTTTCCCGAAAATTAAAAACAGACTGCGTGGTCAAAGGTTCCAGTCATCAGAAGAAGCAGTTGACGCATTCAAAAATGCCATTTTGGATGTGCCAGCAAACGAGAGGAATAAGTGCTTCGAAAATTGGTTCGAGCACATGCAGATGTGTATTAATCTTCGTGGAGAATACTTCGAAAAACAATAAAGTCATTTAAAACTACCTACCGTGTTGTTTTATTTCCATATGCAAAACTTAAAAGACATCCCTCGTATTCAGTGATTTTTCTGTGTTGATTCCATTTGTTTAATTGTTGTTTCATTGTATTATTATGCCTAGAGTTCGCAGACGCAATAAATTCAGACAACTTTCCGAGTTTGAGAGGAGTCGGATAATCGGGTTACGTCAAGCCGGATTTTGTTTTAGAGAAATCGCTAATCGCGTGAATCGAAACGAAGCTACTGTAATGAGATGTTATCGAGCGTGGTTCCCAGAAGGCCTAAATCGACGAGTTACAGGTACTGGTCGTCAAAGACAGACTACAGGGCGACAGGATCGTTATTTGAGGCAACTAGCACTAGATCGATCTTTAACAACAAGGGCAGTTGTGAACCAGTGGTTTGATGATGTCGGAAGGGCAATAACAATGAGGTCAGTTTACGCCGAATAAGTCTTATGGACTGTTTTCATACCGTCCCCATCTTGTACTACCTTTGACCCCACAGCATCATCGGCAACGATTGGTATGGAGTAGGAAGACACTTGAATGGAATATGGAGTGGAATTCAGTCGTGTTCAGCGACGAGTCCACAAATGTTGGCCGTGCAAGAGGACGGAGGAGACGTGGTGAAAGACCAAATGTCCAGTATTCCATTGAACGGCATATTCATCGCACTGTGGGTGTTATGGTATGGGGTGCCACTGGTTACGGCAGCAGGTCACGATTAGTGTTCATTCGAGGTAGGATGGTAGCCCAGCGCTATATCCACCACATCTGCTTCCCTTTTTGGAAACACTGCAAGATCCACTTTTTCAGCAAGCAGGTTGCACCCTCCACAAACATTGGAGGCTCTACGAAACCAAAGTAGGATAGTATGGGATACAATACACCAAGACATCAATCACGTAATCCAATCAATGCCGCGACGACTTAATGAATGTGTAGCGAACAGAGGAGCTTCAACACATTATTAACACGAAGGTAGGTCATCTCAGCTATTTTGCGAAATTTCAAGTAAAAATTTTAATCACCTTTTATTTATCAGTAGACCTAAAACTTGTAAAAGTATGCTCAAAATTACAGCAGACCTTGTGGGTGTTGCATTTTTAATGTCATTTAGTATATAAGTGGTTGCAGCATTCAAATGGATTGAGTATCTTCTGAAATATGTTGGTCAACCGCAATAACCAGAGCATACACTTTTTTGTTCAACTGACCCATAACACTGGATGACTTACTTGATGCACTCTTCAGAGATATCGCCATGCTTAAACATATGGTCTTCATATATATCTGCTGGAGGCACATCTTCTTGATTATTGATATAAGCATTGACCAATCCTCTGAGTGGACAATCAAAAACGTAAATTGGCAGACAAACCGAATTGGTCGAGGTGATAGGCACATCGCTAAAGTTACTGCATCTAGAAGAAGCTCGTTCCGTACTATCTAAGCTTTCAGTCAAACTTGGAATGTTGGTGTGGTCTACGTCTACAGCTAATAGACTTTTGAGATCATCTATCGAGGCGGCAATAAAGGTTAGAATTACGTGGGTTTCTGATACGCCTTTTATAAAACACCTCCATTGAGCTCCTGTTATATCTTCTTTCTCTTGAGGGTATACTGAAAAAAAAAAACAAACATACATAACAGGAAAAAAGGCAAGTGGCAAGGTTATTAGTTTTTTTTTTGTAGATTTCACAGAGACCAAATTATCATTTTATAGAAAGTTCACATCAACATGGCTTCACAATGCGAATTATCTTCAGACTAGATTAACGAATGACTAAGATTTTTAGAATCTTAGAAACTGGAAAATTTTGAACCCTTCGGAAGGAAAAAGGAAATGATTTTCTACGCCACTGATGGAATTTTTTGTCAAAATTATCAATTTTACATAAATCAACGCTCTTGAGAAATTTTTGCTAGACTACAACTTTTAAAAAGAAAAACTGGTTGAATCAGTATGACACTTCAACCTGTTCTACTTTCAAAACACATTACTGAAGTTTGATAATGTAATGTATTATGAAAAATCCTATCTCACCATAGCATTATTTGAACAATATTCATATTTTGTCCTTATTCAGTCTCATCAGTTATGTAAAATAAAAATTTGCGAGGGTTGTTTCAAAATTAAGGTTACCAACGCTATAACTTTGCCGCGCGAGATGCTAGGCGAAATCTGGCAACACCGTCGTACTTGTCGGCGCCCCCACCACCCATCCCAACAAGAAACGCCTATTTGCGATGCTCAGTACGGGCCCGACAGCCTTGCGCAATGGAGCTCTTCGTCGCCGTAACCGCCAGTACGAAAATAATGATAGTAATAATAGCGTTTATTTGCAGAGCAAAAAAAATATACAAAGAGAAAAAAATTAAAAATGAATTCCCTGCAAAAGGGTCTAGTAAACAGACGAGCTGATCAAAGTACTAGCCCAACAAACAAAATTACAACAGAGGAGTTCTTAACCAAATTATATAAGATAATATTAATAATCAATAAATAATAATTACAAACGTCAAAAAAATATATGTATATAAAGAAATTATATAAAAAATATAATTTAACGATGAAGTGGTTGGGAAATCAGCTTCCGATACCGAACATTGATATTGTGAACATCACTTCGAAATGTAATCTTATTATACAGGGTGACTTCGAAGTTGAGTCATTTATTTTAACAGTGAGTAGATCTGAGCAAAAGAAATGTTTTTTCCTTTACCATTTTTCTGGTAAAATTAAAGTAACAAAGTTATAGCCCTTTGGAAGTTTGAGTACCGCCCTGTCTCAATAATAATATTATGTGCTCGTGTTTGGCAACAACGGATATAATCCGCCTTATCGGTTCATCGCATCGGAAACAAAAAAGCGAAAGAATTTGGAACGATGTTTTTACAATTATTTTATTCAGTTGTATACAGTCAGTATCAGTCGGTAACGCGTGAGTGAATAGTGGTGTCTGTTGCGTGGCTCAAACGAAATAAAAAATGGCACATGTTTACGAAAATGCTGAACTTGTGGACATGATTCTTATTTACGCGGCATCACGGATTTATGCGGATCGGTTTCCCAATCGAGTGCAACCAACCCCTCGTGCCTTTGTTAATGTAGTACAAAGGGCTCGTGAATCAGGTGACTTAAGACCTCACAGGGGAGGGCATGCCGGTGCTCCAAGACCGCACGATCAAATACAGGTCCGCACTGAAATACTTGTCGGGAGGATACTTTATAAAACAAGGTACCATTTTTTTTTAATTTTTTTTTATTTTTACACACATATTTTAGTTTATCTTCCTTCTACAATCATTATCTGAAAATTAATGACTCAACTTCAAAGTCACCCTATATAAATAAGGCGGAGTTTTATATAGAATAATTTTATGAAACAAAACTGCAGAATGCAGATTTCTCCTAGCTTCCATATTTAGCCATCCTATTACAGGTAACTTATAAGAAATATGTTAAATTTTTTTCAGTCCAAAAATAAACATAAGTCAAGAGTTTTGGACACGCTTTATACGGTCAACATCATACCTTGTTGTTATACAAGGCCCATAAACTGAGTGACAGTAATTGAATAATGTGAGAACAAACGTGTCACCATATATATATATATATATATATATATATATATATATATACTACTAGTAATATTTGCAGAGTATACTGAAAAAAGTAATGGACCCAAGATAGAGCCTTGAGGTACCCCACACGGAACAGGCTTGGAAAGAGACACCCCGGAAGAGGTTATGACAAACTGCGTCCTCTTCGAGAAATAACTTTTGAATAGTTTAATAGCTTTAACGGAACATCCCATGTATTTTCAAATAGAAAACATTAACTGGTGATTAATTGTATCAAATGCCTTTGTGTAACCAAGCAATATAAGAGACGCTGTATTGCCGTTATCAATATTCCTGATACTCGTAATTTCGTCCGTAACATCTAGAACCGCTGTCGTGCAACTAAAACCCTTTCGAAACCCTGACTGAAATAAGGCAGCAAATCATATTCATCTATATGAAGCATTAACTGAAATTTTATAATTTTTTCCAGAACTTTAGACAGGACCGGTAATATCGAAATTGAACGAAGATCCGACAAGCTACATATAGTGCCTTTCTTTGGCAGAGGATGAACTTTTGCAACTTTCCAACAGTCTGGAAAAGTATTTTCTATTAGGCAACAATTAATAATACGCGTTATGGCTGGTAAAATATGCGGACAGCATACAAGTAGCATTTCTATATTAATACCATCCGCTTCAGTTGCAAGAGATTTTATTTCATAAAGATATTTGTAAACAATGGATTCAGAAACAGGTTCAAATGAAAATAACCGATCAAAATCCTTATGGAAATTGCTATTGTAAAAGTGAAATTTTTCAGGATCAGGATCAACATTGCCCTTCGTCGCCGTAACCGCCAGTTGCGAAATTCGTGCGGTCATCCGATTTTTGAAGAGAGTTTTTTTACGACCGCATCGATCAACGATCAACAACGAAGCGGGAGGTTGTCGATCTCCGAGGAAGTTATGGCGCAGATTTGGCAAATCTTGCTCGAAGATCGGCGAATCACGAACCGGGAACTCTGCAAAGCATAAGACTGTACCACAACAAACGAAGGACTGAATCGAGCGATTTGGCTGGGAAGTCATTGCTCATACCCCTTACAGCTCTGACTTAGCGTTTCCGAAATTGAAGGGGCACCTAGGCGGTCAACGGTTCGAGACGTACGAGGAGTTCCAAGAAGCAGTTACCAAGTTTCTAAGCGGGTTGGAGGCGGACTTCGGACTTCCTTGAGGCGGGACTGAAAAAGTGGGTTCCACTTCTAAAAAAAATGCGAAGAAAAATAGCTCTAAGGCCAACGTTTCCAATTTGAAATTCGTTTTTCCCAATAAAACATTCCTTCTGCCTGAAAAAATGTGGGAACCTTATATTTGAGACAACCCTTTTAGAACATACGTTTATGGGACCTTTTTTTATGTACTTTATGCTCTAGAAATATTGCATTTGTTTTTTAATCAACATGCATAAGTCTTACCTCTGCAATTAACGTTTTCTGATATCGGACAAGTATGACCACTTGTATTCTTATGTCTTAATAGAACTTCTTGCGTAAACCTGTCAGAATCTTCTTTGGTCAGTTCTAGCTCTTGGTCGTGTATCAGCGCAAGATGCTCCAATATATTTTCAAGCAATAACTTATTCGACTTATCTGCACTATTTTCAGCAATATAAGATTTGTCTCGTGCTTCGATGAACATTGAAAAGGTCAACTCAGTTTGTTGACATACGGGCAGAATTGATATGGGGTCAAATTTGAAGGGCATATGCTCGATCCTCGGACTAGTAATGGGGTACAACTGGGTTTTGCTGAAAAATAACATTGGAAACAGGTATTCATTTAAATGTGATTTTTTTAAAAAGGAAAAATATAATGACTAAGAAAAACGTTCAGTTTTTAAAAATTGTTTTTTTTTAAATGTCGTCTAGTGCAGTTACAGTAGCCATTCTGGAATCCGGATGTTCAATTACATGTCCCAGCAGTTCAAGTAAGTACTTGGAGACGTTGTAATCAAAGTCAATTTTCTTTTCACTCTGTATCTTGCTACTCTAGAATCTACAAGAACTACTAGTACAACACTAAAATCCCTGGACTAAACCCTAGTGCCAACATGCGACTGCAACCATGCACATATACAGGTATGTCATATGTTCAAACTTACCTTCTAGCTAAGATGGATGGTGATTCCAAGTAACTGTTCTTACTATTTCTTCTCGAGTACGACTTTCGACAAACAGTGATTTGACTAATATTATTGAAAGTACCGCTCAAGTTGAATCGATCATCACTCTTCTCTTGGCACATTAAACTTAGATGTTCCATTGTTAACAGAGAGCTTATGCACTGTAGGTCCACTTTACAGATCTAGAAACGTAACATAAGACAAATAAAAAATCGTCCATACAGTGAATCTCTTATCGATACTATTTATTAGATTACTCCCACGTTCAGCCCCTCATACCTCTACTGCTGAACCGATTTTCATCAAACCAAGAACCATCTCGACAGAGAAAACAAACAAGCGCACTTAAATCGGATCAGACCATGGTGGGCTACACACGCACGCATACGCACCTGCTAGACTTTATAATACTCATTCCTTGCTATTGAATATTAAGTAAACTGACTCGGTACTTACAGCATCTGCAATTTCATAATAAGCCTTGTTGTCAATATAACTGATTCTAGGATTGTTTGGGACGACTTTGCCATACTGTGGTTCAATCCACACCTCAGTGACCATTTGCAGCTCAGCCTCTGAATCTGACGATTGCTCATTATCTTCTTCTGAGCCGCTGTAAATATCATCTCCTAAACAGCAGTGCGGTGGAAAAAGAACGTATTGAACTATACAAGTAGCTGTGGGTTCCATCCATAGTTCTATCACCATTGTTATAATACCAGATGAGGAATGAGCGAAGCTGTAACCCTCTCGTAACCTCATACTGAAATTAAAAATCTCGTAACGTACTTTGCTCTGATACCAGGTTAATGAGAAAAGTATAACCACCCATTTTTTTTTTCAAAGTACAAAAGCATTTATTGTCAGTTAATGATACGAGGTCTGCAAGCTAAGTGATGGGACTGGCAATATAGCGTTCGATCTGGCAATACTTGAGGCGCCGGGATTGGAGGGGGGACAGGGGAACATGTGATCCGCCTTCAGTACAAGTTTGAACTCGCTCGAGTCATTTTATTGTCCGTAGCGATTTTTTTGTGGAACAGTTTTTTCTATTGTGTCCTAAAAATGAGTGAAATCAATTTCGAGCAGCGGTGTCCTTCAAACATGGGCACAGTGAAATAGAAACTCTTGCTAGATAGGCCCCCGGAGATAGTATTTTCAGTTCAAACATCGGATTAACAAAATTTCTTTTAGATCATCATAGCAGCCGCGCTGTTCCGGCATTTAGGCTTCTGCCTGCGCGGCTGCTTCAGTATAAAAAAAATGTAGCGTTCGATCTGGCAGCGTTGGAGGCGCTGGGCTTGGAAAGGGGACAGGCCAACATGTGGTCCGCTTTAGGTACAAGATTGAACTCGTTCGAGTCATTTGGTTGTCTGTACCGATTTTTTTTTGTGACGTAAGGCATTTTCAGAAGGGCGAGAGTCGATTGAAGATGAATCACGAATCTTCAAGAACCGATGAATATATCGATAGAACCCGGGATCTTGTGCGTTCAGATCATCGGTTGGCAGTCAGAATGATCGGGGAAGAGTTAAATTTAACTCAAACCACCGTTCATCAGATCAAGAAAAACTGAGTGTTCCATCACGATAATGCTCCTTGTCACACAGCAATGTCAATAAACGAGTGTTTGGCCAGTAAACACATTCCTGTAGTTCTTCAGCCTCCTTATTCACCTGACTTGGGTCCTTGTGACTTTTGGGACAGTCGGCTGTAACCGACCAACTGAAGGCTATTCCAGTATCGGAGTTCCAGCACCGCTATGACGAGTGGAAGGACCGACTCCAGCGCTGTGTGGCTTCAGAAGTGAGTTGTTTTGAGGGTGGCAATATTGAATTGTAATTATATTTGAATCAGTCTCATAACTTAATTTACAGACCATGTACATCCTCATGAAGCTTAAAAATTTGATCTATTTTTATGAATAATTGAGATTTCGGTCGATGCTTTTTTGTAGACATTATGGACCAATTTTCGGAAATACATGCTTTTCACTTTTTACAAAATAGATTACCATCGTACCAAACATTCAAACGTTCGTTGTTATTGGTATACCCTTTATCTAAGATAATCAATGGTTTGGCATACGTACTTTGTAAGTGTGCTTAGGATTCTTGATATAGAATTATCTGGTAATTTTGGATTTGCCTGTAATGTGGCACTCCATATCCACCTCTTATGAAATAGATATCTTGAAAGTGTTGTGAACAGCGATCCAGTTACTGGGGATGGCAAACTTAGACAAGAAGTATGAGGTGGTTGTGTACCGTCTGGAAATACCACAGTTGTATAATTGTTTGGAATCCGTTCATATCTAAAACAGACAATATGCAACTTAAGCTTTATATGGCGTGCTCGACTCTAGTCTCTGGCTGGATGGACAGCATCAAGCCAGTGTTGCCATTTCCAGAAAAGTAACCTACCTTATCAAAATTTTTTCTAGGGGTTTCTGCAATAACACACAACACAAATTTTCTTTCATTTTCACAGGATTTGAAGAATAACACAGCACAGATATTTCGTGTTTCAACTGCTCGCAAACCTAAAAAAACGTAGATACACTACATATTTTTGTGTTAGCAGTATTGCAGAAATTTGACATCGGATAGCTGAATGTGTGCCCCAAAAATCCAGGTGGAATATTCACGCCTAATGATGTTTTTCTCTATATTTCACAATGTTTCAGCTTACCTCAAATCTAGTTTGACTAGGCGTGCCAGTTGTAAACCCAATATTCAATACGACACATGGGAACTTTGATGATACACGTACTATACAGAACCAAACTGGTGGCTTCCCAGATTCTTTGGTCAAAAGCTTTAAATATGTGTGATTGTCGATAAGAATGAAAGAGGCCCATTCTGCTAAGTAGCCATATAGGGCTGCTGCTGCCTGTCTACATTGGACAACCTAATTTGGAAAAAATAAATATATTAAATAACCAATTGTATAACCACCTAAATAGGATCATAAAACGACTCTATATTGATACTTAATTGATTTGCATTCAAAACGGAATGTTTATATTTTTACTTGTCATAAGACAAGGCTTATGTATAAAAGCATACCTGATATCGTTGTGATGAGTTGGCCAAGTGTAAATATTTGGGAAGAGGATGATCATGTCTCAGAATCAGAGAAACTTTGTGAACGTGTAACCACTTTCTCCAATTACCCGTTTCCATTTGGCATACAGGTTGCCAGATATTCACAAACTTTGGGTACGATGGGTCACTGAAATAGAAATAAAGCCGAATGAGACTTCAGATGTTTTTATAACCATAAGTGGTCCAAATTTGGACCTACGAATTTCTCGTCTTTATTCGAATTATCTAAGTGTACGAAACTTCGTTGAATTACAGCCACCAATAATGAGAATTGATTTTCTGTATTGCAAAAGCTCATTGTTTTCCACCGATACTAAATACTTGAATAAATGTTATACCTTGGTGTCAACATCAACTTCATTCCATCAGCGCTTCCAGAATTGTTCAGGATGAAAACAGGTATTCCATTTCTTATGCTCTCAGGCAAGGTGTACCAGTCTTTATTATTTTGAAAGCAACTAAGTTGCTGAGCCAATCCTGAGTCACCTTGTGATAGCTGCGATAATCTTAACCAAAATCGTTCTATAATTGCTTGTCTATATAGTGATTTTGATTCTTTTGATGTTATATCGTGGAAAAATTCATACGGAGCTAAAAAAACAAACTTCTCAAAAACACATTCGGTATTTCAAGTCTTTGATATTTGTTGTAGAAAATTACACAGGTATTTACCAGATACACAGACTTCAAAATGTGTAGAATTTTTTATAGATGGCCATTGTGAACACAGTTTATAATGTAGGTAGATAGATGATTTCCACTGTAAGATTAATTTTATTTCTAAATTCCCATTGGAACAATACAAACTCTGAAACATAAGAGGCATAAATATATTGATTCAACTAAGAAACTTATTTTTCTCACATCTACAGTAAAACCTTCTCTTATTCGTCTATATATCAATAGTAAAATGGAAGCACTTGTATTTTCATCAGTCTGTCTCTTGGAAAGCAAAGTCGGCACTTTATGGCTACAAAATGTATCATTTCTGGAAAAATAACACTTCATAAATATGAAATTCAGTGAGTATGTTCATTTATACGATGGTTGTTTCAAAAATAAGGTACCCACACTTTTTCAGGAAAAGGAATTTTTATTTGAATAAACGAATCGACCATTGGTAACGTCGATCTTTAAACTATTTTTCTCCATAGTCGCCATTTTTTTCTACGCATTTTTTTAGACGTGAAATGCACTTTTGCACTCCCGCCTGAAGGATTGCCCATCTCAGCTTTTTCAGAAGCCTCAGGAATTTCAACCGCCTGTTATCGGGTCATGAAACGCCGATCTTCGAGCACGTCACTTCACCGTTTGAGGGCATGTTGAATGCTTATATACGTTTCCCCATATATTTCACTCAAGTGGCGATGAATTTTTCTGGGTGGTAACGATTTTGCGTACAAAAATCGGATGACCGCGCGATTTCGCACCTGGCGGCGACGACGATAGACTGGGCATCGAAAATAGGCGCTTCTTGTTGGGATCGGTGGTGGGGGAGCCGACAAACACGACGCTATTGCCAGATTTCGCCAAGCACCAGGCGCAGCAAACACACCGTTGGGAACCCTATTTTTTAGACAACCATTGTAGATGGATTTTAGTGAATTCTGGAATACATACGCAGGATCCCATCTTGTAGTATCACAATATTTTGCAGTATATCTATTTATATGATGAAACGACCATAACAAAAACAATTCATGGTAAATATTTAACGCCAAGGACGGATCTGACCCCTGAAACAGAACATTATGAACACCCTGTATACAGTCTTTTAGCTTAGAATTAACTTACAACTTGAATGAAATTCTCCAAACAGCAGCCTAGAGTAGCACGAGAGAAGAAATGTAGCAGATCAGTGTAAGACACAAAACCTGCACTTGAATGGGGATGAAAACTAGAACCAACTTTTAAAAATGAGACGGCTATACTATCGTAATGTAACTGGAACAATAAAGTTTCCATTATATTCGAATCAGGCATTGCAACTATCCCATCTGTTATGACTAGAATATCTGAAATGAAAATAAAGTAACTTTATTACTTGAAAGATAAAAACAAAATATAGTAAAGGATCAGGATTGAAGGCCATGGCCAAGATCAGATCCAAGGTCATCATTGGATATCCGGGTAATAATCAAGAAAATAATTTCTGAACTTACGACTAATGCTATTTTCGGGGAGGAGAGTTATAGCCAGCATCGAATATCTTAACATATTAACAAAATTTACATCAGGTGAGACCATTGGTATCCTAGAATATAACTTTCCCGTTTCTGGTACATCGAAAAGGGATCCCACTAACACTTCACTTTGTGCCTGCAATCACATTGTTGATTAGATATACAGGATGTTACCAAGAGTACTACACAGCTCAAGCAATGTACAGGCTGCAAATGGTAGTAACACACAATTATTAGGCAGGCAGAACCAAGCCAGTGTTACAATTTACACCTCCTCTAATGCTTCAGCTATCACATAATGAATCCATATCTCATTGACAACATTCAGCTTTTTTACCCTTTGAAAATTCAGCTGGTCCAATGCTGTTGCAGAGACGTCAGCCAATTTCCCCTCAAGCAAGTGGAATTGTTTTTCAACATATTTAATAACCTCGTTTTGATTGTCAGGCGTTAAAAGAACTCCTTTTACTAAAACTTGCTGAGCCGGGCTCATGAAAAAAGGAGTATTGGCGATAACTGTCAGATATATGCTTGGCGAGAAAATATGCTCATTTCCTGGTATTATAAACTGGAAAATAAAAAAAATCTTATATAGAATAGCACTGCATATCTAGTGCTATACAGCAGCGTAACTCTCAATGACATGAGGTATTCACACATTTCAAAATGTGCAACTGCAGAGCATCCTGGCAGCTCTCTTTTGCTTCAGCTCTCAAGAATAAGATCAGCTATAGAAAATTATAATACATACGAGAGAGAAGTACGAGAAGTGTGTATCAACACATGTTAGAAAGAGATAGAAGCCAGCTGAAGAGCGAAGGTCATCACCACATTGCTTAGCAACCGTGACGCACAAGGTCGTGCAATCTGCCACGTTGCCAATATGTTACACCAGAAAATGTTCGCACAGGCATCTACCATAGGGTAGGTTACTGTCAAACCCAAGGAGGTCTATTCGAACATTTGATTTAATGTTTTGTTTTCATTTTGATTAGAATTATATAGTTAAATTTTGATGCGACTTGTGCTTCAATTTATTTTAGAATTATCTTTGATATTCACTGATGGTGATAAAAGTTATAAATGAGCCAAAAACGTTCATCTGTGAAAATGGAAACCTGGCCAACCAATGATGCAATGTTGCAAAATTTGTGGCGGTCCTGACCTTTCATTTCGAACTTAAATGAAGCGACGGAATCGATCCTAAACAGATTCGACACAATTCACAATTCAAAAATGTGTACGCTCAAATAAAACCATTATTTAGGTGTAGAGAATAACCTAAAGCATATTTTCAATATGCAGCTCAGTTCAAGGAACTGGTGTAACATATTTGCCACGTCAGCGTTGCTAGGCTACGAGGTGATGAGCTTCACATATTCAGCTGGCTTCTAGCTCTTTCTAACATATTTTACTCACTTCTCTCTCATACAAATTGAATTCAGGCTGTCAGTAAAATTTGGTTTTCAGCATATATTATATACATATATGTAATTTTCAGGGAGTTGTGCTGATGTATAGTCAAGATATATTTTTTCCAAATGTTAGATTAGAAATGGAAATTGACTAAATAGCTTGCAAAATCACCTAACTTACTTCTTTGCACAGCCCACATAAACTAGATTTGAAACAGTTCAAAATTTCATCAAGGAGAATTTCTCCTTTTTGGATATCAACATTGGCATGAGATGGACTCATGTCTAGGCAGTATATGAATCTGTAACTATGAGCTAAAAATTTAAGTTCAGTACGATGGGTAACTAGAAAACGATTGCATTTCATATTGGTTTGTTCTCTAGGTATTGCTGATATAACTTCCAAATTGCTAGAAGGTTCCATCTGAAAAAAAAAAGATATTTATTTCACCAAGTTTCCTCAAATATAGCTTATAATAAAAATAAATAAGATTGGGTATGTCTTGATATGGAATAAAGCAAGTTGTGCATGTGGTATTGATGCAATACCTATTTATTTGACATTGTTTAAATATCTGCTGTGGCTTTCCATAGTGGCACAGAACCAAGAGGTATAATTTTGAATAAGTCTGCCACACATTTTGAGCAAGATGTACATGGGATGTCATGTGAAACTTGCATACTGGACATTCTGTTGCAAAGCAAGGATAAGGTTATTTTATTGGTTTTTGGGTAGTTAGGCCATCGTAACATATTCTTACTTGACGTTTCACCAACACGAGTCCTGTGAGCTACTACTACTCGGTAGCTAACAGGACTCCAAACTGTGAACACCTTCTGAAGATACCAACCACTCATGTTGACGTTTCACCACCACGAGTCCTGTGAGCTACTACTACTCAGTAGCTAACAGGACTCCAAACTGTGAACACCTTCTGAAGATGCCAACCACTCATGTTGGCGAAATGTCAAGTAAAAATGTTTTACGATACCCAAAAACCAACCAAATAACATTAGATGATGGCCATGAAAGACTTTCGCATTTCAAGGTTATTTTACACAGAGATGACGTGAATTGGCCACAAAAATTATCCAATCAGACTCTAATATATCACACAAAAGTTGTTCCACGTTATTCAATCAGCCCTTTAATCAATGTGTGTGAAATTCATCAACAATTTATTTGATTACATTTGTTTTATGACACCATTTCAATCTAATATATCTGGGTCTTGACCTAGTGTGACAATGCTAGAAATTTCCCTATTTTGTCTAATAGAGTGATCAAAAACATAAACCAATTATGGTTTTGTACTTACAATTCTTTGACTAGGGGTAATTGTTGTATTCAAGTGATCAAGGAGCCATTGTACCCTAGTTGCTCTAGAAACTGGTATGTTTTTCTGCATAAGTAAATAAACAACTTTTGCCTCAAGAAATTGAGGCTGATTATCCTCAGAGAAGGAGAAGTCTTGGTACAAGTCTCCATTTTCTGGAAATAAAACATTGGTATTTACAATTGTTGGTACATTGTTATAAAACATAGTCATACAAGCAACATGACAAAGTTGCTTATTATAATCAGAATAATGTTTGAATTATCCGCCAACATTATCGTGTATATATATATGTTAATCATTAAACTGGTTATAAATAAACAAATTTACTGTACACACGTGTATGCAATTTATATGCATAGTTGTTTACTTCGGGATAATATGTTTTGAACCTTACCTGAAAGTATTTCTGTACCATCTTCCGAACACTGGCTCTGAGAATCAAATTCCATTCTATGCTATTTATTTCAATTTACATGACAACTAGACTACTGCAGCTAGGATATGAGCTATATTTTTATCACAACAACATTCTTATCTTGGAATTTCTCAGTCCAAACAGATAAAACATACAAATTTAATCCATGTTGATCTGTTATGCACTTACTATTATTACTATGAAAGTAATGTAAGCATTTCCAAATGTCCAATATGTTGACAACACTTTCGATAAAACTGGGCTGGCTCCAATCACTATCAACTTCGCAAATATTTACCTTCAAAGATACATAAATATAAACATTACATCACAAATATTGCTTCGTTTGGCATTCGTTCATTCGACAACGTCAAAACATAACCCAATCGTCAAAACAAAATAAAATTGTCCTATATGACAGCTGACAGAAAAATGAGATGAGCTATTGATAAGGAACAAGACCAATTAATCGTGCCACGGTTTATCATCCGGACGTAGAATCGCGCCCTATTTCCGTCACTACTGTAATCTATAGAATTCTCATTTTTTAATTTCACCTAAGCAAATATGTCCACTATCGGTCAAACTGACCAATAAACAAAAGGTTGATTGGTCACATGACTATTACATGATTACAAAATCTATTAATTGGTCACCGCAATGACAAATGATAAGTTTTGTCACACCTTGCCTTGCAAGCTAAATCTATAAAAATAGAATATAACTTATGACTACACTAACAAATCGGTAGAAAATAGGGCGGGTTTAATACTTACACTCAAAGGCGTTTTGTTGTTGATTGGCTAATCACACGTCAATGATAGAACCCATCTTGCGTCATGCACAAAAGCACAAGTGGGAATTGTCTTATGTCAATGTCAGTGCGACTGCAAAAAAAGGTTGAAGCACAGAGTATTAAGCCACTCCCACACGATGTGGCAAATACCTTACAACCTTGGACACATGGCCATTCGCCACATCGTGTGGGTGTGGGAGAGCGCTGACAGATTGCATGTGTTCATCGAAAAATATTATTTACTTGTTTGCTGTGATTGCGGTGAAGTATTTTGATTTGAATACCTAGCTATTCATAACAATGTATGTTCCGTAACTAACTTATGAGAAGAATGAGTCAAATCAGTATACATACAAAGCAAAGGCTGCCATAACAACACTTTTTTCATATTGCTAATATTTTGTACGCTTCGTAGGTGAGTTATGGCTGGCCTAAGGATATGTATTTTAGTAAATTATAAATTATCAAGTTGTTTCATCATAATGTCCTGTTGCAATGCGAGGCTAGTTGTTCGCAGCGCTGTATACAACGTTGGAAGCATCGTGTGGGACTCGCGTTATACAGAGGCGACGCTCTGTCAAAAATCATGTTCTATCAACGCCAACTTGAGTCCTATGCGTTTGGTGGGATTCGTGTTGCTGCGACATTTAGGATATAGGGGTTATCAAAAACACTAAGTTTTATCAATACTTTTTATAAATAGCTTTTCAAGAAATAATAATAATTATCTCGCCAAAAAGGAATGTGGGTAAATTATAAACACAAATCAATTTCTTGATTATGTTGCTTGACATATGACATTCGTGACGTCTTGCTAATAACGCGTAACAACCCATAGGGAAAAATGAACCGGACGCTACTGAACATAAGCCGGAAATGTGGTAAGCAGTGTTGTGGACAGGAAGATCAAAGAGACCGACAGCAGGTGTCGCATCTGTATAATCTGTGGTTGACATTTGAAGCACAGACCACAGACAGTTTGAAGATGAATGTCATTAATGTACCAAGATTCATTTATTTATTTGCAAAATCAGATATTTTTTCTTTATAATGTAAAACTAATTGTGATATTTACGCTATTGTCGTGGTACACTTATAATTAGTATACTATTTAATTAATCTTTATATCGTCATTATTTTATTTTAAAAATGGCACAATGTAAACAAACTCCACAAGAATTTATAAAAAATGCATTTACGCCACAAATTGCTGTTATGTGCTCCCCTCTTGCAGATAAATGTTGCCAGAAAAATAACTTGGACTTTATCGAAATGTTACAACCCTACTCCACATTGAACAATGAAGGTACCTTCATGAAATACACTCTAATTTACTGTATTGATCTCCTTTTCTTTCAGTGCAATATAGAGACCCTGCAAAGATTACAGTGAGCTTAAGTAATCTAAAACTAACATTCCAGGATATAAACTGGCAGCCACCACAAACTCCTGTCGCTAGAAAACTTCTAAATGCTGCAGTTAGTGGAGCACCAGAAAGTCAAACAGAGACAATACATATTGGAAACTATTCCCTAACCATCCCTCAATCAACACCTTGGTATGAGGCGTGGAGGGAAACATTCTTAAATGTGCAATACCCCTCAGATCATGAGTTTACAAAACATTTTCTTGCTTGCATGTTGGTTGTTAGCTCAGATGATAATAATCCATTAGAGACATTCAGTCAGCTTATACACAGTCTCAATCAGGTGCAAAACTCAACACCAACAAAGTTACCAAAGTGGTTTAATGCAAACATACTCAAGTATTATGTTATTCTTCATGACAATATGGATGGAAATAGTGCAGCGTAAGGGATTTTCTTATATGCTTATTTAGTGAATGAAAGCTTTCAGAAAGCTTTTTAAATGATGTCTAGATCTAGATTAACCTTTGTTTTAGGGCATTGAAGGCCTTTGAATCAGTAAAATTATCGTATGGTATTCAAAACTGTTTTTTATTGAGAATAAATTCAAGATCACCAAAAACGCTCAATCTAGATTATGTACCTGACCCTTGGAGTCAGTTTGTTAACAATCAAGTGAATTTAAATGAATCAAATTGTATAAAATCATCTTTAGAAATTGGGCAAGAGGCAGAAGAAATAAAAACCAATACTTATCACCCTTTAAGTCCTGTTAGTGATGAAATGCCTGTGGTAAGTAGCTTTCCTTTGGAGTGGTGCATTTTGTTGACTGTCATAATTATATAATCTGCATTGGTCCAGCTATGCAAAAAATCCATTTTCATCACTCGTTAAACCCAATTTTAAATTTATATCAAATTCGATATCTACGCACACGACTTATTCGTAAAAGCTCTTCCACATCACAGCTCTTCCACATCATATTTGAAATGTTTTCTTGCGAATGTCTTGGAACTGAGACATTACCAAACTAAACTACTCTGACATTATTTTCATGATTTTCCCCCGGATATTCAATGGTGACCTTGATCATGACCTTCAAGGTCATTTGAAGGTCATTTTTCTTTTAATGAGACCCTATACAATTGACCGAGAAAATGGAGTAAAGAGAAAATTTTATGTTAAAATATGTTCTTGATGATTTTTGGAACTTGACCTTGGATTTGACCATCATAAACCCTAATTTCTTGACAATTCAGAACACTGTGTGATCCCCAGATAAACTGGCCTCACTGTTCTTTCAATATTGTTCCCTGGCTACAAAAATCAACTTGACCGTGGATGCTTAAGGTCAGATCCAAAGTCACTATTGGATATCTGGAGAAAAATCATGAAAATGTCTCTATAGTTTCGCTACTGAAAGCAGTAGTAATATCACCATTGACCATTAACTAAGTCCAACATGTAAGAATAGTGGAGGCCACATGTGAACGTAAATTTTCCGCTTTCTTCTTTTGCGGAAGTCGATAATGGGGGATCTATTCATGAAAATCAACTTGATCTAGAAAGTCATGGTCAAATCCAAGGTCACCATTGAATAGCTGAAGAAATTCAGTGAATAGGAGCTGGAATTCGAAAGGAAGTGGAATCTGAATGAAGTGGAATCAGAAGCAAGGGTGTATCCAGGGGGGATGGGGTCAGCAGCCTACTTTTCCGTATGTATGCACTTTTCAGCAAAAAATAAACGATTTTTTGCTGTAACTAATTAACTATGCAACGGACTGGACATACCCATCAGTTAGTATTTTAAAGGTGTTTTCATCCCTCATCCAATTCTTCTATAATGTATAACTTTGGGGTCTGATAAAAAAGTTTTACAAAATTATTTATTTCGAGATGTGGGGCCTTTGCATTCTTTCTAAAGAATATATAAATCCTTCTGTACAATTTCTTTTACAACAGGGTTCACATTTGGCTAGTTAGCCTGATCAAATAAGTTTTGTGACGATTCAAGGTAACATTGCAACAGCAGTTTCCCGATTTTTCAAATCAGATTCCACTCCACATATTTTCGTTGCACACGTCGTTTGGAGCTATATAAAAGTGACAGGATGAGTAGAATTTGAAAAAAGTGTTGCTTTCAAGTATATTGCAAGCAACTAAATTATTACATAAAAAAACATCTCGCGCAATTTTTGAATATTTCAAAAAAGTAATCCTAGTAGTGTTCCATATCCGTATGAATTGTCAAATCGTCATGAAAGACTATATAAATGAAATACAAATAGAAAGAAAAATATCAAGTTAGTTAAGTAGATATGATTTGTGAAACTTCCACCAGAAATTTTTTTGAGGGTGCCCCCTTACTGTCTTGAGCTGGATATGCCCTGGATCGAAAGGAGTCAAAAGTGTGAACGGATGGAAAGAATCTTATCGAATTAGCAGAAGGAACGATTTGGTTCAGCATTTTCTGCCTGAATCTTCCCTAAAGCCTCCAAGTTTGCGTAAAAAGTGGATTAATCTTCACATTCAACATCATTTAATTTTAGGGAGATTTCATGAATGAGGAAGAAAAAGCCATGAATTCTGTAAATGAAACAGTGCATGGAGCATGTCTATCGTCAGAAGATGTAGACCAATTAAAATTATTAGTGTATGAATTTAGTAGAAGTTGCTTACTACCATATGTAGAAAAGCAAATAGCTACTTTGAGTGATGTAATTTCAAATAAAAAAGGAATGAGTAAATCATTATTCAGTGCAACCAAAAGATGGTTCAGCCCCAATAAACCTGGAGCTAGTTCTGTGGCTGTAAATAACTTGATGTAAGTAATACTTCAACGTTAAAGAGCTCTGTTTAGGTACGTTTCCATTACAACAAATTTGCTCTGGATTATCTGCCAGAAATTTGACTGCAACCTGTTGCGGAACAAGAGCCTGGGACAAGAAATGCGCCAAATAATTGCGGCGCAGAAAATGTGGCGCGTGCATGTTGCGCGACATATGCCAGGCGCTCTGACAGTCTGCAACATGTTGCGGCACATGGCGTGTGTTCATTGAATCAAACATATTGAGCAACATGCGAGCTGCCATTTATTTCATTGGAAACATACCTTTATTGATATTATGATGTGTTTTCAGATATCCTATAGATTCAACAGAATTACAAATAAGGAAGCTAGGCGATTTATATTTTATGTTTGGCAATTACCTATCAGCATTCCAGGCGTATCATTTAGCAAAAAGGGATTACAATACTGATCAAGCTTGGCTGTATTATGCTGGAGCTCTAGAAATGGCAGCTCTGTCATCTTTTATGGCAAACGAACCTAATAGAAAATCTGCTGATTATATGGAAGAAAGTATTTTAACATATCTGAATACTTGCAAGTAGGTATCATATACATGGTGTTACAAAATGCTGCAAGGAAAATTGATAAACAGATTCAGCAAGATAATCTTTGACAGTTTCACCTCAGATTTCTCAAAGACAGATTAGACAAGAGCTGCTAAAACAATGTTATTTTCATAACTACCATACTTACCATAACCAAAAACAAATAAAAGCACTCTGGAAAAAAGTGTTACCCTTAAATTTTCTTGACACGATTTTGTAACATCCTATCACAGAACTGAAATTATATGCTATTACTGATTTTGGCATCAGTATGATCAAAATCAATTCTAGCATAGCAGTGTCTGTCTTTTCTAGAATGCCACAGTTTGCCACAAGAGCCACAATTCTCAGTTCAGAATGTCTTAAAGAACAAACTTTATTTGGAGAAGCAGCTTTCCAACTAATAAGAATGACCAGTGAAGAGTCTGACCTAAGGTCTGCATTGTTACTTGAACAAGCGGCGTACTGTTTTCTGGACTCGAAAATGGTACGAAAGTACGCATTTCATATGGTATTGGCAGGTCATAGATTCTCGAAAGCTGCACACCGAAAACACTCTTTGATGTGCTACAAACAGGCATACCAGATATACGAAAATACAGGCTGGAACCTTGCATCTGATCATATTCACTATACTATAGGAAGACTTGCGAATAATCTTCAACAATTCGATGAAGCTATAGATTATTTTTCTAAGTTGCTTGAAGGTGAGAGCAAGCAAAGTGCTCAACAACAGGCTATGTTCCTCAAGGAGTATCTGACAATATTAGGGGTAAGTCAGTTTTAGGGCCGAAGACAAGGTCGTTCCTTGAGACTTCTTCACTGTGTGGACGTTTTATTTTCCTTGTCACTTCGAACAACATAAATGGGTGGGAACTCGCGTTTCTGGAGGAAAGTAGTGAAGAGAGGAAGCATTGATTAACATATTGTGCAAGAAGATGCTCATCATGGCCCCGGGCCGCATACGAAAGGGAGCGCGAAACGCAGCAATTTTTTAAACAAAAACTCCTACTTCAAACTCCAAATTCACTCTGATAATCCATCCGTTGAGAAACGAAATTAATAACGCGAATTGCGCTTTTTATCGCTGGATAACACGAAATACCTGTTTTAAAAACCTGGATAAAAATCGCATGGTTTGTTGTGGGGTCTCAAACGCGCAGACAGCGTTTTCATACCCAATATTTCATTCAGGTTGTGACCTACGCAGTCTTTGAGATGCCTTCTGTCTCAGCTGTTTGCGCACCTTCAGTCTGTGGTCTTCCAATGCGAGATCGTGGATTTTTGTCACGTTACCCTCGTAGTAGCCGTAGCCGTTTTCGGGGCACCTGGGCGGGGCTCATCAAAAAACGTGGTACGACCAGGTTGAAACTCGTTAAACCAATTTTTGACGGTCGCCATCGAAGGAGAAGAGTCACTGTACACGACATCCAAACGCTATTTGATTTTGCTGAGCGATTTCCCTTCCAAATACAACAATCGAATCACCGACCGATAATGCTCTTTTTCCATTTTTCTAAAATCCGCGGACGCCCGATTCCGAGTCCGATTCGGCTGAAATTTTGACAGTAGACGTCTACGAGAATGTATTACACAAGGCCTCTTCAACTCAGGTGCCACCAAGGCACCGCCCGTAGCACAGTGCTGCGGTGCGACTCCGTGAAGGTGTTGTGGTAGCCGTAGCGCTCGGCGAATAGAAATAGCCCGGGAGCTGGTCACACTGAATCTACCTTCATTACGGATTCGACTAAATTTAGTAATAATATGTAGTTTTTAAGTAAACGAACATAGGTTTGAAGGAAACTTTAGGCTAATTTGGAAAAACTTGGTATGTCAAACTTATTTCCACCAGAAGTTCCTGTCATACCAACTGAAAGCTAGAGCAGGCAATGCAAATAGGTATAGATAAAAATAATACCCCTGTTTATATGCGTTATGCTTGCATTCAAAAGCTCATTTGAGTTTGTCAGTTTGACACCAGGCTACTAGATGTTTGAAAGTATATGTAAAATGAATATGAAAGGTCATGACCGTTGTTATATGTGTAGGTTATAGTAGAACCCTACCGTCACGTTGTATCCTCAAGTAGGTATCAACAGTTACTTTCAGGGGGATGCACCCCAAGCATGCCAAGCCCTTTTTGTTCATTTACTTAAAAACTACATATTATTATGGAGTTTACTTGAATCCGCGATAAGGTTAGATTTAATGTCGCCGGCTCCCAACCCCAAAGGAAAATGAGCGGAGTGACATTCGTGTTGACAGTTGAACTGGTGTGATCCAGTCAGCGCGCGGGTGATACAATGATGGTCATAATTTCGAAGTAAACACATTTATTCTCAAGATGATGTCTGACACCGTTTCGATTCAACAAGTTTTCCAATAATTGGTACAATGGTTTGAGCAGTGGAAATTCTGAGTATCGCCTCTAAGGACACATCAGACAAAGAAGACCTGTTTTTACTTTTGTTGAAATTCATTATAGAAAACATCTGCTCGCATAAGTACGTTGTACCGAACACCGAACACAATTTTAGGGAAGTCCTGCTGCTTAACACCTTGATAAAATGAAATTAAATTACTATTATAGTGGTACTATCTATCCTTAAGGATCGTATCGCATTGAAGCTTAATGAGCTCCGGTGCTGTTTCGAAACGCACTGTAAATGGCGTCGTGAAAATCTCAAGCTTGATTGCAAGATCATCAATCTCCTTGAATCTAGCACTGAATGCAACGTGCAAATTCTTTAACGACAGCTGGTACTCTGACAAATGATTATATGTTGACAAATTCAACGACCACCTTAAGGAAGGGAAATGGTCAAAATTGTTCCTCTCAAGCTGACTTATCAATAACAAAATTTGCATTTTGCGGGCTTTGATTCGGACATACAAGGTGTTACTCAACGTATTTCTCCCTTGTAAGGAAACGTTCAATTCGCTCAAAATCCAGTCATATCACTTAAGAAAGCAAGGTCAGCACGCCATTGTAACACAAAATCGGCTGAGGATACCCTTTCATATCCATAAACATATCAACGTCGTCAATTATGTCAAAAAATCTTTAGCACTTTTGCGCAGTTTAACCAGCGCGTAACACAGTAGAAGGGTATGTCACCGTAAGTTGCTTCCAGGTCTTTAAAAAATACTTTAAACTGCCGGTGGTTGAGACTTGCTTTCTGCAGAAATTGACACATTTCATTACTACATCCATAAGAGATTTGAAATTGTGGAAGGTTTTTGCACATAATTGTGCCTGATGTAAAATGCAGTGTACCGATGATATCGGAGGTAGCCCAGCGTCGCGTACTTTTCTTTTCATTCGCCCAGTAAAACCTTGTGCTTCCGATAACATTGCTGGCGCTCCATCAGTAGCAACACTACGCAAGTTTTTGAGCGATAGACCTATGTCGTTCATTGTGTCCTCCACAGCACCAAAAATATCTTCTCCGGTCGTTGTATCTTTGAGCGGGATAACATCTAGTAGTTCTTCGGTGATAGTAAAGTCTGTTTCGACATCTCTAACGAAAACAGCTAATTGTGCTGTGTCTGAAATGTCTTTATCAATAAAATAAACACAAATTCCTTGGATTCGAGACCATTAATAATAATCCACCACCAGCAAATTAATAATTACCTCTTCAGAACTTAGAAGGGGGCTGGCCTCAATTCATCAATCCGCACTCGTCTTGCATTGCCAGTAATGCCATCATAATCCGTAGCATGTTTGTTTACATAATGTCGGCGAATAGTCGATGACTTAACGTTAACTACGTTGTGACAAATTAAAAAATGTGCATTTCCATCAGTATTTCCAAAAAAATAGGCTTCTTCCCATGCAGGATTGAACGACATCGTTTAAAAAAATATGCAGATTGAGACCTGTCCACTTTGTCTTATCCTATTAAGAAATGGCCCGCGCCCGAGACAGTCCGCTAATATTTTTTTCTCTGTCGCGACGGCTGTGCGGTCTAGGTGGAGGGGGAACGGCACCTGTGCCGCTGCTTTCAGCACCGGAGCGCACCAGCACCGAGTGCTCGAGTTGGAGAGGCCTGTATTACACGATAGTAAATTTCGGACCGTCCTCGTATATCATTTTCTCATAGGACCAACAAGTAGTAATTCTCCCGTTTCAGATTCAAAACAATGCAACATTTGTCGAAGATTGCATAATACTAACCGGTGTGTTTTGATAACAGTTCTGGGTGGTTCTTTCACGAGTTATTTTTATTAATTGATATAATAATTGCATTGTATTCCTTTTTACCAGCTCATCACTTTTGGTTTATATTAATGATTGTATCTCAATTATGAGTCAGTCATTCAATCTCAGTCACAGCGAACACACACACTGTAATTCCGGTTCGGTCCATGTACACTATTGTTGGAACCAAATAAAGTTTTTTAAAAACGAAGTTTGAAGTTCCGACTACATAATTGGCGCAGCCCGCAGTAGCATTCCCAAAGGGATTTTCGCCGATTAGCCCTTGAGTCCGAACTTAATTGGGAATCAAGAACCTCCGTGACGAGCCGGTACGACTGAAGAAAGAAGAATTTGGACCACAAGTGCCCTTTGTCCTGTTGAAGTCGACGTCCACCTGAGGAACCTATACCAAGAACGGGATTAAGTACTGGACCTATCAGTAAGTGCTCATTGTATCCTTATTTTTTCATGAGTGACTCACCCCGACCTGTACATCCTTTCGAAGGTGATGGTGCAGATCAAATCGCTAATCGCATAGCAAGCTTAGAATTAGGAAGTAGAGAAATAAGACAAACAAACGAAACTATAGAAAAGATAATAATGACGAACCCCAGTAGAAATAGTGCCCCCCAGTTCGACATAAAATTACTCCAAATTCTCCCAGAATTTGTTGGGAATCCCTGTAGACTATATAGATATTTAGAAATAAACACAGATTTATTAAATAACTACATCATTTACATAACTATATAAATATTCATGAAACAGTTGATGCTATTAAAACTAGTAAAAAGGCACTGTATGATAGTCATGCATTGCATACACTTTTAGTAGGTTTAAAGGAGCCACAAAGTTCCATGATTCAGTCGATGAAACCTAAAAATTTGGCAGAAGCTCAAGCTTATATTTTAGAAGATAATAACATTAGATATTTACAAAAGGCTGGTGCACATTCAAATTTCAATAAGCCACCTCAGCCTGCCCTTCCATCCAAACCACATTTTCAAAATTTGTTTAAGCCTCAAATGCAGCCTAGGAATCAAGTTAGGCCTCAGCAAAATTTCAATTATCAGCCTCAATTCCCAAGAGGACCATTTCCGATCGAACCTTACAACAAATCCTGGTAAAAAAAGTAAAAATAGGAACACATACATTTTTACACTATGTATTTTGAGCCGATAATCAAGGAAGTAAATTCGCTAAGTACAGTATTTCAAGAAATCAAGGACCAAACAGAAAAGAATAAATATAATTTAGGATTCATTCCAGATACACATTTGGCAGATATGGAACAGCATGTAGTTTACTGGATGTCAAATTTGAAAAATAAAAAGTCCATATACCCATTCTGGAAAACGCAATATCGCCCAAAACAAGGCTTAATAAATGGTTTATGATCAATTATCAAAATGATTTCAGGGAACCTAGATGATGACGATGCTAAAAAATATGACCAGGCTATTGAACAATTACAGAAAAATCAGAATCAAGTAATTAAGACAGTTAATCAGCAAATTTCCTTGACCCACGACGTTCTCAAAAATAATAATAAGACTTATGATTCACAATCAAGATGTAATAGAACAAACTTTGGTAGATATGCCAAGGAACAATACATACTAATTTACTATTTTGGATACACTATTACAAATAAAGTTCAATTTAGATACACTGCTCTCTATAACTAGTAATTTGGAAAATGCCATCGCATTTGCCAAAATTGGGTCATTGCACCACAGTATTATTTAGATAGATGAATTAAAGTCAATATTTCAAATATTAGTCAAAAATCATAATAAAGCTCAGTTGGTGTATTCAGACATCAAAGATATTTATAAGCTTTATGGCATAATTTCAGTAGAAGCATATTTTTCGCAAAATCGATTAGTTTTTGCCTTACATATTCCACTTTTGCACGTAGGCAAATTTAAGCATTATCATCTTTATTCCATTCCTACTGTTAACCAAACTACCATTATTCCCAAAAATTCCTATTTCACAATGAGTACCAAAATGTACCAATAGATGCTGAACCATATCAAATGATAGAAGATATTTTTATCTGCCACGAAAACAAATTGGTCCATGTAGCAGAAGAAGAAGACGATTGTCTATTTGCTATTTTACAAGTAAACAAAAATCAGCCAAATTGTAACAAAATTCCCGTAACTCTTAAAATGGCCTTAATTGAAGAAGTTTCAGAATCCAAATACATTGCTATCTTCCCGAAACAGTGAAGCTCCCCTACAAATGGAGTCTACCCCTGTATGCAATTATGTTAATTGGAATTGCATGCATTTTCGTGAAAAAAGTATTACCAGAAAAGAAAAGGATCAAGAAGAAGCCAGCATTTAGAAGAAATCGAAATTCAACCCCAGAGGCGCGAAGTTTTGTTTGTGCCCTCCAAAACTTCATCTTAAGGGTGGAGGAGTTATGTTGCTGTCATTTAACACTTTATTAATTGATATAATAATTGCATTGTATTCATTTTTACGAGCTCATCACTTTTGGTTTATATTATCGATTGTATCTTACTTATGAGTCATTCAATCTCAGTCACAGCGAACACACACTCTGTATTTCCGGTTCGGTCCATGTACACATGAAATTTCAAATACGACGGTAACTTAGCAAATGAACGTTTCACAAAAAAACATATTTCCTCTTTTACACCTACTATTCATAGATGTACAAACAGGCCCAATATGAACAAATTTTAAAACGTCGCTTTTCGTGGAATTTCCTATATGTCAAGACTGGCAAATAAGGCGTTCTCGCAATAAGGAATTGTTAAGTATACAAATTCTATACATTTGGTCCCAGCAAGTAATGTTTTTTTTCTTACAGAACAAATTGAAGTCGACGAATGAAGAGAATACGCTTCCCATTTTACCGGTACCTATACTACATCTCAATTCTTTAAAAGTACTTGTTGGACCTACGAGACCACTTTCAACTCCAGGCAAAGTTCACGCATTAGGAATAAATTTTAATAGTATAGATGACACAGCAACAGAGAGTAAATGGCAAAAATTAGAAGAAATGCTCATTCAGGAAGCCCAAGACTCACTTCCGATAGTATTCAAACCAAGTATAACACTGTACACAGTCAAAAAACTAGACAAAAACAAACCTATAGCAATAGTAAATGAGACTATCCAAATTATGTTTAAATTATCGAATTCGTTGCAAACCTTATTGCATCTAAAAGATACATACCTCTTGTGGAGCTTTTCTAACAAAGAGGAAACTATATCAAATGAAACACAAGACGAAAGTTTAAACAGTTTCGTGAAAACCTACATGACAAAAACATACATGATCGATGGTAATTCGTATCAGCATGTAATACTTACTGCAATCCCTTTGCAAACAGGTACTATAACGATTAAGGGGGTTTGCTATACATTGACAGGATCAAGTGGTACAAACGAAAGTAGTTCCATAAAAGGGAAGCAAGTTATAGAAATACCACCTAGCAAAAGTGAGAAAGTTCTTGTTAATGGGGAAGTTGCTAGTAAAGGTTTGGAAATTACTGTTGTACCTCCTGCACCATGTTTACAAGTAAGAAAAATTTGATATACAAATTGACAATTCTTTTTTGATACTGAATTAAATTTTGTAATCTCCCTCGAAGGGTCCTAAGAACTAATTAGCTAGGTGTCAACTTACAGGTTTTACGAATGTCTTCTATTTTTATAATGTTATAAATCACACTATTCGCGAGTTATTTTTCCAATTAGTAAAACCTATAGGTACTTGTGGCATTATTTTTTTGTGCCTACGAGTTAACATGGTGTTCTGGGTATTAATTTGTCGTATATTTCAGGTGACGTTTTCCGAAATAAACCTTGACTTTTTATCAGACGAAGTCCAAAAAGTGACGATAGATTTCCAAAATACCAGCTCAGTACCTTTAAACAATATTTATATGGCCACGTCTGTACCTCGACTACTCTGTAACTGTGAGATTAAAGAAACGCCAGTAAATTATGAGAGTATAAATACGCCAGCTTTGAAAGAAAAAATTATGAGAAAGAATCATTTAATGCGTGTACCTTTGCCAGACGGTGTTCTGGAACCTGGGCAGCTCTGCACCTTCAATGTTTGGATTAAGGCTCCAAACACCAAAGGCACCACCGATATAGATTTGCTGATCTATTATGAAAACTGCAATAAAAAGGGCAATCCAAAGTAAGTAACAAATAATATGTCGAATCTGAAGTTTTATACATTTCTTAAACCCGGACGCGAATTGGAGAGGTATTATGTTTGACATGTGTATGTGTCTATCTGTCTGGTTTGGTCTGGCTTCGTTTCCCCATAACGGATAAACGCATAACTCTTCTTAGGTTAGGTAATATATATATATAACAAAAATAGGAAAATTTACTCTTTATATATATATATATATGTCCCACAACTTATCCGACAAATTTTAACGACATATGCACTGTTACGAAAGAAGTTGATTTCTCAAAAAACATGTAATAAAAGTCCTACAGAAATCCAGATAATAACACTTCTGGGACCTGTTGGGATAACTGCCTTGTGCTTATTCCCGGATTTTCTTCCGCAATATTCAAAATTTGGTCTTCCGCATTTAAAACGCGACCCCCATCCACTCCACGTCTGGGGCCCAAATCTCCACTAGCACGTACACGTAAAACAATTGAACTAAATATTTCGTGATGTGGTATGTGCCTATTCGGAAATCGGTGTGCATACAAACGAGAAGTCGCTCGCGAATTTTGTCCTGCTTCTCCGTACGCTAAAACAATGTCCACTAACTCCTCATTAGTGTACACATGTGCCATTTTTATTAATAAATAACTAGAAACATTAACTCAAAATACTTTCTTATCTAACTTCACAAAAATCGACCGTTCTTCATTCAGATTACCCACAATACAGATTAAACCTTATTCACACGTTCTTATCCGTATGAAAAAACAAAAAATTCCTGGTATTTTGTTTTCGTCAGTTGTTTGGTACAACATTTGCTACAATAAATTATTAATGCGTGTGCTAATATCACGAATTTCTGTAGGACTTCATTACATTTTTTTTTGAGAAATCAACTTCTTTTGTAACAGTGCATATGTGGTTAAAATTTGTCGGATAAGTTGTGAACCACCCTGTATCTAGTAGTATTTGGAACTTATCTTTTATCTCTCTGTGCTTAAACGAAGTGTTAAGAACACTACAATGTAATTCTTTAATCAATATCTGTAACAAGGGTTTTAACGGTTGATTAAATAAAAATCTAAAACAACTTTTGTAACGCCAAGTTTTAAAAAATACATGTTTTTTCAGGTATAGATTGATACGTCATAGCTGGACTTTATCTCTTCAAGAGTCTTTAGCGGTAGATGTTTCAACTCAAGCTAGCTACAATTCAAAGACGGTGGAAGAGCTTGCTTTAGCTATGAAGATAACAAATTTGAACAAGCCCCATAACTCTTTATCAACAGAGGTGATGCTTTTGAACGTGGGGCTACTCAGCAAAAACTGGACTTTAACGAAAGATATCGTTACCCCGAAATACATAAACCTTCTCTCTCAGGAGTCCGCACATATTCTACTTAAAGCTAAAAGGGTCGTGAGGTCAACCAGCGAATATTCCAACATACCTCTCAGTACTGACAAAAAAAGTATACAGAGCCTAATGAATACTTATCTAGCATTTGCCAGGAAGGTAGAGAAGCCTCACATAACGATGTTCGATGATTTGGATTCATTCAGTTTCAAAGAAAATAAAGATGGAGTATTAATTTTGCAGTGGCAAGCAATAGTGAACGAAGCTACTAAGAAAAGAGTAGTGAATGGTCAATGTCATATACCGATTGAAGTAACTAGGAAAGAAGAGGATGTCATACAGATGGAAAGGATACTTTCAGATACAGTCATAGATATCAATAACAAAGCTATATCAGAAGATGACACCAACCAAAATGCTCAAAAACAAGTCAGTTTTAATGTGGCCCATCCTGCTATGGTCAAGCACAATTTTACGAAAGATAAACTTTGCATTGTGCCCGTGAAATTGTTGCTCCACAGCATAACAGACAACAATGTTTTGTCTGTTGCTATAAACACAACAGATCCAAGGTAAGTAGGGTGTCTGAAAAGTTCCGGAACCCCACGATAATTTGTGAACTAATAATGGCATGAATAAACTAAGCGCGCGATTGATACGAGTTTCACCTGGCTATCCAATGTTGACCTTGGATTTGATCATGACCATGACATTCAATGTCATTTGGAGACCAAGTCGATTTTTTCAAGTGGAACCTCCATTTTTGACCCCGTAAATGGTAAAAGCAGAAAATTTTACGTTCAAATATGGTTTTCCCGATTTTTGAATTTTGACCTTAGGAGGTCATGGTCGAAGTTAAACCGAAGTACGGTAATATAACTTGAAAGCCTGTAGTCGTATAGGGAAACTACCAAGCCATTATTCATGATCTTTCCCCGGATAATCAATGGTGACCTTGCCGCTGACCTTCAAGGTATTTTGAGAGGCTTTTTTGATGGGATACTATACTTGACCATCAAGGTCAGACACAAGTTTAGCTTAATTTCTTGATAATTCAGAAAACTGTGTAATCACCACATTCACAGACTTCAGTGTTCTTTCAGGATTGTTTCCTGGCAACTTGACCTTCACATGAGTTTTAAGATCTATCACCGTACCCGGGTTTGACCTTGAACATGACATCCTAAGGTCAAAATTTAAAAATCGTTAAGACCATATTTGAACGTAAAACTTTTCTCATTTATAGGCGCAAAAATGGGGGTTCCATTTAAAAAATAGACTAAACCTTCAAATGACCTTGAAGGTCATGGTTAAATCTAAGGTCCCCATTGAATAGCTGGGGGAAATCTCCTATCAATCGCAGGCTTAGTTTTTTCATGCCATTCACAAATTACCGTGGGGTTCCGGAACTTTTCAGACACCCTGTATAATGTGAGATTGTCTATGCTACACCTTGTTTTTGAATCCGGATTTCTTATCTTTTTGCTCCATATTGTCATGCAATGCTTGCGATCTTGTCGTATACTTAGATAATTTGAGGCGCTGAATTCGAATACCACCGTAAAAAATCTAGTGGAGCCAAAAGATAGAAGCCATGGTGTGCCATAGCGGCAAATTGACGACGGATTCGGAACTCACACACCTGATTTACCCAGGAAACTAGTTGTCCAGATCTCAGATGTAATTGGCAGGGTTATTATGTAAAAAACCTATATAATGTAAAAATAATGTCAACCTGCACAGTTGATAGCTTGTTCCCAGTGATATTTGCTATGTGAGAAAAGTATTACTGAATATACTGCCCATGAAGTATATTTATTAACTGTACAAGACGGGTTATTTATGTTGTCCTTTCTGAAGAGGGGTTATGTTCAAAGTTATAAATTACGATTTTCCACATTTTTTGCTTTTTCAAAAACTTTGAGTAGCATTGCGGGAAATCAGCACCACGCCCGCGTTGTATGTAATTAAGCCAGATCGTGGAAAAATTAGGAATGACGCATCGCACACAAAATATTTTCGCATGTAAAAAAATTATGTAATATATAATAACCTTTTCACGTTTCATAAATATTCCTGTCTGTAGCATATGTTCTCACCTGTTCCTTGTAATATACTTCACCAACCAGGGATTTTCTTTTCTGACCTCTCCCATTTTTGAAATTCAGCAAGTTTGCGTATGTAATGTAATTTCCAGGTTGAATAAGAAAAAGTGGATGCGTAATTTCTAGTTTTGCATACATCTCAAGTAAGTGTATTTGAAACAAGAAACCAACGGAATTGTAAGACAGATTATTATCACTCAAATACTAATATGCACCTATGCACGGCTGTTGCCTTTCAGCTATAATATATAACTTACAGCGTAGACCTCCAATAATGCCATCTCATCAGAGCCAAATATTGGTAGCTGAAGAGTCATAACGTTTAGGCAACGGGTACAGCTACAGAACGAGTGCACATCAACTGAACAACAGCTAGTTCTAAGTTGACATCTTGTAGAAAAACCTATGTGTCAATAAAACCGACATAGTTTCACTTTTCAAGATATGTAATATCCCTGCCAGTTTCGGAAAATTTTCTCTTTGAAAATCTCACAGAACTTTGCGGCCAAAATTATGTTTGACCTCTTTACTATATTTCTGGTTATATACCTCTGAAACACCCGAAATAAGTTATTCTTATTTTTTTCCCAGCAAAAAACCAGCTACAATCAACAAATCAAACCTCTCTTCACCATGTGCTTCCAGTACATTTTCGTGGTTAGGAAATGGCAAGGTGTTAAAAGTATTACACCCTCTTATGACAGATACTGTCAATTTGGCTGTCGTGTTAACCAGGCCAGGAACGTTTGATTTAGGTGCTCATATACAAGTTTTATGTAGAAAATATGACCAGTCAGAGCCTTACATTCTTCAATCATGTCAAATACACTCGTCACTTATTGTCGTGGATCATAGTTAATTTATTGGTACTACTTTATAACCGTTTTAAACTTTTTTTTGTTTATATATATATGTTATACTGATTTAGGTATTGTTACATATTGTATATTATATTATTGATTATAATAAATTATTGTTTTTATTACGGATATGATTTGATTTGTTAAAAATTCTAATTTAAGCACAGGAAGCAATATTTAATCTTTTGACAATTAAAACAAAATTTTGGAGTAATGCCATAGCTCCTAAAGCCGAAATATTGTCTACAGAGCTCCTCTGCATTTTGCTCACCAGGGCAATAACAACTCGTCTACTTTAATATGTGTTGCAGAAGTTTCTTAACGACTGAGAAAAACTGTACTTCATCCTCGGACGTTTGAAAATGTCACTTACTTTGAGAGAAATACGTATGGATAGTATATTAAATAAACGGCTTTACTGCTTACAAAGTGCCTTAAGTCGAAAATCTTTAGAATAGGACTAGTCCATATAGCCAAATCATATTAGACGGAAATACCCCTGGTTTACGAAACAATTGTTTTATTGCTGCAAGTTGTTCAAGGGGGTATTCAAAACATGGACGCATAAAATGGGTACACCAATTTTTATGGGAAAACTTTTTATTCGACAACAAACAATGAGAAAACGTGTTTTTTGGGATTCAATCGAAAGTGTTGGCAGGAATGCAAAAACTCTATATAAGATTTTTAGGTATTTATGAGACCACCCGGAAAAAGATACGACTAATAGCAAAAAAGTTATGTCCGAAAACCGATGCAATCTTCAAGTTTTGGCACTTGCCGGTAATGCGACGGTGGTTTCTCGCAGATACTTGAAATTCTTCAAATTCGTAGGATTCATACTTATTAATAACCACAACAAAATTGGAGTAGATAATTGTTTCTCCAAAAACACCTGTTTTCCGGCCACCACTACTAGTTTATTGAGCAAGGGGGGGGGGGTTAGTTCAAAAGGCATTTGATAGCAACATACACTACCGACATGAATCGAAAACCATTCCGGTAGATAAATGTTATTTTTATGCAAAAAAGGATGAGTTACGTTTACATACATTTAGTATTTTGTGAGTAATTCGCAACAAAAGATGATAGACACATCCGCTTTATTTTTCGAATATCGTAGTGCATTTGTTCAATTATTCACAAATACGAAATGTTTGAATTTGTTTAGAAGAAAAAAACGTAACCTTCGTTTTTCGCATAAAAATAACATTCATCTTTCGGAATTGTGATTCATATCGGCAAGGTAAACACGTGTATTTTGCTATTAAATGCTCTTTGAAACGAACCCTGTATATCGCTCAATAAACTAGTAGTGATGGCAAGAAAACAGGTGTTTTTGGGATAAACAACTGGGAATTCTTAAAAACTGCTTAACCAATTTACTCCAATTTTGTTCTTATTAAGAAGCATTTATCCTAAGGTTTTGAAGTAGTTGCGTGAAATTATCGTCGCATTACCAACAAGTGCCAAAACTTGCGTTTTGCTTCGTTTTTCGGCCATAACATTTTTGCTATAAGTCTGATCTTTTTAGATGTGGTTTCATTTTGTAGGTCTCATAGAAATCTAAAAATCATATTTGAAGAGTTTTTTCATTCCTGTCAACACTTCCGATTTAATCCCAAAAAACAAGTTTTCTCATTCTTTGTTGTCAAATAAAAGTTTTCCCACAAAAATTGGTGTACCAATTTTATGCGTCCATGTTTTAAATACCCCCTTGAACAACTTGCACTAATAAAACCAGGCTTTATAATTATTTCGGGGAAATTCGCTAATATGATTAGACCAATATCCTTCATCGTTTATTCAAACCTACCTTGAAAATCGGTTAAAAAAAAATAGTCCAAATCAACAGTACTCTACCACACAAAAAAATTGTTCTGGTAACCACAGGGATCTGTCTTAGGACCCCTGCTATTTTCACTATATACCTCAGATTTAGAAACAGAGATTGCAATGCTTCCTCTCCAGTTGGCGAAATATAATCCGGAATCGACAAAGTTTTTTTAAATTTTTGATAATACCAGTATGAACAAAAAACAAGAGCAATTGTTTATAATATATTTTATTACTATATGTACATGTTATGTGCTTACTAAGTTACAACTCAAAAAGCACTAACAAAATGATAAAATTTTACACAAATAATTACAAATAAATTAGAAATCATCTAACAAATTACTGATCATTAATGACTATTTCAATAAATGAAGTTGAAAACAGAAAGCAATATAAAAACATAGAAAAATAAATATGAATACCCACCTTTATGGAATGAACATTTTTAATGACCAGTAATCCGTGGTCAAAATACGAAATAATTTATGACTCGAAAGTATTTTTTTTACAAACATTTAATGTAGATATTTTCACTAAACCGCTGAACTGTTTCATTTCGATAAACTATTCAACAATTCTTTTTACACAAAATTCTATTCAATACAGAGGTGGACAAATATTCAGTATTAAAGCAAAATGTAATATCGACACGTCATTCCTAGATTCATATTTTGTTTTTAATGAAAAATAATTTCGATTTTCTATAAAACACTTTTAAAAGCTGTCCTAGTTATGATACATAGCTGTCGAATAAATTTCAAATGATCTAACAACCTACAGTCTTTCGAAATAAAAATTGAACATGACATGTAATATTGTACAACTACTTCCACGTGGTAGATATGTTTGTCACCAATAAGCTCAGACAAGGAATTTAAAGGAAATATTGTAGATAAATATGAACGTGTTTTTTTAATCAAGCTATTAGTAGTGATAGTGATTGACCCATTTTGCGATTTTTCAACTATTGCAGGTTGTCTGAGCATACTGATGAACACATAGTGATACAATATAGTACACAAGAGTACAAGTTTCATTTCGATCCATGGTAAATAAGAATGCCTGTCAAAAATTCCCGGAGCTTTAAAAAAACTTCTACTCAAATTTAAAATTTTTGGTTCAATTTACGAAAATACAGTCTAATTTCTAAAGTAGATTGTCTTACAAATTGTTATTCCTATTATTATGGCCAGGAATATACAAAATATACAGTCGGCTGTGCCAACAAAAAATCACATCTACATACTCATGAAAATGACTATAATTGAAGAGGTTTTCAAGTACACTGATTTGATAGTTCAACATCAATTTCTGGAAGTTCTATCGAAAAGTATTTGCAGAAATGTAAGAATCGATATAACCTTCAGAAAAATACAAATATTACAGCTCGCTAATGATACACGTTGATTTGGTTGAATGAAAAAAATTGCGGCTCTCTTCCTTTTCGGTACCACAGTATACGAGAGAGGTCCGATAAGTAGTTAGCCTCACCGTCCGATGGCGCTACTATCGCATTTGAAATTTACTATCGTATAGTACATTCTTGTAGACGGCTACTATCAAAATTTCAGCCGAATCGGACTCGTAATTTTGTCAAAGACTGTTTGGATGCTGAGTAAAAATTGGTTTAACGAGTTTCAACGTGGTCACACGTCGGTGTTTGAAGAGTCACGCCCAGGTGCCCCGAGAACGGCTACCACGGAGGATAACGTGACAAAAATCCACGATCTTGTATTGGCAGACCGAGGATTGAAGGTGCGCGAGATAGCTGAGACTGTAGGCATCTCAAAGACCGCATTGGTCATAACATGCATTGAACTATTGGGCATGAGAAAGCTGAGAAATTTTTAGTTTTTCTTTTGTAGGCTAAGTATTTATCGGACCGCCCTCATATACTGCGTTTCAAAAAGGTCCCCTCTCCCTACATACAATGTGAACGGGTCAAGTTAGCAAGCTGAAATTCTGAGTGATTTCAAGTTCTAGGATTATGAAGCACATGAGTTGCAAGATGAGTATCTCATGCCGCCTCATTTCAGCCACAATCTTCAAATTTTCAATTGCCACTTTTACGATAAAATATTCATGCAACAATTGTATCGGCCCGAATTTCACCTTGTTGAACCATCCCAAAAATAAGCAAGAGGAAGTTGGGTAGGGAAGCACGGTTTTTAAGTAGTACCCTAAGGAGTCACAGCGTCCCAAAATGTGGACAGCGGTATTTTCCTCGTCACCACATTGACAACCCCATGATGAGGAGTTGATTCCTTAATAGAAACAGACAAACGGCTCGTTTCTGGTAGTCCCTTGCTTGCTGGAGATATAACTCTGTTTCGGAGAGCTTCAATTTTGATTCACAGATGATGCCTTTTTGCTTTCTTTCATCCTAAAACCAACCCTTCGGGCTCTGTTACGCACTATCAGTAACGAGCTTAGAAGATTTATTGAACTTGTATTTTAAGTACAATAGTAACACCATAAAACATACATTATATGACGAATTTTTTTCTGAGATCCTTTATAGATTTTATTTTACGGGATAAAACAGTACATGAGGATTATCACGTAACATTGGCAACCATATTTGGACTGTAAGAAATTAAAACTGTGAAAAATATTTTCGATATCTAGTATCGAGCTATAACCTATGTAAAAAGTGGCTATATTTACTTCATCTGAAGTAAAGAAATACATGGTTGTAGCTCTAAACTCCTTGACCAATTCTACTTTTTTTTAGTAATTCTTTCTGATTCAAAATATGAGTGAGAAATAGCCCAAAGCTATCCAGGCTCAAATCGCCTTACCAACTGGTTTAAGGAAGAAATCTGCTGAGCTTGTCATCCCTTAGCTTAGAAATGTAGCTTTTTTGGACTTTTTCTGAAATCAGTTCTTGGATAGGCCTCATGTATTCATTTGTAGCAGTATGAAAACTCCCTCCAATCCATTCGGAATTTTTGTCAGGACAACAAATAAGACACATTTCATTCACAAAAATAGTTTTACAAAATAGTCGATTATAAAATTATCACTTTCCTTCTTCATTCACGCTGAGCTTTACTAAGTTGTATCAATTTAAATATGACCTTAAAAAGTTTGATCATGTAATAATCACAGATATTCACTTGCAATGGCAGGTTCCTAACTTTCACTATAAGGGGGAAGTACTAAAGTTCGGGACACGTAGGTACTATCGTTGGGTGGTTCCAGGTGGCACACGACTGTCTCCCCGTCCAAAACTGCTGCTAAGGAGCGCACTGTAGCGTCAGATCCCATGCCTGGCGACCTGTATGGCATTGCACGTCGTCGATAAGAGTCCATGGACGCATTCATGTCTTTAGCGTAATGTTTTCCACTCATGGTGTCTAGAAAACTCTTGTTGGTACCAGGGCTGTACGGTATCAGAGGTCTGTGGTCTCCGTACGACCTGGAAAAATTGTCGTGTGAATTTTACAGGAACATTTAAAACAGCAGCAGTATTCCAAGATAATATTTCAAAGAATAATTTTTTGATAGTTCGCAATCATTTCTAGATTCATATACTGAGTGATAAAAAAAGGTAAGGACCTACGTATGTTTATTAGAATTCAAGAAATTGAATGAAAGACGTGACCCACAATTTGACAGAGAACGTCACGTTCAGCACACCGTGGGAGTTATGGTATGGGGTGCTATTGCTTATGGTGGCAGATCAGCACTAGTTTTCATCAGAGACAATATGACAGCCCGACGCTATATTCAGGAAGTAGTGGAGCCTCATCTTATTCCATACTGAAACACCATCCAAAACCAGATTTTTCAGCATGACAACGTCAGACCGCATGTTGCCAGAGCATCGTTAGCCTTCATGGTTCAACATCGCATCAACCTTGGCCACCACGATCGCCTGACCTATCTCCAATTGAACATGTCTGGGACATGATAGGTCACGGGCTCTTGAATTTGCTACACCCTCCACAGACTCTAGCAGGATATTGACCACCTTATCAGCACGATGTCCAGGCGTGTCAATGAGTGTATAAGAAATCGTGGATTCTCAACACATTATTGAACTAGCTTCTACAGTCAGTTGACGAATCAAGCTGAAAATTTAATCATTTTACTAGTAAGGGACACTGTACGTGTATGCCAAAAATTATTAAAATCAGATACACATACGTAGGTGCTTAAATTTGTACATCATCAGCATATAGAAATTTAATAAACCAGATGTATAAAATGTAAATAGCAACGGACCTAATACACTTCCTTGCAGAACAGCAGAAATTACATTTCGTAATGTGGATATTTTGTCAAGGCATTACCAGACAAAGCATAATGTAACGTCGTACATATTTCATGGTTGACCCTGACAGCGTCTCGTGGAAAGTGCAGAATCAATCTTCTTGACGCCAATTTTTGCAGTACTATTGCCATTCTTACCTGCTAGATTGTCTACTCATATCGCTCTGCCTTCGTCCATCCTCATCGCTCATATCAGACACCTGTATCTCGTTCCTATCTATCTCTTCATATACAGGATCATCTTCAGGTACAAATCCCCTGGGTGTTTGTGCGTCGTATATCTCGGTGTACGTGTGATGCCCCCAGTGGGTTGGTATCAGATTGCCGTTTTTTTTCCTGTGACCATGCAAAGTTTGAGGCAAGGCGAGGTGTTTAGGTTGAACTGACGTGTCTTGCCGGGGGTTGAAGTCGAAATCCTGAACAACGCCCTGTATCATCTGGCGCGGATCTTTGGTATTACAGGGTATATGCGGATTCAGGTCAGCTACCACTGTGTGAGAACGAGGCGAGTCTTCCTGTTCCGAGCCTCCGTGTCCCGAGTCTCGACTACATGACTTAAAAGAAATGTTCTGGAAATGACAAATATTTCGAGTTAGCCAGGGGAGAGGAGTTCATTTCTTATGATCTCTAAACGCAGTGGACTAGTTTACTGTAATTCCTGCTCTGAATTGGTGAAGAATTCACCAGATTTGGGCTGTCAATAAAATGATCCACTGTTTCTAGAAGTCGGTCATCGATACGTTAAAGTAACATAAAAAAATCGAAGGAATTTGACCATAAAAGAAGTCAAGAAAAAAGTTCATGTAAATATAGGCTTGGAAATTCTTCGTAGTATGAGGTGTTTAAACTGGTCCAATAGGTCACCTTAAATTTTTCGAAAACACATTGAGATATTGAACTGCCTTGGTATAAGCAAATGTATTATGAAACGTCACATTTGACAGTAAATTGAAATAAAATATTACGATACTGCATTTTTGCAAATGGAGCCGTAATTTTTAGATATTTATTTTTTCGTGTCAATTTTACTCTCATTCATGTTCATGTTTTTATTTCTTGTAATAATGTTTTTTATTCATATTTTTAATGCATGTTGAACCTTTATACACAAGATTATCTAGAACTTGCTGTTTATTATTGGATGTTCCTGTGATTCTGTGTAAACCTGTTGGAATACAGATTATTATTATTATTATTAACGTGCAAAATGGTTTTAGTTCGTCCTGACAAGTCTCTATGTGTAGCGAAAAACACTACACCTCTGATTTCTCAAAATTGGAGTTTTTCATGGAAAAAAAATATTTTATCAGTCTATCGATATTGAAGTATAGTAATCGAGCTAGTACTTTTAATAGCAAGCACAACAAAATACTCCGCGAAATACTTTTCAAGTAGAACCAACCTAGCTTTGAGAAAACAGTGTTTTGTAAAAACCACTGGCGAAGAATTAAACAAAGTTTAAACACACTGTATCATGAAAACACGGAATGTTTATACGAGTTCTTCTACATGCATTATTTCACCTTATATTCATAGTCTTATAAAAATGCTCATGAAATAGTTTCGCTTTTAAAGATGTCAAATTCCTTCTAGCAAGATTATAAAATATCTTTTAATATATACATAAAAATAGGAAAATCAAATAAAAGAAAATACATTATTAGAAAGCAAACTATGTGTGCAAATTAATCAGTTACTGTCAGCTATGTACATGCACCACAAAATGATTACAGCCAAATAAATTTTTGGGAACATTTTTGTATATATCTAAAGTTTCTAGTTTTAGAGAAACTGTATCTCTCAAAAATTGTTTATTTTATTGATTTCAAATAAAGGCTAAATGGCTTTCCAAAAAAATCGCTACAGGCATGACTATACATGGTATTTCGAAAACAGGGGGTAAGAATTCAAAGTCAATATTCTTTGTTCTTTCTAAAAATATTGTACCTTTTTATGATTTTCGTAAAGCCGCCTCGAAAATACAAAACTATCAAAAAGTAAGGGAAGAACAATTTTGATACGAGCGAGAAGCTTAACTTATGATTTTTGCTAGTTCTGCATCTTCAAAACCAAGCGATCTTGCGAAAATTGTCAAAGGATAACATAAAATTGGGTTTGAATACCTAGTTCAAATAACCCTCCAATGAATTTTTGCCCTGTATTGTGGTCTTGTGATCACTTTGTGAGTGCCAGGCAAGCGAAAACAAGGTGCATAGTTTGCAAAGAAAAAGAATAAGCGAGAAATAGTGTGCATCTACGAACCTTCCAATGCAAAGATTTTTGCAAGGGACCCCAAGTGGACACCGATTTAGGTATATTAGGGTTGTTAATAGCATGTTTAGATAAGTTGCGGATGTAAGGTAGCGTGGAGGTATTGGTATTAGGTTCCGCGTCAGGAGAGGGATTTGTAACAGCTGTTCGGGCCGGGTGACACAGCGTAGCAGCCATGTTGGCCGAAGTAGACGTGGCCACAGGGCGATTCACGCTGGTACAACTCTGGGAGTTCCAACTTCGCTGTAACTGGAACAAAATTCATACCTTCACCAACCTATTGAGTCCTTGCACATGCCTACTGTGTTTCACGAGGTCGGTGATAGTCGAAAATGGAAAAATACATCACCTTAACATCAAAACCGATACCTATATGGGACGAGGTAAATTAAGTGATGAGACCGGTAACGTAGCGTTCGATCCGGCAACACTGGAGGCGCCGGGGTTGGAGCGTAGACAGGGGAACATGTGACCCACCTTCAGAACAAGTTCCAATTCGCTCGATTCATTTGGTTGTTCGTAGCGATTTTTTTTTCTGTGAAACAGTTTTTCCTATTGTGTTCTAAAAATAAGTGACATCGATTTCGAGCAATGGTGATGCGATCAGATTTTGCTTCAGACTTGGGCACAGTGGAACGGAAACTCTTACTAAACGTCAGCAGGCCTACGGAGATAGTGTTTGGCCTAGAGCCCAGGTTTTTTGGAACAGAACAGCAATGTCAATAAACGAGTTTTTGGCCAGTAAAAACATTCATGTGGCTCCTCGGCCTCCTTATTCGCCTGACTTAGGTCCGTGTGACTTTTTTCTCTTCCCGAAGTTGGAGAATTACCTCAAGAGAACTTAGTTTGGGACAAACGGCTGTAATCGACCAGTATCGGAGTTCGAGCACTGCTGTGAGGAGTGGAAGAACCGTTTCTCTGTGTGGCTTCAGAAGGAAGTTATTTTGAAGGGTGACAATATAAAATTGTAATTATATTTGGATAAAAAAAAAATTAAAAAACCAGTCCCATCACTTAATTTACAGACCTCGTACGTCAGACTAACATCAAAACAGATAGCTCTATGGTAAAAAACATTTTTAACCCTCCACGTAAAAACGAGGAGTAACATAAGATTAGCATATGTGTCTCTGTGTATGTGCGTCTGTCTGTGACATCGTAGCTAACCAACGGATACACCGCTATGAGAATTTTTTTAATGAAAAATCTGTTTGTCAAGATGCATTGCCTTAAAGTCTTGTGTCTTTTATTGCTCTCAATTTGCAATTTGAAAAAATAAGAACTCAGTTTTGTCTACACTAGATTTCGTGAATAGAATACTGAACTCTTTCGAGTCCTTAAAATACACCGCAGTTATTTTTTGTGTTCTCAGTGATGCTTTTGATTATATGGACCACAAGTTCCTAATCCTCACATTTAAACTCTATAAGTTTATACAGATATTGCTATTTGCCTGGTTATATCATATTTGGCAAATAAAACCCAGGTAGTCAGAGTGAGAGACGTAGTGTCCCAGGAAATGGAAATGTCCGGCGGAGGGCTCAGTATTGGGTCCGATATTATTCCTGTTGTACATTGATGATTTGTTTTTGGCAAGCATAGATGCTGCTTTCACCCTTTTTCGCGGACGACTGTGGAGTGATCTCCCCCTTACTGCAGGTTCTCTGGATGAAGCAATATTGGGAATGGAAGCCGGACAGTCGAATATTAAGGCATGGTTCGATGCGAGTGGACTTCTGGTTTATCAAAGCAAAACCCAATTATGTATGTTCTTACTACGCAAACTATGCGATGTAAATATAAATACACCATCTGCAAAATTCCTCGGGGTGCACGTCGATCCGCATCTTAAAAGAGATGTCCACATAAACGATGTGGCGAAAAAAGTCCGCCTAGCAGGGTGGGTGGGTACATCTGTGTTGAAAACAGCTTCTTGAGCATTATTTCTTCCATCATTCGTGTCTTAAGCCTTCAGAGGAAGACACGAGTATCCTATCTTAAAATAATGCGTTTGGTCACAATTTATAGAAGTGTCTTATTTTTATATGTTCATGGTATTGTGTTGTTATAAAACATGGGCTCTTACGATAAACATTCCTTATATTATTCCAATTTTCCTCAAATTTAAATTCGTTAAAATGTTTAAACGGCTGATCACATGAAACTTAAGCAGTACTGAAACGTTACTGCAGTATTGGAAGTTAAAGAATCTTGAAATGTTGACCAGTTTCTGTTGTATTAGGGTCCACGTGCAATCCAAATTTAGTTACTGCTTCTAGGCATGTTACTTGTGATTTTTCAGCTGGCGGTTATGTTGCAATAAATTTATAAAGAATGCATTGAACAGTCTCGTAACATTCGAATTTTTAAATGGTTATGTTTCATATTTCTCATTTTGTCGTGATGTTAAGATGAAGTAGTATCTGAATCTTGGACAAGTGTCTCGATGTAAAACAGAGGGTAAATTCAAGGGATATGCAAGTACCATATTTGTATCTAAGCAGACAAAGAGTGTTAGTAGGTCTTACCACACCAGTTAAGGGACATGCCAGAAGGTGTTTTACAATGCAGCACCACCACAACACTAAGTTAGTAAGCAGCTCAAATGTGGGGGAAAATAAAATAAACGGAAATAAAGGAAAATTGGCTTCCTGTTAACATAAACAATTGATACTATGCTGTTGTGGTGTTTTTGTAGAAATCATTACACTTTTCAATATACCTGTCGCCAAAAGAATGTATCAGAAAATTACTGATTATCCAGAGATAAAGCTTTGTGCAAGTATATATCTACAGGAATTTCGATATAAGCATATATTTTCTCAGATTTTGGGGAAAGACATGTGTTATATGTGTGTCATATTTACGTGTAAAATATGAAGTTCGCTGTAGATGAATCATAAAATTTTGTTTTGGAACGAAAAATTATATATTTAAATCATTTAAAAAAATATCGGTTGATATTTTCATCTCGAATACCTTATTGCCTTATGTCGATCTCAAAACAAAACTTTGGTAAATTCTTCTACTAGCAGAATATATACAACTATAAAGTTCAATAAAAACAAAGATTTGAAAGACGAAGTGAGGATCTATAGTCTACAAGTACAGTTCCTCATGCTTTTTTCAGTTCATCAATGAATCAATACTAGCCTAGCAATGTGATGATACTAAATCAAGATAGAAGGTTATGGATCGAATCATACAACACAGTGCTGTAGGGGCAAGTGAGATATTAGAAAGGAAAAGCGAAAAAATATATATATCGGAAATATGAGCGATTTTACGATACTTTGTGTACCGCTAAGCCTTTTTCTTAAAATCTAGTTTGTATATGTTTATACACGGGACCGCAAAACTTTTTATTCGGCAACAAAGAATGAGAAAACGTGTTCTTTGGGATTCAATCGAAAGTGTTGACAGGAACGACAAAACTCTTCATATAAGGTATTTATGAGATCTGCAAAAAGATACGACTGATAGCAAAAAAGTTATGGCCGAAAACCAAGGCATACTGCAGGTCTCGGCACTTGTTGGTAATGCGACGATGGTTGCTCGCAGATACTTGAAATTCTTCATATTCCTAGGATGCATACTTATTAATAACCACAACAAAGTTGGAGTAAATTGGTCAAGTAGTTTTTGAGAATTTCTAATTGTGTTTCTAAAAACACCTGTTTTCCGGCCATCAATACTAGTTTATTCAGCAATATACCGGGTTAGTTCAAAGGGCATCTTATAGCAAAATACACTAGTTTACCTTGCCGATATGAATCGAAAACCATTCCGGAAAATGTTATTTTTATGCAAAAAGGGATGGGTTACGTTTTTTGTCCTAAACGAATCCAAACATTTCGTATTCGTGAGTAATTCGCGACAAAGGATGATAGACACATTCGCTTTGTTTTTCACAAATACGAAATGTTTGAATTTGTTTAGAAGAAAAAAACGTAACCTTCGTTTTTCGCATAAAAATAACATTCATCTTTCGGAATTGTGATTCATATCGGCAAGGTAAACACGTGTATTTTGCTATTAAATGCTCTTTAAATGAACCCTGTATACTGCTCAATAAACTAGTTGTGAAAACCGGAAAATAGGTATTTTGGGATAAACAATTCGAAATTCTCAAAAACTACTTGACCAATCTACTCCAATTTTGTTGTTGTTATTTAGAAGTATGAATCCTACGGATTTGAAGAATTTCAAGTAGTTGCGTGAAATTATCGTCGCATTTCCAACAAGTGCCAAAACCTGCATTTTGCCTCGTTTTTCGGCCATAACATTTTTGCTATTAGTCGGATCTTTTTACGTGTGGTCTCATTTTGTAGGTCTCAAAATATCTAAAAATCCAGACTTTACAATTATTTTGGGGGAAATGTGCTAAATGATTAGATAAATATGCACAGCGATGTGCTTACGTCGTCCAGCAAAATTACAGTACGCGAAGTCCCCAGCAAAACTACGCTACCGTTCATGGCATGATCCTAGTATGATGCGGTATTTATTTATTGATACCTGTACATAATTGCTCAATAGAGTAATCTAATTACAGTTCAATATAATAGTAATTAATATTGTGCATACGAGAACCACATATAACGAAAATAAAAAATTAGCTATTGTAACAGTTCCTGAAGTTGGACACGATTTTACTAATATAATCGAAATTAATATCGGAACTGTCTGCTATGGAATTATAATTATTGTATATAGAATTAGGTGAATTCTGCAGTAGAAAGAATTTAATCGCGGTATACAAAACATTCAACATCTGCGGAAGTTCTGTTGTATACACTCTGTCCTGCACAGGCTTACGGTTGAATCTCAGACCAGCAATGGAACGCCTCAAGTGTAGAGACTTTAGGTTGAAACGTTGAAGCCGAATAAATTGACTGACCTCTCTTTCTAGATATGCGCCATCAATTTTATAAGTATGATAAAAGAAATCGGACCCACCCAAAGGGATTCATTGACTCTGCATGTTGCGTTCCCCTTTTTCCAGAGATTAAATGGTATTCAGAGCATGTGGGTGAAAGCCAATAATTGCTTCAAATTGTAAAATTTACCAAACTGTTGGGGGGGGGGGGGGGGAGTTGGGTTTAATAATTGTGAAAAGTCTGCTTACATAATACTGGAACGGCCCCAAAGCAATTGATGCAGTTCTAAATAAGAAGATAAGATGGGAAGGAATTTTTGTCTAAAAAACTATGTATCTATTTAAAATATCTCTGCTTAATAATAAGTTTTATCGATCTTTGACAATCTTCACAAGGGGTCCGGTTCTAATTTTCAACTAGCGTGTAAATGATTAACATAGTATAAAGCAAAAATTGTATGCTTTTGAAAAAAAGTTTTACTATTTTTCATATTTTTGAATCAATAAAATGGTGGCCCGGTTTTGAGCACTTTGTTCTAGGTGTAGGGCTCAAAGCGGTACACAATAGTATGCATTAGTCTCCAGGAAAGTGAAAACGTTAAAAACCAAGAAGATGGCAGGAAAATAAAGACAAAACAATGTACGAGCTGCATTTCGTAAGCATGTATGTTGATAGTACCTTGTTGCGACACGTTATGCAGTCGGTTATGGTTGGTCATGGTGGTACTAGCATTGTTGATAGACAGAATCTGGACTAGCGCAGTAGGTCTCGCGTTATTAAGGTTATTCGAGATGACAATACTGTTGGTGGTACCCACACTAGTTCCATGCGGTGACAGTACTGAATTGTCTGTCGAATGCGAGTTGGAGCCACCGCTTGGGTTCCCGTTAGATCCGCCGTGCAAGCTGGTTCTTCTCTCTTTGGCAATGCCGGTACTACCGGTGCTGCTGTTCGCACCGCTCAGTTTCGAGCAGCGCAAGCACCGCGGTAGCCACGAATGCCGACGAACGAACTTCCGGTACTCCTTTCGTACCTAAATCACAAAACAAATTTGTCAATTCCACAGTATACAGGGGGCTTTGATAACTGATATAGAGCGCTGACACGGAACATTAGAAAACTATGAAAAGTAACTAGGCCATAAAGGCGTCCTAATTGTAGGAATGACTGACGATACGACCCTTACGGTCAGATTTACAGACCTTCCTTGAGGCTTCGTAGGGAACAATGGATAGCCAGTACCTCCTCGGAAACAGTGAAACAATTACGCTTCATTGAGCAACGTTCAAGGGAGGATTTATATTCTCCTTTCACAGTAGGCTGTAACAGTTATTATCAGAAGCTGTTTCTTTGCTGGTAGTATCTACGAGTATTTAGCATTTTAATGATAAACTTGGAACGATTTGGTTTAATTGTGCAGAAGATCAATAAAAAATGCAAACTAATAATGGATTTCCTTCATCGAATTACAGCGCAATCACAGAGAAGTAAAAAACTGAATATAGGCTACCAGTTGCACCTAACTGGTTGCTGGTTGTCGACTACGTCTGTCAGATCTAGCGTAAATACTCGTTCAAATTCAAATATTTTAAAACCTCTAAAATTTTTGCTAAACTGTGTGGCCGGTCATAATTGTATTAGAAAATATAAAAAGAAGTTTAGCGAGGCTGAGATGCCTCTAGTTGATAAATTTAAATTTATAGTTGAAATTAAGATAACTAAAAATTAATGCTTGGGAGGAAGTAGCAAAAATATATAACGAGACCCATACATACGAAAGCAGCTAAAAAAATCATGGCATAACATTAAACAAAGGTAAGTATAACATTTTTGTAAGAGCTAAGGAAGCCCAGGAATCATTTTGTATATAGTAGCCCATTCTAAGAGCCTTACCTATCGAAAAATAGGGATTTCTAAAAATTAATTCAATTATTCACGTATCTGTTGCAAAATACATTTTCTTATCTTTGTGTAATTTTTTGAATTGTTTGCTTGTGAATTGTATTATTTTGGGTGTATCATTTTTATTGAAGGTTTCTGAAAATTGCTCTTCTAAGTTATTAAGGAGCTATAGTTGTAGTCACCGTTCTTACGTAAACAGATCGAATCTCCGTACCATGGGCGAATCACTGCGCGGACTAATCTTGGTGGAAATACTCTAATTCTTCTCCATTGGTCGTATTTCCGGGCATTGTACAATTTTATATTGAAGGACAACTCAAATTGCACGCCGATGTCAAGTAAGTCCTCACTCTGACAAATATGATTGAAAGGCACTCATACGTAGCGAAGTTTTCGAGACGGAGACGCACAACTAAAAAACGTATGTCTTTGAGCTTACCGAACAAATGTTCACACACAGGGGTAGGTTGCATGTGTATGTATGAGGGAGATGGAGATATATAAAGGGACACTGGTAGTATTACTTTGACCCGCCAAGAACGGTGACTACAACTGTTTGTTTTTATTTCTAATGATCCTTTTAAATTTGTCTGGTATTTTGATCAAATGTATCTTAATTTCGCTAATCTTCTTATTTTATCACATAATTCATAATAATAGAAAATTTGTGTGTTGTTTAGCACCAATAAACCAAATAGTCCAACAGAAATCTTTCTGACATCAATGACAGCTTGTGATGACAACTGTATTACAGCATACTGTGGAATAAAAAATTAAAGCCTACCTTGAACGTTCCTCAAGAAAGCGGCATTGTTTCCAAGGAAAGATCCATTGTTTTCAAGGAAGCCTCAATGCAGTATATATAGTGCTTAGAATAATTGAATCTGTTGTTTAAAACACCTCATAAGCAAGGGCGGATTTATATGGGATGAAGAGGACGAATGCCCCCCTAGATGCCCAAACCTGTCATTCTTTTTCAAGAAAATGATATATTTTGGTGTAAAAAATGTGTCGTGCGCTCCCACCTCCGCTCTTAAATTGTCACACAAGCCTTTGAAAAAAACCCTTGATTCTAGTGACAATATTCTGTGAAATCCTGCAAATAACGGAGGAAATCATTCAAAAATACTAACCTTTTCATTCTGGAGGCAGTGGAATAAGAAAATGAAAAAGCCTTGGAATGAATTCAGGGCAGCAAATAGATACGCCATGGCCACAGATTCTTGGATGAGATACAGAAATCCAAAAGTCCATGTTAGACCAAGTAAAAACACCAGTACGAATGCTCCTTTCAACCAGGTCCTGCAAAATTCAATTATCGTCAATCATGTGTAAAATATATAAATGAAACATGTCAGTACAGAGGTTAGTTTAGTATTTGATGTAATGACTACAGCACGATTTGAAATTCCAATAGATAATCTGAACTACATCTGTAGACGAAATCGCTCATCCATAGTTAACTAACGAATGATTCATTTAGAGATATTTTCTCAAAAGAAACTCATTCTGGAAATCCCATATTCGTTGACGCGTCCGAGTATTTCGTGCGGTATTTAGCGTCCTTTATTGCTCACACTAGTTGCAGCCTGACATTCGAGAATTCAAAACACTCGGCTTCAACAAGGCGGCGCGGTACTTAGAGCACAGTCTGTGTAACCATGGCTATACTGAGTTGAAATGCACGCACACGTCATCAAAAATTCGAATTCCAAAATAGACTACAATAAATGCACTGACGACCAATATTTGAGAAATAAAAAAAAAATGCTTACTTCATTTGATTTGAGAGTTAACTCGAGACAGCTTGTTTTTATTTTTCAAATTTTTTGAGAAAATACCTCTATATAAGCTATTTAAATTTCTCATTCCTGTGCATTTATGTTTTATATGTTTTCATAGAACATTCTATTAAATCAGATGCATTTTAAATGAAATTATGTCATAAATCATTTTTCTAACCGACAAACTACATCAATATGAAGAATATAAAGATAAGGTTGCGTCACAACGCTAAATAAGGTTAAAGGCGAACTCTCTACATTCACTATATGTATGCTTCGACTGACGTTGAGCAATCTCGAAGTTATGTGACACAACCTTACCTTTACATATTTAAAACTGTTGCTTCCAGATATCAGAAATGTACTTGTACCACTTCCAACTCAAGTGAATTATTTGGCTAAAAAAAGCGTCAAATAAGTCAACGCTGCATCTCACACGCAATGCCGTTATCAGTTCATAAAATATTACGTTCAGCACAAACTTTTTCGTCCATGGCATAGTAAAAATTTCATCAAAATCCGAGCAGCACTTCTCAAGTTATAAGGCTCGCAATTCATTGTGGGCTTACAGACGCGTTGTCGGTGTAAGGTGAGGTCTTAAACACAAAGTGGTTCACTGGCTCTACACGACGGTAGTGCGTCCATCTCTCCTGTACGGCTTTGGCTTGCTGGCCTTGCATTGGAACTGAGACAACTATGGCCAAACTCAATAAAATTCAGCGTTTGGCCTGTATCAGCATTACAGGCGCAGTGCGGACAATGCCATTGAGTGCAATGGAAGCTCTGCTGGATCTCCCACCGTTGGATCTAGTGATCCGAGGAGAAGCGAGAGTAGTCGCACACCAACTTTGGAGTCAGGACAGCTGGGCCTTCTTGAATCCTGTCAAGTGTCATACTACCATATTAGTCGAACTGCAAAGGAAGGCTCCCGTCCTTCTGAGCAGGGGTGACCTAATTACCCCTAAATAACGCTTTAGCCGCAAGTTTAATGTGGAGTATCCAACCAGGGAGGAGTGAGACGCCGGTCGGCAAGTGTGGTTCACGGACGGCTAGGTCACCGCAGAGGGTTCTGGCGCCTGAGCCTCTGGGCCTCGATCTAGGCTATCTCTGCCTCTTCGTGGATACGCCACTATTTTCCAGGCGGAAATCTTTGGGATCTGGCTTGTATATCCCTCATTTTAGAGGGAGGGTGGGCCCTAGGAGAAAAATAACAACCTTCTCCGACAACCTTGCTGCAATGAAGGCACTTAGTGCCTGTAAGATTACTTCGAGTCTTGTATTACAATGCAGGGAGGCTCTGGATTGTCTCGCAGCGAGGCATCCGGTATCGTTAATGTGGGTACCGGGGCACGCTGTGAGAGGGCAATGGGACAGCGGACACTCCGACGAAGACAGGATCACCCAGCAACCTCGTTGGTCCCGAGCCAGTTTAAGGGGTGCCCGCACAAAGAGTTAGAAGGAAAATGGAAATTGGATTCCAAGACAACACTCTCAGAAATGGAGAAGGATCTCCAGACATCTCTGTCAGGCACGGGAACTCATTGTAAGGCCCAGCGGTAAGGATGGACGTTTCTGCTTATCTTTGGATAGAGACAACCTAAGGTTGCTGGTGGGACTGTTGTCTGGCCATAACACGTTAACACCTGTATATGATGAGGGTGCCTAAGGATCCCTTGTGTGAGCGCTGCGGGTTAGAGGAAGGGACCTCGGCGCACGTTCTGTGTCGCTGTGAGGCTCGTAGCTACTACAGGCAGACTAGACTGGGGTCCATCTCTTTAGACCCCCAGGACGTTAAGTAGCTTGGACTCAGGCCATACTCAATTTCACTAGGATGTCGAGGTCTAAGGAATGTAGAGGTGCACAAGGGCCCGTCTAAGTGGCTTATGCGCTGGCTCCTTATGGTGGCCAGTATGCCTCATTCATTCTGAAGTTATAGATGCTTATAGGATTAGCGCACAGACAGACATGTAACATCCAAAAAACAAATTTCGTTTCCGAAAGTTTTCGCGATTATAATACTTCCCCACCAGTAGGGGTGTGAAGTAAAAATGGCGTCAAACAGGTTGGCTTTGTACTTCCCACACAATTCTGTCATCAATAAGATCGTTTGATCTAGATAAAGAACATATGTGTTATGATATGAGGGATGCCAGACGTGAGAGAGAAAAACCGACTCTGGACGAGTGAAGTCGGCTGGTCTGGTAATCAGGTGAATCAGCCTGAACAGTCATCATCGGGCGATCGCACGCACTACTCAAGACGTGTTGTAGCGTGCCTCAAACTTTTGGGTTGTTTCAAAAATAAGGTTCGCAACGCTGTAACATTGCCGCGCGTGGAGCTAGTCGAAACCTGGAAGCAACGTCGTGTTTCTCGGCTCCCCCACAACCGATCCCAAAACAGAGCGCCTATTGGCGACGTTTAGCACCGGCCAGACAGCCATACGCAATGGACCCTTCATCGCCGTCACCACCAGGTGAGAAATTCATGCGGTCATCCGATTTTTGTACGCAAAAACCTTACCACCCATACACATTCATCGCCATCACCGTCATTGAGTGAAGTATATGGGGAAACGTCTATAAGCATTCAATATGACCTCAAATGGTGAATAGAGAAAATGCGTAGAAAAATGGCGACTATGTGAAAGAATATTCAATGGTAAATCGTTTTTTCATAGTGCCTGAAAAAAAATGTGGGAACCTTATTTTTGAGACAACCCTCGTACTTAGAAATCCTGGAACTTGTTTTGCTCATTGTCACTTTTATAGGAACCTGATGGCATCACGTATTTCGTTTTAATATTGAGAAAGAAAGAAGATATCTGGAAACAACGATGTTTTACAAGCATGCAGGAAAAGGTACCGTGCAAAAGATTAAGAAATAATTAAGGAAATAGAGTTCATTAAAAGAGAAATATGTCTTACAAGTGAGCTTGAAATTTGATTTGAAGTGCATTTTCCTCCTTTCCACTACCATAGGATAAGATCGCCATGCAATAGAGAGAAAATATATTAGATTTTATACCACACCAATAGGGGAGCATCACATCATACCATTTCAAGTATCAAAACATAAGCGTTTCTGTTTTTTTCTTGTTTCCAAAAACTGGGGCAAACATTCGAGTGCGATTGTTTGCTCTATTCCAAGAATATTTTGTCTTTTGATGATTTCTGTTTCGGAGACGCCCCTAATGATCACACAACATGAAATCGTTTTTTCTTAAATAACTTTTGAAAAACATCATATAATCCAATGAAATTTGGCCAGCATAGCAAAGTATGTTAAAACCCTTAGAAGACAACTGACTCATTTAGTCAGCTAGGGACAGACTTGGCCCTAATACAATATTGATAGTGTTTTACACCCTCTATAACAATGGCTTAAAATTAGATTTTTTGGAAAGTCGAGAAAATGTATTTTTGTTCGAATTCAGTTGAACGAACCGTATTGTGAAAAACAGTATTTTATAACTTCATCGAGTTATCTCAGATAACTTTATCCAGTTTTAGATTTTTGACGAAATTTTTCGGGATTGGCTGCATTGGACCAGTACTGGCACAATACTGTTTTTCTCGAATACGGTTCATTTGATCGGAATTGAACAAACATCTTTTAAGATAAACTTCCAGGCTTTTGAATTTAGACTCAACCGATAATACAGTGAGAGCCTGGGATCAGCGGTCCCATCATTAGTTCTGCTAGACTTTTCTAAGGCATTCGATACCATAATTTGTTGTATTTTAGTTCAAAGTGTATTTTTTGGTTTTTATAATTCTCCTATTCATAACTTTTTGCAAAATCGATCTCAGAGGGTAAACATTGATATGATTTCGCCTCCAAAATGTCTCATTTCTTCCGGAGTACCGCAAGGGTCTGTACTTTTTCCACTATTATTCATTTTATATATATATCGGATCTACATGCTGTTGTTAAATATTGTAGTGTTCAATGATTCACAAATTTATAATCATTTCAAAAAGTCTAATATTCAAACTGCTATATCTGAGGTCAACGGTGAATGAAAATCTATCAGCAGGGCTTGAACTAATTGATCTGCTGTCAATTTTTTTTATTGTTATTCAAGAAAATCTGATTTCCAGTGGCGTCTTTCAGGGGCATTTGTCTAAAACAAAGCGTCGATTTTTCATCGTAGGTCAAAATAGTCTGAAAATAGTCCAAAGATGAATGTTTGCCCCATAAAACAAACATATTGAATGAATAAGGTGGACATTTAAATTATTGAAACATGCTTGTATGAGAAAAGAACATAATGGAATGCTCTCAAACTATGTTCTATACATTTACACCATTACCAAAATTAAAAGTCAACCTAAACTACTTCAGGTCAATTCACGTCCCTCGTGCAAAAATATAAATCGATCAATTTTCAGATGCATATTTGTGTAGTTGTGGGTGTTAACATTTAAAAATTATTCATATTATGTACTTATATTTATTAGTAGTTGTTTATACAGGATCAGTCAGAAAAATCGGACATACCTATTTAGAACAATCAGCACTATAACATAGAACATTGGTTCTATATAGTGACTGGAAGTTTCACATACAATCGTATTTTCTGATGATCCCTATAATTTAATTTTACTTCCATGCAGTTTTTGTTAGGATTTACTTTAATGCACATGGTGTAAAAACAAATACCTAACAACCAAGTATCTCAATTGTCAAGGTATGTGGTTTAAAAGTTACCTGCTACTTGCTAGTCTGGAATGTTCTTTGTTCTTCATTGAGACAGAATTACTTGCGTGTCTGCACATCATCACTATTGCCATAGTCAAAAACACTAAATTCAACTGAAAAAAAAAATAAGTATTGAAAATTGTATAAAGAGAGAAAGCTTTTTGAAATGTTTAGCCGATATTTAAAAGGCTTTTTCAGTAATACAAATGAGGAGAATCGAGTCAAAGGTAAAATAGGTATTTTATTCATCTATAACCTTAGTTTTGTACAGGGTTGGCGATATGTAACTGACTGGTTTGTATGGATATTTGAAATGAAATACAATACGTCCATTTTGTTCATCTTAATATTTTAATAAAACTTAGAAATTATGTATGAAAAATATAATCGGATAAATGTCCGCCTCTAGAAGCCGCGCAAATCTGAGCCCTCTTGCTTACATTTTCCATAACTTTTTGGTAGATTTCGGGAGGAATATTTTCTATCGCTTCCGTAATATTGTATTCAGCTGATCTACAGTATTTGGTCTGTTGGCATAAACCCTATTTTTCAGTACCCAGTACTCATTATCTGTTGTCGGTAAAAATCGTTATTTTGGGTATTAAGCTGCAATATTGAATGACTGTATTGTCGGTGACTTCCACGGTCACTAGGCTGTAGTTATCTTGGGTTAACTGAATTTTGTATGGCCGCAAATGCAAGTATTTTTTCAAAATAGTGCATAATGACGTGCGACGAATACCCAGTTCTTGAGAACGATGTCTGGTAGACGTCTCAGGGCGCTCCACTACATTTTCACGAGCTCTTTCGTATTTTCCGGAGTACGAACAGTTCGAACACGGCCCGATCTTGGCAAGTCTTTAACTTCACCTGTTTGTTCAAATTTCCGCACTAATTGACGAATGGTGTTGATACTGGGCACATTATTCCAACCTAAATTTTATCGTAGCTTCCGAATCGTTGCAACAATCGACTCATTATTTAAGTAAAACGTTTTAACAATACGGACGCGTTGTGGGATTGTATAGCGGTCCATAAAGAATTGAACACATGTGCTTTAAACAACTACTACGGCACCACCCGCTGAAATGCATGTATAAAAAATGGGCCACAATTTAAGTCAGTCAGTTATATATTGGCCACTGTAGTTATTGAATGTAAAATTCGTAAAAATATCTGCAACGCTTTTAATATTTTTCTGAATACTTTATGTATCTGAGGACGGCCTAGATGGCCGAAACGTAAAGTTTGAAAATGGATTCACACTGACCAAAACCCAAGAATTTTTAGTCTAAAAAGTTGTACAAACGGTCAGGAATATAAGAAATATTTTTGAAATGTCTTATGTTGTTTTTGCAATGAACGTGTATTACGCGGTGTTATTTGAAAGAAGATACATCTATTGACTAACGTGGATTATGCTTAAAATACGCATCTACCTTACAGGAAAAGTTTCCAGCAAAAAAAGTATTTACGAAAAAATGTGAATGAGGTGGTTTTGAAATGAGCAGACCAAATCCTATCAGTATAAAAAGTGTCGCCTCAGGCAGAATTCTCCTTCATGTGATCGGTCAAACTGGGTTTCTTGCCGTTTCAATTAGGCATAGAAATACTATAACATTGATCAACATATTCGACCAGAAAATTCCCTTTGACAATACATCAATTGGATCACCGAAAAATAACTTACCAAAATGACAACAAGCACAGGTCCTACGAAACTATAGATGAAATAATGATCAGTCTGAAGCCAACAATGCCTAGATGTGCCGTAACCTTGAGGGTACACAGTGGCAGAAATAAATACAATAAGGAAGGGAAGACTATAGGCGAAGAAGTAGTACCAACGCACTCTGGATTTCTCAGCTTCAAACACTTCTATCAACATCACGTACAACTGAAAACCTAAAAAAAAACATTGTTAAACAATCATTCTACATAATACATTATGTTACCAGTCCAAGCGTCGTATCAGTGTAAATGGCAATGCTGGCTTCATGTTGCCGATCAGTGATTGCAGTGTTGCCATTTACACTACATACGATGGATGAGTTCCGTAATCGAGGCAACATTCTTTCAAATCGTTACAACATACCTTCAAAGAACATCCACGCAAAGGCGCAAAGGAAAAAGTAGTGTAGAAAACCGGCAATAACTCCGCAAACTATCCGATTTTCAGTTTGGTTTATTCCAACTAAAAACAGCACTTCTGCCAACAGAAGACACAGGCACAAATTGCAGTGAATGGTCGTCCTGTCACTCTGAAAAATATCGAAAAGTCAGAAAATTCATTTGAAAAATGTTTCAAATATAGAATATTCCTGGGAAATCCCGCTCCCGACCATCTCGGGATTTCACTGGAATGTTTAAAATGTTCGTTCGAGGTCTATTTCGCGGAGGTCAGTACAGGGCCCATCAGAAAGAACGCATGTTTTTTTTAAATGAGTAGTACAGTCAAAATAAGTATGGGAAAAATATTTTATTATATCAAAATACTCAGAAATACATGCCATTTTTCTTGAGTAACACAAAATTTACGTTCTAAAAACTATGTCGGCCATATGGCGCCCTTGAGCCGAAATGCAGGAATCAAGCCTCTCCCGAAATGAGCCCATTGCCTCGGCCAGCATCCAGGCAGGAATTTGGGTTACTTCTCCTATTTCCTCCTTCAAATCGTCAAGGGTCCGAGGCTTGCTTTGGTAAACTTTTGATTTCAGGTAGCTCCATAAAAAAAAGGTCCGGGGGCGAGGAGGCCATGGAATATCGCCATGACGTGAAATGAGACGTCCTGGGAATTTTTGCCGAAGAAATTCCATCGAAGTGCGAGCTGTGTGAGATGTTGTCCCGTCTTGTTCTGAGACGGACACGTCGACGTCGGAGTTCCGGAAAAAAAAAGTTGTTCAGCATGTGTATGTATTGCCTGAATTCACAGTAGTTGTTTCTTCATCATCCTCAAAACAATAAGGGTCAATAATCATCGTTGGGCCTACTGCACACCAAATTGCAACTTTCGGGGTATGCAGGGGATGCTCATGCAACAGTTGGGGGTTCACTGGAGACCAATATCGACAATTTTCTTTATTGACGTATCCAGGATCACTCATAAACAACGTCATGTCATTGTTATCCAACTGTTTAATCATGAGCTGTGCAAAATTAACACGTTGTGCATAATCCCCTGGCAACAGTTGTTGACAAACTTGGATTTTGTAAGGATGGAACACTAAATCCTTCTTCAAGATGCGACGTACAGAGGACGCGTGGATCCCTAGGGAACTGTGACGTGTCAACTCTCACTCTGCCTACGTTTTCGGGGGTTCTAACAGTACGGTTTCGCACTGGTGGTTTTTTCTTCATCACATTACCTGTTGTGTTGAATGCTTCCACCCATCTCAAAATGGTGTTACGGTCTGGTACTGTCCCACGACGTGCAACACGAATGTCAACGCGAAACTCACGTTGCGTTCGAACGACAGACTCGCCATTTTGAAAGTATCGACGTACAGTGAACACACGATGCTCAACGTTCCAAACCATCTTGCCAACTGAAACGGCACTTCTCTCACTATCCAATACGCCCTTCCCCACCGACACGGGACCAGCCCACTCGATGTAGTTATATAATTAATATAATAGTTATATAATTCGAAAAACATGCGTTCTTTCTGACGGACCCTGTATTTGCTAATTTGTTGAACATTGAATCGTGGCTTCTTTCTACTCATAATAAACAATCTAAGTGAAGTGTAATGCCTAAATAAATCAAACAGTTGATAGGGTATAGGATTTAACCCCTCAGCAGTCTATTTCAGTACGATTTGAAAATTGAATTTCCCCAAAAATCCCGAACCTTCCTGCTCCTTATACATCTAGTTCCGAAATTCCGTTTTCTGTAAGACCACCGGTTCTCCATTCCCTAGTATCAAAAGGTCGAAAAATCCAAAGAGTCAGCTGAATAAAAAAGTAAGCATTCCAGCTATTATTTGCAAGTTTCTTCAATGGATGAATAAAAGTATGAAATACCTGCCAATATAGAAAGCCAACCAAGGCTCTATTGGATAATCGCGGGTGTTTATTTAAGACAAATATAAGGTCCTCGTTGTGAAGTTGGAATAGAGACAACATAGATGCTGAAAGCATCTTTCAACTATGGGCCATAGCTCGCGAAATTGTGGACTCAGAAGATAATACAAGCTTTTCATACACGGAAAGAGAGAAGGTAAGATTAAAAATTGTTGAAGTTTTCGAACTCCTACGGAAATTAAAAGAATAATATAAAACATGTTTTCTTTTATAGTCAAGTCTCTAAAAAATGCTTTGATATGCAAAAAAAATCTGCAACTGAAGAACACAAAATATATTAAAATTAGTTTGTGAATATGAGGTCTGTAGATTAAGTGATGAGACTGGCAACGTAGCGTTCGATCTGGCAACACTGGAGGCGCCGGGCTTGGAGGGGAGACAGTGGAACATATGATACGCCTTCAGTACAAGTTTGAACTCGCTCGAGTCATTTGGTTGGCTGTAGCGTTTTTTTGTGAGAGAGTTTTTTCTATTGTGTTCTAAAAATTCAATTTTGCGCAACGATGTGCTATCAGGTTTTCCTTCAGACTTGGGCACAGTGCAAGGAAATGCATTTTTAGAAAGGACTCTTGTCGATTGAAGATGAACCACGATGCGGAAGGCCTTCATCTTCAAGAATCGATGAAAGTATCGACAGAATCCGGGATCTTGTACGTTTAATTGTCGGTGGACAGTCAGAATGATCTTAGACGAGTTAAATTTGACTTATACCACCGTTCACCAGAACTGGGTGTTCCATCACGATAATGCTCCTTGTCACACAGCAATGTTAATAAACGAGCTTTTGGTCAGCAAAAACATCCCTGTGGCTCCCCAGTCTCCTTATTTGGTTGACTTGAGACCTTGTGACTTTTTTCTCTTCCTGAAGTTGAAAAATCACTTCAAGGAGACTCATTTTGGGACAGTCGAAAACATTCAAATGGCTGTAACCGACCAGCTGAAGGCTATTGCAGTATCAGAGTTCCAGCACTGCTACGAGGAGTGAAAGAATCGTTGTCAGCCTAGTGTGGCTTCCATTTCCGGACCTCTAAAGAAGCTTGCCACTCGTGCTAGCGAAACGCTAGGAAGAAATTCCAACCGACGACGGCCCTCATTGTTTTGAACATTTTGATTAAAACATAACAACCCTGACCAAACTAATTCATGAAATGGACCAATTTATTGAAGTCCAAGTCTGAAAAACCCTGCAAAGGGATGAGATACCATTCAAGTATTACGTAAGCACTGAAGTGGAGTGGAGCTGACAAGTAAGGAGGGAGGGTTGAAATTAGTACTTAGCTTCTTTATTCACCCTATTTGATTTCTCTAAAGTAAAAGAATATACTTGATTTTATTCAACTGGCTCAGTATAAGAGTGGGGGATTCCTTGTTTAACTTACCTTGAGACCACGAAATAACTGGAAGGTGATGATCGCTAATACTAGACATACAATCGATATGATACATCCAACGTATGTGATTATTTGCAGTGCAATTTCATGTGGGATTGGTAGATATATTGCACGGACATCCATCAGCACTGCAAAATTTGTCAAATGGTCGCAGTAACAAACTGTATGAGTCACGTTCGACAAAGTCAACTCAACATGGCATCCTTCTTCAGACCACGAATTTGTTGTGTAGTCCCAGAACACGCAAGTTGGGTTACTAACATTTTCAGTCTTTATGTGTTTCAATGTAAGCTTGACAGGTTCTTTCAGCTGAATGTGTCTGCCTTTACCGAGGCTTGCAGATATGACTTTGCTATTCAATATCTTAGTGACGTTTTCGGAATTGACAGAATCTGCCACTGCATCCGGTTGCCACTGAAGTATCTCCTCAAGTCTATCAAATGCTACGAACACTAATCTCACTAAGTTTCCATCACTGTTTTCGAGTAGAGCACCTTTGGGTAGCTCTATGGAATCGTTACTAGCTTTCCATTCAGATCTGAAGTCTTCGGATGGGAATTTTTCTGTTGTTAATGATTTGGTATCCAGGACGCGAACTGATAAAACTGAAAAAAAAAATATCGAATTACAGAATGTTTATGTACGAGGAGGTACCCAAAAATAACCGGAATAGCAGTGCAGTGGCCGGAGCTTGTGTAGTACACATTTCTGCCCCTAGAGGCGTACAGCGCAACTCATTACCAGTTCATTGCCACCTGAGATGTGGATCTGGCTTGTTTCGTTCCTCTGTAGTTATTATTTTTGCTACAGCTGTTTCGTTTTTTATGATGGCAAGCTTCAGTGAGCAACGTGCAGCTGTGAAATTTTGCTTTCTAATTGGTAAAAATGCTGCTGGAACTGTTTTAATGTTGAAAATACCGCCATCGTCACCCCGTCCAAAAAAATGTCGTCAAGTCAAATCAAACATCAAAACAATACTGATTAGTTTTTTTGTGGGTGTAGTCCGTTCTGAGTTTGTTCCCCCAGGTCACACTGTCAAGCAGACCTTTTATTTGGAGGTTTTAATACGATTACGAACCAGTGTTCGGCAGAAAAGATCCGATTTGTGGCAGTCAGTAGACTGGTTCTTCCACCACAATAATGCACCTGCGCACACAGCCTGTTTGACAGTTTCTGGCTAAAAATGGCATGGTTTCGCTGCCTCACCCACCTTATTCGCCTGACCTGGCTCCGTGCGACTTTTTCTTATTTCCACGGATGAAAAGAGGCCGCTTTGACGGCATTGAAGAGGTCAAGAAAAAAACGAGGGAGGAGCTGTCAGACATTTTTTTTTTTTGGGTACCCCCTCGTATGTCTTGAAAATCGCTCCATTGATATCAGAGAACCCAAAAAGCGGGCCTCATAAGGATTTTGGAAATGAAAAGTGAAATTATGATGTATAAAAAAATTCTTACGTATATTTTTGAACTCCCTATCCACAGTCTTTTTACTGGTAACAGTATCCGCCAGTAGGAAAGCGTTTTCCTCGAGACCAATAAGCAACGAGGTAGCAACGCTCATTTGTTCTTTGTAGTTGAGATCTTTCCAAGACGGATGTTGTGAAGCATCCAACAAGTTGCTACCAGTTTTGGCAACATCCATCAACATTTCGGTTACGATTTGCTCCCTTTGCCTCGTATCTGGAATGGTCTGAATGTCTTTGTTCATTTTTTCTGTCATTTTCTGGATGATCTTCGTAGTTATCATCATGTCGCCTCCATACAGAATCTTGCTACTGGTAACCTGCAAAAAAAGCACACATCAGATTTCATTCCATACAAAAAGGAATAGAACTTCTATGTTTACATAGAGGAATGTGCCCTAAACCAAACATCTCTCTCGAGACAGACTCCTGGTCTCATTGGCTCTCCACTCCACTACTTCCAAGTGTAAATAGTAGCTTAGTATCTACCTCGCGTCACATGTTTCTTGCTTGTTTGTTTTGATAGTAGAACGTTTGCGCAATTTTTAATATTAGTTCCTAAATATTTGCAATTAAGCCTGTATACCTATATCGGATGTTCAAAGAGTTCCCGACCCCCAGAGAATAACTGCTGTTTTCATAAAGTTATTCGATAAAACATTGAAGTTATTTAGTACTACAAAATTGCTATTGGCAATCAAGACAGGACACATTTTATTAGTGTCTGTCTTGTTTTGTCCAAGATCACATTACCAAGCGTATGAAAGCAAAACATTCATACATGTATACTTCCTATAATGCTTTTGCTGTATAATTCTCATAGCAACGTACTGAATATAGGTCTTTCAAATTTTTCCTTCTAGCTCAGGATTTGGGGTGTTTTTTTTTTTGTTATTTAACTAAAAGTTCGGTTACTTTTTCTTCATTTTTGCATAATTATTAGTTTTGTGTTATAAAAATTATTAACAGAATACAAATCGCAGAACTAACCAATTATTCAATATCAACCTTTCGGCATTACTCAATTTATAGTTGATGTGCATTAAGCCGACGGAGCAATTAACTATTCCATTTTGGTTTTGGATATCTATTATTAGGTTTTCGCTGAATTTTAATCAGCTTATACACAGTCAGGCGTTTACATAAGTTGTGAAATGTCAATCAATTAATTCTGCATTATAATACGTATAACACATTTAATCAAAATTATGTCGTGTGTGCTATTTATTATTTCAGTGACAAATAGTTAAAAAGGCACAAGTTATTTTTTTTTCGACATATAAAATCAACCTGAGGCTTTTTTCCCAGGAGACTAGGCGAATATGATACTAGGCTCAATGGACTGTCCTTCATATATCTACTTATACAATTATTCTTATAGCCGTTCTTTCAACGAATACCTAAAAATCTCAGAAGTCGAAAAAAATTGACTGATGACCTTCCAACTATTTGCCACCGATTTACTTCTGGTGACATGTAACATTTTTTAGCAGACGAAGTCTTCCCTACAAGGTAATTCAAAGGCAGTGGTAATATACTCAGTGACATTAGAGGTGTTACACCCAGAAAAAATAATTTCTTCAACTTGTTTTTTGGCAACATATATTTATTTAAAGCATGCTGTGGCACCAATGTCAATGTTTTATCTTTGTTTTTGTTCACCTTTGTTAAAATGTTATCTCTTAGTTTTTGTGAAGAAAGCAGTTTCTGAGAGCTGAGACGTACAGATATTTTTAGTTATTGCCCTAAATGCCTCGAGTTCGGTGGTAACGCGTGTGTGTCGTGTGTGGATAGAAGAAGGTAGAGGAACACGAAGAAGGCCAACTGGTCCACCGAGGCGTACCACAGAGCGTCAAGATTGAACGTTTGAACTGGAGTAGAGAACGGCGACATTGGAAGGCAGAATGGCATATTGTCATCTTCAGCGACAAATCGCGATTCTGTCTAGGTATGCACGATGGTCGTAGAAGGGTAAGACGCTGTCGTGGAGAACGGCGTGATATTGTATTTGCTGTTGAGAGGCATGTACACAGGAGTGATGGAGTAATAGTTTGGGGGGCCATTGCCTATGGTAGCCGATGACCCCTTCTCTTTGTTCAAGGCAATATCACTGCTGCGCGCTATGTTGATGATATCCTGCAAACCACTTTACTGCCGTATCTAGAGAGCTTTCCACACGTACTTCTTCAGCTAGACAACGCACATCCCATATTGCTCGCCGTTCTACGGACTTTTCTCAAGAAGCAGGTGTTAATATTTTGCCGGGGCCACCCGGTTCACCGGATTTAAATCCATACATACATACGTGGGATATAGCTAATCCATGAAGTTCGAGTTGCTTGGAATGCAATGACACAACCAGACATCGACCATCTCATTTTGTCGATCCCTAGATGTATACAGGAGTGTATTCAGCTGCGGGGTCGCCCAACACATTATTTATTTTTTTATTTGTCAATAGAATTTCGTGAGAATGTTATCGTTTCATTCTTGATGTAAGACTACCTCACTGCCAAAGCATCAAGTTGAAGAAATTATTTTTTCTGGGTGTAACACTTCTAATGTCACTCGGTATATGTCTAGAACAGAAAGTACATCGGAAGATAAAACGAAAAGTTTACCAATACACAATTGCTCTGGAAATCGTATTGTCACTGTTTTGAATCGCGCCGTAGACACCGATTTCCGTGTTACAGATTCTTTTTATGGTTGACTAAAAATTGACTATATCTTGATAAAGTAAATTATTAAAACGTTTTTTTTTAATTAGAGACGTAATTTTACAGTAGTTCTTAAAAATATCGAATTTTATTTTTATAACAAGACACTTCTCTTGGTCTAATAATTTTATGGTAGAAAATCGTACCGTAAATACGAGAGCTGAAAGTGACTTGCAGCTATTTCCGGTGCTCTCGAGTAGAAGTTCAGCGGCCCACAACCCGCGGTAGTGAAAAATTTTATACCCAGTGCTGGTACTTATCGGGTTGTGGAGATTTTGATAGACATCGACCTCCCTTGGTGAATTTTGTTGTCGTAGCCCTTTTCACACACCCTTGGGGATTCAGCCGTTGTCACAGCTACACTAAGCCATCGAGCTGGTAAGTGACCATTTTCTCCAAGCCACATCTTCTCAACACGATTTCTAATTCTACAGAGCGGAACTGTCTGCAATGATACTCCGAGGCGATCTTCAAGTAACGGGTGTTTTTTTAGAGGTGTAGAACTTTAAATTGCAATAAAACAACGATGGATTATTCGATTGACATGCTCTTTTTTTATTCGAAAGATAATCTTGTGGCATTACATTTTAAATATGATTTCTGGCTTATGACTGCCACGGCTGGCTCGGATGTAGTCCAATCTGGACGTCCAATTTTCGATTACTTTTTCCAACATTTGTGGCCGTATGTCGGAAATAACATGGCGAATGTTGTCTTCCAAATGGTCAAGCGCTTGTGGATTATCCGCATAGACCAATGTCTTTACATAGCCCCACAGAAAATAGTCTAGCGGTGTTAAATCACAAGATCTTGGAGGCCAATTCACAGGTCCAAAACGTGAAATTAGGCGGTCACCAAACGTGTTTTTCAATAAATCGATTGTAGCACGAGCTGTGTGACATGTTGCGCCGTCTTGTTGGAACCACAGCTCCTGGACATCATGATTGTTCAATTCAGGGATGAAAAGGTTAGTAATCATGGCTCTATACCGATCACCATTGACTGTAACGTTCTGGCCATACTCGTTTTTGAAGAAGTACGGACCCATGATTCCACCAGCCCATAAAGCGCACCAAACAGTCAGTTTTTCTGGATGTAACGGTGTCTCGACATAGACTTGAGGATCAGCTTCACTCCAAATGCGGCAGTTTTGTTTGTTGACGTAGCCATTCAACCAGAAGTGCGCTTCGTCGCTAAACAAAATTCGCTTATGAAAATCGGGAACAACGGCAACCTCGTTTTAGGCTCATTCAACGAATCTACGCCTTGCTTGATGATCGTTTGGCTTCAATTCTTGGACGAGTTGGATTTTGTAAGCACGCAAACCAAGATCCTTCCGCAAAATCTTCCATAAAGTGGATGGAAACAGATCCAATTCCTGTGCTCGATGGCGGATGGACTCATTCGGGTCTTCCTCAATGCAGTAGCAATAGCTTCTTCTGTACGCACCGTCCGGCGTCTCTGGGGATGCGAGTTATCAATTAGAGTAAACGTGGTGCGAAAACGTTCCATGGTTAATCGAATTAACTGCTCTGATGGACGATTTTGTCGACGATAAAATGGACGTAGTGCGCGATACGTATTCCGCACAGAACCATTATTTTCGAAGTAAAACCGCACAATTTGCAAGCGATGTTCAGGCGTGAGTCTATTCATGATGAATTGTCAAACAAAACTGAGAATAAATCACTTGAGTGCTGTCAAATCGGTCGCCATCTTCAAAAGTAATGCCAACTTAAAGTTCTATACCTCGAAAAAAAAAAACACCCGTTAGAACTCACGTCGGTGAGAAGCAGTCCCCCATTTCTGTGAACCCTCATAGTTCGAGGTAATTATGATTTTTTTTACTTTGCCAGGGCGGTCTTAATCTCGTACAAATTGAAAGCCCAATCACTTCGTTCAAAAATTAAGGATAAAACTATCAGTAATTTCATTTGTGCCAATTTTGACATTCTTATGTAACACTAGAGTTATATTTTAACCATTTAGTTATCCTTTGTTTAGGTCAATATTGAATTCGTCAAAAGTAATTAATTTATCAACTTATTTAGTAGTAAAAAGAGAGAAATGCTTTGGATGTCTCATTGGTAGCATATATGTATATTGTTCTGTATCATAGTATACTGAGAATAATATAGTGTTATTGCTGTAGCTTTTGATTTTGGTTGTATATTTACTGAAATTTGAGTGAGCCATGCTCACGTGGTAAAATATTCCTGTTGTTCTCAAGTAACATTTTAATTGCCTTACTTATACGATGAGTGAGGACATGAAATATTTTACCTCCAGGTTCTTATGTTTTTACAAGTATCTGATTATTTTAATTTAGTTCAGGTTAATTTAAAAATTTTAGTATTGCTGGAGCAAACACGATTTCCCTTGCACACCGTGATTGAACAGCAGCCTTGTTTTAATTTTAGAATTTTGAATTGATGTGACCCAAGACTAAACGGTTCCATGTTAAATTTAAATTTTCAATTCTTGGAAGCAAATTAAAAGGAGGGATTATTAGTCAAATCGTTATTTCGGGTTATTTTCAACAAAACACCTGCCAAGGTGTTTTTTTTGCTTTTAGTTTTTACTGGAAACCATTTGACTGGGGAGACGGGAGGGGTAGTACCAAATAACTTTCTTTCTTTTGCTTGTCCTCCAGGACTTCTTTTAATTTTTTTTTCAATAGATGTTTGTGTATCTCCTTCAGCGCCAGAGACCCAACATTTGTTACTTGTTATTTATTTTCCTGGTTCTTGGAACTATACTAAGTGACATATAAATCCGAACACCCAGTTTAAATGGTTTTATTTTAATAAAATTTTGTATAAGTACTTAATGAAGCATAATAAGTAAGTGATAAAAATTTCAAAATGATTGCACTGCTTTAAAGCCCTTTGACCTTTAATAATGTGTGGATGCACCCTGATGTGCTACGCATTCTCCAACGCGCCTAGGCGTGCTTCTGATCAGGTGGTCAATGTCCTCCTGTGGTATCTCATTCCAGGCAACCACCAACTCCTCTCGAAGTGCTTCTAGAGTCTGAGGAATACGTTGCAAATTGAGCAATCTCCTACCCATCATATCCCACACGTGCTCAATTGGGGATAAGTCGGGAGATCTTGGTGGCCATGGTAACAATGTGACATCATTATGTTGAAAGAAGTCTATTGTGACTCTTGCAACATGTGGTCGGGCATTATCTTGTTGGAAATTTGGATCTGCCAGGGTGTCAAGATAGGGTAAAAGATGGGGTTCTAGAGCTTCGTGGATATAACGCTGCGCGTTCATGTTACCTCTGATGAAGATTAAAGGTGACCTGGAACCATAAGCTACAGCACCCCAAACCATAACTCCAACAGTGTGATGAACATGTCTTTCAACAAAAAACTGTGGATTCCTCCTTTCACCACGTCTTCTAACCCTGGCACGACCATCGTGCATGCCTAAACAAAATCGAGACTCGTCACTAAAGACAATACTGTTCCATTCCTGATCCCAGAGTGACCGTTGTCTGCACCACTCAAGGCGATTACGTCGGAGTTCTCGAGTTAAAGGGAGGACCCAGAGTGGCCGGTATGAAAACAAGCCAAAACTTCTCATTCGTCGGTAAACACTTCGCATGCCAATAGGTCTTCCGTGTTCTGCAAACCATTCATTTGCAATGGACCTGGTAGTGGAGAAACGGTCCCTTAAGGCCAATAATCTTAGGCGGCGATCTTCACGGTCTGTTGTTCTACGGCGGCGTCCAGTGCCCCTTGCTCTTTGCGTACGGCCTTCTCGAAGCCATGCCTGGCAACACCTAACCACAGACTTCTTTGCACTCTAACTGCAATTGCCCGAAAAGAAAGTCCAGCTTCTCGAAGTCCCACTATACGGCCCCTATCAAACTCACTAAGTTGACGAAATCGTACAGGTCTCCGTACTCTAGGCATCGTAACCGATCGTAAAGGATGTCAAGAACCAAAATCCGCCAACGTTGATTCTTTACTGCGGCTGAAATATTCATTTTTAGAGCGTTAGTGAAGTAAAAAAAAGCAGTATAAAAACCGGAATGTCCAACTGATAAGGCTGAAAATTTTTTCACTTGTTATTTACAGTAAGATAAATACATTCACCAACTTTTATTAAAATAAAACCATTTAAACTGGGTGTTCGGATTTATATGTCACTTAGTATATATGTATGTGGCGCCCAAACCACAACCATTTGTATCAGAAACCAAAGTACAAAGAACCACACTCTGAGGTCTCACCGACTGAGCACAGTTACATTCTTTTACCAAATTATAACTTCATATAGGCGGGATAACATCCGTCACACTTAAAATCTCAACGTATGTACGGAGATATCCTTTTCGATTGGTGGACTAATAAGAAATAGAAACTAAAAGATCTATTGTTTACACATCGGCAAAAACACATGACTCATGCCTTCCAACGTTCTTATCACATTCTTTGTCGACGCCCAGTGAAAAAAAAAATCAGCCACACAGACAGTGCTAAACTCTGGTTGGTCAACCCTACAACCAATACTAGTGTAGTTGTCAAGACTGATAAAGCGGATAGGTACGTGCTCGGTAGTTTTTTCGTAGTCAGAGGAGGTACTCTTCATTGGGAGTGGTTTTTGCATATTATGTAGTAGAAAAATAAAGGTTGTATTTGCATGAAATATTTGCTTGTTCAAGGTATTGTACTAGAAGAATAGAATAAAATGATGCTTTATTGGTGTGAACCGGTGAATAGGATACAAAACGTAAAAAAATTAAGATGTGATTAAAGTTTATGTGTAGTATAAAATGACTTATTTAGCAAAATGTTTTTTTTAAAAATCGAATCACCTGTGCAGGCCTAAAGGCCAGGACACCGCGGCTGCTTTGACGATCCCAGAGAAATTTTGTTAATCCGATTTTTGAACTGCCTAATGTCAGTAGAACTGGGAAAAGCCTCCTCTTGTATACCCTATTCGTAGTCCATTTACGCCCCAGCACAACAAAGATGCAGCGCGGCAAAGCGGCAGCCGCATATGCGTTCCAATAGCAATTGGTCATTCCGCCATAAAACTATGAACAAGTGCAGGATTCGACAGGATAGAACTCAGGCTCGGGATATCGCCGGATATATTTGATATTTCTCCCAATGCAAAACGTAACGAGAGGGGACATTTGAATATTCAGGCAAAAGAAATTGTCCTTACAGTTTATAAGAGCGAAATTTTAGAGCATCCTGAAATGAAAATTCGTGATATTGAAAGACGTGTGGTGAACAAAACAGACTTATGAAGTGACAGTGCTGTATCAAAATAATAAAAATACTGGTGGAAACATCTACCTTCATTAGGCTTGTGCCGTTCTTTGCAAATTATTTAAGAAGTACCATGTCTTGAAATCGTCTAACACCACAATTATCTGCAAACACTTGCACTTTTGAAAAATATCACTAAAAATACAAATTCAACGACACAACTGAGAAAAAATTGACCTATGCCAAGTGTACTTTGATCCTTACTACAAACTATGAGAGTTATGAGACAAACAAACCCTGGCTCCATCTACGTAGTCTCAATTCGTTGGTACTACCGAAAATTCCGTTATAAAATATCAATATTACCTGTGCGAGATCACTAGTGATAGATGTCAACGGATCCTTCCCATTAATAATCCTCTGCTCCAAGCTGGTGAGCCAAACAGATCTGCATTCGCTGAGATCAGGATTCGGCGGATACCATCTTGGCCTCCTGCCCGGTACCATCTGGCAATGCCACCTCGCGAACCCTGTTGTACCCCCTGGACACGGCTGGGTAGCCCTTGTGTTCGCTTTGGTCCAGTTCCAGTATATGCTGCGTACCGTCGTAGGTGCGCAGTGGTTCGGAAGGTCTATTGAGTCCCTTCCCCATGAAGGTTGGACGCTAGGCATTGACGTGTAGGATATCGTACCGTCAACTGAAATAAAAAGATAATTACAAGGTGTGGGACAAAGCTTTGGACTGTGCTGATTCTTTGGATTATTTCAGAGATGCTGGCGGTCCAAAGCATGAATTTAAGTGAGAAAACAGATTTTCAAAAAAACTAGTGAGTTTAAGCAAAAAAGTGAGTTAATTTTCTAAACAATTTAATATCATAATTGTAAATTTAAACGGATAATATAAATAAGTGTGTGTGAGGTAACGAGTATAACTTATAAGGTCTTTGTTACAATTTTATTGACGTAAGCAAAAATAATTATTTATATGTAAACATATAACAAATTCCTGTAAATACAGGAGACGAACTTATATCTATTAAGTATTCTTGCCCAATTGATAAGTCGAATTTTGATATAGTTATTATAGATACGTATTTTTTACACGATGGTGTGTACCTAATCATCAGACCGTAAGCGAGGTTCTATTCGATGTGGGTTCCCATGATCACTTCTTAGCTTCATCATCAGATTATCTCATACTTATATTGTAATGTCAACTGTCATATTAGACGTCCGTCATATTGGATTAGAATGACGCCACTTTGCTTACGGTGTTTATTTTATCATTCCCTTTCATTTGATATCTCTAACATCTGGGTGACTATGGAATTTGTAAATCGATATTTTGCGGCTGTCGCCATATTGGAATGACGTCACGCTGCTTATTGTATCTCTCTCACCAAGCCGTTTCAGGCGTTAACCATATCATAGGCAGCAGCGGTGGCCGCAGTGTCAGACTCTTCGGTCTCCTGATCAGTCGCCGTGCGCTGCGCGGGTTCGTATTGTAATGTCAATTGTCATATTAAAGATCCGTCATATTGGATTAGAATGACGTCACTTTGCTTATTGTGTTTATTCTATCATTCCCTTTCATTTGATATCTCTAATATGGGGGTGACTATGGAAAATGTAAATCAATATTTTGTGGCGGCCACCATATTGGATCTGGAATGACGTCACGCTGCTTACTGTATCTCTCTCATCAAGCCGTTTCAGGCGTTAACCATATCATAGGCAGCAGCGGTGGCTGCAGTGGCAGACTCTTCGGTCTCCTGATCAGTCGCCGTCCGCTGCACGGGTTTGTATTGTAATGTCAATTGTCATATTAAACATTCGTCATATTGGATTAGAATGACGTCACTTTGCTTATTGTGTTTATTTCATCATTCCCTTTCATTTGATATCTCTAATATCGGTGTGACTATGGAAATTGTAAATCGATATTTTGCAGCGGCCGCCATATGGGATCTAGAATGACGTCATGCTGCTAACTGTACCTCTCTCATCGAGCCGTTTCAGGCGTTAACCATATCATAGGCAGCAGCGGTGGCCGCAGTGTCAGACTCTTCGGTCTCCTGATCAGTCGCCGTGTGCTGCGCGGGTTCGTATTGTAATGTCAATTGTCATATTAAAGATTCGTCATATTGGATTAGAATGACGTCACTTTGCTTATTGTGTTTATTCTATCATTCCCTTTCATTTGATATCTCTAGTATCGGGGTGACTATGGAAATTGTAAATCGATATTTTGCGGCGGCCACCGTATTGGATCTGGAATGACGTCACGCTGCTTACTGTATCTCTCTCATCAAGCCGTTTCAGCGTTAACCATATCACAGGCAGCAGTTTTGGCCGCAGTGTCAGACTCTTCGGTCTCCTAAACCTGCGCGGGTTCGAATCCCTTACCAAGAGAAACTTTTCTCTTGGCTATGGATGTTGTGATTATCTGTAGGTGGTAGACGGTCTCTGACTGTCGAACGCGGACGTACCACCCGGCGGATCTCATAGGCAAGGCCAGAATGTGTGCATGTTGCATGCATACGTGTTCCCTCGCCAGAGTCCATGCGGCGTCCCCCCTTTCCCCTGTTTCCCCCTATAGCACCACGGTACTCCATGGGTGTTTAGGCCCTAGGCCTTCGTGGTAGTTGGAGTATAAAAAAATAGGGATAGCTACAGCAGTTATAAACGCCATCTTGCGGTGATCGACATATTTGATTTGATTTGAAATGACACTGCTATTGTGATTCTCTCAAGCCCTTTCATCTGATGCCCATATTATAGAGGTGACTATGGAAATTATAAATCGCCAAATTGCGGCTTCCGTCATATTGGATTTAGAATGACGTCACTTCGTTTATTGTGTTTTTCTCATCAAGCACTTTCATATCATACCTATCATATTATGATGAAAAGGATGAATCGCCATTATGTATTGTCACACGAACCAGATAGGCATACAAAATTTCAGCTCGATTGGTTAAGGTTCCTCCTTCGAAATCGTTCATAAACTACAATATGTACAGCGAAAGCGAAAATAGTGAGAAAAGTGAATGTTTTCAATGAAAAGTGAGATAAATCAAAAAAAGTGAGAAACAGTGAGTCGCCAGCATCTCTGCAATTCATATTATTCAATACAAGCGTGTTTTTTTTCTTTAAAAAAATTGTATACTTCAAATTTTACCCTCCATTTGGGATTCGCCGCAAATGGGTGTCTCCGCTATTCAATTCAACTTACAGGCTGATTTGCTCTCCTCCCTGGACGCAACAGTGGTAAATGGCAACGTTGTAATCTCCTCCGGTATATCCCTGACATCATCCTCTGCCTCAACAGGACTTGGAGGCTTCGTGGCAGCTGGAACGGGTATTGGAGAAGCCTGGGGTGGTTGAGGCGACGAAGAGGCTGGCCTAGCAGGTTGATGAGGTTGTTTGGCAGACTGCTGCCCCTGATTACCCCCAACGGGTGTAGCAGGATGGGGCTGAGAAGCTGACCTGGGGGTGCTCCACATGGGGGGCTGGGAAGTGATTAGCCACGGGGGGCTTGGACGAGTTGTCGTTGTTGTTGTTGTGGCTAAAGGGTGCATTCAAAACGTTAATATTAAAGTATACAGATTATGAATAGTAGGGTACAACCAGTTTCTTCGTGCGTTTGTCTCCCTCTACGAGGCAGCCAGAGTTCGACTGGGGGTCACAACTATACACAGTCCTTGACGATTAAGTGACTTTTAGGAATGATCTCCCCTCGTAAAAGAAACAATAATGCTTCATTAAGGAACGGGACGATTTATATTTTGAAAATATTTAAAATTTGCACTACTTTCGACATTTTCAAAATTTTTATAGTATCAGTTTCGAAAATATTTGCAATATTATCAAAAGATTTTGGAAACATAAAAGTTATCGATATTTGCGTCAGCGCTCACTACCTTCTGTACGCTTTAGGGAAAAGCGGTTCCCACAACTTTTCCACAAACTACACGTCTTTTTCAGAGACGGACAGTCTCGGCAACGCGGTCGCTCCAGCCAAAGTCGATTTGCACATTGATTGATGCTTAATCTAACTATTAACGGCAGTTACAACTACCAGGCTGCTTCGCGGTCAATAGGGAAAGACGTAGGAAGAAACTGGCTGATGTCAGGGTGACTTTACTACTCGTGAGTCTGTATACTTTATTAATAGCCCAGCAGTGAATGAGTTTAGGAGCGACAAAATTGTAAAATAATGAAATATGACAAGGAGATATTTAAATGTCTCTAAATTCCCCACTTACTGGACTATTACTCTCAATTTTCATCTCTATGACGCCAGGGACACATTAAAAAAATCAACCACGAACAAGATACTCAAAATTTATCTGCTTTCACTTACCTGCATACAACAGATAGTTAACGAAAAATTACGTAACTGATTTATTAGAATTATAAACTAACCATTACCTAAGATAAGATAGTTGTAAAGAAACCAAGGAAGCACAACACCTTACAAATTTACTACATTCAAGTCTGCAGTAACTTGGGTCATTTCAGTCATACAGAACATTAAAACTATACCGGGTGTCAGGGAAATTTAAAGACAGATTGAGAACGTTAAAATATAGAAATTACTTACAAAACCCCACTGTAGAGAATAGACAAGCCGACGTCGAGTCCAGAAACAAATATAACGAAACGGTCCGCAATACCAAAGACCAGCACGATTTAAGAATTAGGCACAGGGTGATGCCGCAGCGCAATGGCAGTCGGTACTCTCTGGACGCTGGCCAAGCAGATTCCACCACTTACGTGTCAGGATGGAACGATTGTAACCGACTCAAAGGCTAAGGCGGATTGCTTGCCAGGATCTTTGCTGCTTACTCCACCATGGGCGTTCCCCCCAACGCCCGAGTGCGGTCGATCCCTACATTCTTTAGCGTCTCTTCCGGATATCTTACATTTGCTAATGTCCAGCCCATTACAAAAAAGGACCTAAGACCGACCTTTACAACTATAGGCCTATAGCTCTGATTTCTGTTATAAGTAAGGTGTTGAAGAGGTGCATGAATCGCGAGCTTCTGGACTTACCATCGAACTTGATTAGCGACAGGCAGTATGGTTTCCGGCACCGGTGATCCACACGAGTTCTAGCTTACGTCACGCAATTGTGGAGTAAGTTCATCCAGTCGTATGGAGGTATTAAAGAACTTGTTTGGACTTAATACAGTATTTTTGGGGATTTAAAAGATTGAGATGTCAAATAATCTCCACAGTTTGTTGTTTATGCAAGAACGTGGATGAAAACAGTATTATCCTGTATTTTTGGAAAAAAAAAATAGAAGGTCAATAGTTGAATATTAAAAGTATTGCGATCAAAACAAATCAATGTCATGGTAATTTTTCAAAAAATAATCGATAACATTATCCGTATCTACGTACATTTAGGGTCTGAAAATAACTGTAAATGATGTGATATTCACCACAGGGCATACCTAATTAAAATGAAATACGTTCCATTCTTTTATAATTATTTAGAACATCATCATTTCTTTTAGTGCTAATATGCTCTAGCTTGAAAACAAAGCCGTTGCGGAGCCATGTGCATTTGGAAATTTTGTCTTCAAATTGACCAAGGATTCGATGGTTAAAGTTTGTCTACATACTTTATTAACATCGTGTATATATGGGTTACATAATTATGCTCGGTTCTTTGATACGGTGTAAAACTCTAAGGGGGTAAAGTGGGAATTCACACTTTTCTATTTTTTGTAGAGAATTTAGAATATTTCAAATTAATCCAGCCTGAAGGTATATTTTTAATAATAATTATTATTATCTAAAAGTTTCAGATATTATATCCTCAAGATGGGGTAGGAGGGGTTTGAATGTTTCTATCGGGAACCTTATAACTTTTCAATTCATCTCGAACACTATTTGACGTATGAACATGAAATTTGGCAGAAGTTGGATCAAGATATATACAAATGTGAAAAGATACTCGTACATTAGTCACGACATCTGGAAAACTATTTAATCTATTAAACTATTTTTCTTTTTTATTAAGTTTGTTCAAAAAACCTGAATAAAATATTTTTCCGAGCAACTGAAGATTGTTCCTGGACTATTAATGCAGGTAATGAATGGGTGATCGCATCCAAATGCCAGGTAGCATTTCAGTCTATACTATAACTATCTAAAACTGTAATGACTCATCGATGTTCACGTGAACATCACTTAACTACCAGTAGTCGGCTGTTCATAGGCGGGGTATGAATGTTTAACATGGGTGAACTAGATTTGTCACATGCTTAATAAAGAGTGGTTTGAAACATATTGTAAGTCAAAAATTTGGGAATTACCTTTATTCATCGTCGCTTCCACTTACATCTGACAGTAATAAGCTGTCGCTATCGCTTTCCTCGTTGAAATTGACTATAACTGGCTCTATGATGGTGTCGATGTGGTGGTCAAGCTGCCACATTTTTGTTTCTCTCGAAGCAGCTGGCATTCATTTCGTCATGGTAATCACCTCCTTTCTTAGAGACGAAAATCAAGTCACACTCTTCTAAAAAGCCACTATCGCTACCAATATGAGTTACGATCAATCTTTGACCTATCTCTGACGGTCCACGAAGACCTGTTGACAAACCTTCAATGCTTGCTTGTCGGTTACTCACTACGTTTTTGTCTATCCAGGTTTTTTTAACTGTGTGACCTGCATTTACCCATGTCTCGTCCAAATAATAGATTTTTCTGCTTTGTCGCCTATAGTCAATCATTTCGCGTAGGTATTTTCGACGCCAGGCGACTATTTCAGGTCTCTCTATCTGACTTCCGATTACGCGTTTCGTAACGAAAATTAATTTCGTGCAGGGATTTCCTCATTACCTCGACGCTCATTTGGGGTATAATTTCATTTTCCTTGATCGCTGCATGTACAGCCTTGAGGGTTGGTATCTCATTCCTAAAGAAGAATGAATGTACGGTTCGCCTTAACGCCATTTTGCTATCGTCATCCAATTTAACGGCCTTTCGTCCCTTCAAATCAAACTTTGGATCAGTAGTAGCTCCAGTTTTCTTCTTTTCATGCACCACCCTGCGAATGGTCCACTCTGGAACGTCTGTCATACTTTCACAACGCGCGAGTGCATCTCCCTGCGACATAGTTCTGTTCAGATAATTGAACACGTTGAGCACGATTTCTTTCGCGTCCCTCTTCAGTGCTTTACGAAGGCGTCTACTTGTTCCCTGGCTTTCAGTACTTCCACTCGTGCCATTTGTACTCTCCATGGTCAAGTATAACCAAAACAGTAACCACAGAAACCACAACAATAACAACCACACAACAATTCTTATAAAAACACACAATATGCGATCGCTCAACGAAACACGTTCCAATGCGTTGCCGACGCCTATGAGTCTGCCGGTCGAGGCGCGTCTTTGATTTCATTGGTTCTACCGGCGGAGAACAATCAGCCATTATTTCCACCTCTGTCTGTGCTGTTGACCACCGCAAAGCCACAGAAACGACATATGTCGTACGCTATACGGCTGTACTGGAAGGAAGCCGGGATCGAGCTCTGATCACGTGTTGATCACGCGTATGAGTCATAGCAGTTTTAAATAGTTGTAGTATAGGCGGCAGAATCTGTTTTTTTTCGACGTGGTAGTTCTACTCTGTATTATTTGATTACAATTTATAACACATTTAACACCTTTGCTCCAAAAGACCGTAGTTTATTACACCACGAAATATCGCGTTCGTATTTTTATGGTGCATCTCTCGACTGAAATGACTTCCAAGTTCCTAGCCTACTCCAATATTAAAATAAAGGTAACTAAATACGGTGCATGCAAAGTGAAATATATTCAGAACTTACCAGGTATACACTGATAGTGAGCTTCAAGATATTTGTGTGTCCCAACGCAAGGGTCACCAAACATGCTTGTACTAGCTGGTATACTGCAGTTTTGGTTTTGTGTGCACCTATATATCATTATTTATTTAAACACTTATACTTACTATGTCTTTATATCCAACTCTTTTCACAATCGGTTAAGTTTGAGCGCCAACTATGAACAATTCACGTATCAATGGGATTAAAACTAAGGGGTCTGATCACCCGATTCTAATTTCGACCCTCAAAACATACTGGTGTCCCTCGTAGAACTCGAAAAGTTGACGTTAGGCAAATATAAATGGCTAAAATATTTTCAAATTGTGGAAATTTCGATAGTATCGCTAGTAAATACCTACTTTGGTATTTCAAATCCCTGTATACAACATCGTCTCAAAATTTACCTGAATAATTTTTTTCCGTATCAGGGACACTATCCTGATTAGAATTTATTCCAAATTTAGTAAACAATTAATACCGGGTGGACAAAAAATATGCAAACAAAAACATTTAAAAAAAGCCAAAAAGCCTCATCGTATCAAGCATTGAAAATAAATTTAATTTTGTATAAAGTTGTCAACTTCGCAAATCAGCATTTTCCGATATTCAGAAATATTCGTGTATGCTATGCTGAGATTCTGTGATAGTATTCAAATATCAAGGAAACTACTGACATACGAAATAGATCTTATACAAAAATAACATTATTTTATATAGAAAAAAATGGTTCCCGCTTGGAAAAATCGACTTCTATCTAAAATTCTATTTTCATTTTCTTTCGTTTGGCCACACTGTATTATTTATGATCTAAATATTGAATGAAGTCTATTAAAGTTGGTCCCCTGCTATGAGGAAACCTAGACTAATCATATCAGCAAATTTCCCCGAAATAATTGTAGTCTACTTTTTTCTGCAAGTTGTTCAAGGGGATATTTAAAATATGGACGCATTAAATGGGTACACCAATTTTTGTGGCAAAACTTTTTATTTGACAACAAAGAATGAGAAAACGTGTTTTTTTTTTGGATTCAATCGAAAGTGTTGACAAGAACAAAAAACTTTTCATATTAAGATTTTTAGGTATTTATGAGACCTATAAAATGAGACCACACGTAGAAAGATCCGACTAATAACAAAAATGTTGTGCCCAAAAAACGAGGCAAATTGCAGGTTTTGGCACTTGTTGGTAATGCGACGATAATTTCACGCAACTACTTGAAATTATTCAAATCCGTAAGATTCTTACTTTTAAATAACAACAACAAAATTGGATTATATTGGTCAGGTAGTTTTTTGAGAATTTCTAATTGTTTATCCCAAGACACCTGTTTTTCGGCTGACCACCAGTTTATTGAGCAATACACGTGTTTGCCTTCCCCATATGAATCACAAATCATTCCGAAAGATAAATGTTATTTTTATGCGAAAAAGGAAGGTTACGTTTTTTTCTTCTAAACAAATTCAAACATTTCGTATTTGTGAGTAATTGAACACATGCGCTAAGATATTCTAAAAACATTTACTATACACATTTTAAAACAAAGCGGATGTGTATCAACTCTTGTTGCGAATTACTCACAAAATCGAAATGTTTGAATTTGTTTAGAAGAAAAAACGTTACCCATAATTTTTTGCACAAAAATAACATTTATCTTCCGAAATGGTTTGCGATTCATATCGGCAAGGTAAACTAGAGTATTTGCTATAAAATGTCATTTGAACTAACCCTGTATATTGCTCAATAAACTTGTAGTGATGGCCGGAAAACAGGTGTTTTTGGATAAACAATTAGACATTCTCAAAAACTAGTTGACCGATCTACTAAAATTTTGTTGCGGTTATTTAGAAGCACAAATCAACGAATTTGGAGAATTTCAAATATCTGCGAGAAACCATCGTCGCATTACCAACAAGTGCCAAAACCTGCAGTTTGCTTCGGTTTTCGGCCATAACTTTTTTGCTATTAGTCGGATCATTTTACGTGTGGTCTCCATTTGTAGGTCTCTAGGAATCTTATATGAAGAGTTTTTTCGGTCCTGCCAACACTTTCAATTGAATTATTTGTTGTCGAATAAAAAGTTTTCCCACAAAAATTGGTGTACCTACCCATTTTATGCGTCCATGTTTTGAATACCCCATTGAACAACTTGCAGCAATAAACCAAACTTTACAATTATTTCGCAAATCATTTTCGTCTAATATGATTGGACTAACCGTTAAAAAATACGGGAGAAATTAATATGATTTATCGGCTGTATTTGTGATTTTTTACGAAGCGTTTGATTTATCTCAATAATTGTTGTTACATATGAAATGTCGGAATCTCGGGTAGAATTCAAAACTGGAATAAAATATATATAAAATAAGCAAGTTGGTACCTCGGCACAACCGAAAGTGCCACTATTTATCCGATTTATACCATAAACCCAAATTTTCATAATTGTCTAACGTCAACTTTTGAAGCAATTGATCGCCACAGTTTTACACACTCCTTTTTTCCTTTTGTGAAAGTCAAATATTAAAACGTGACCCCCTCTAACGGATAGACTTTTGCTTTCGATAAATCAGGTCCAATCGACATATTTTGAGTCTAAAAATACGTGGTACTTGAATGTTCACGGAAAATTGAGACACCCTGTAGAAATCAATTATGGGGTGTCAAAATGATTATGACGGATTATATGTATAATATGTGGCGGTCCTGTCAAGGTGACATCGAAATTAATTTCAAGAGTCAAAGTCAGGTAATCAGGCAGCAGAAAAAATGAAGGTTCACATAATGCCTTCCAATAAATTGTTCATAGTTGCGATTTAAGTAGACCGAATGTTAAAGAGATACAGATAATAGAGAATTAAAGAAAAATCAATTCCGAAATATGCTTCCTCGTTTCTGACAATATTGTAATCACCATACTCAAAAAATTACCATTATCACATTCATAATGTGCTTCAATGTATTTACTGGTGCCTGGACATGGATCACCAAATAATTCATTGTTGACATCAACTGTGCATTTTTGCTTAAAGGAGCAGCTGAAAATATAAATATATGCTTCTAGTGCATTGATTATGTATTGTTGTATTGTTATTTACAGACCAAAATGGCAAAACGCTTTGTTAGGTAAACACAGCACAAACGGTTGTTATTCAACAGAAGCATATTTTTCCCAAGCAGTGATAACATGTAAATAACAAAGGCATTCTGGCTGAAATACAATTTCCCTGGATAATCCTAGAATATAATTTATTCCTCATTTCCCACATATTTGTTTTAAGGACAACATACATACAGACTTGTCGAAAATATAACCTCACTTTTATAAATCTGTTGTCATAACACAAATTTTCTGTGACCCTGGATAGTGTGGATGACATGCAGAACATGGATAATTGTCAAAATTTTAACCAGCCGGTTATAATTTACATTTAAACTCTTCGGTTAGAAATAACAGTTACTAAATAAGTAGCTTTCGTCCTGTCCGCCCGACCAAAGGCAGCCAACCATGGACAGCTATTTGGAGCTTTTTAGAAACTCATCAGCATGATCTAGGCTTGGTCTCTGGGACAACGAACGGAAGCAGAGCGACTATCTTCTATGCGAGGAATGATATGCGTTGAAATAACACAGCGGAAAGTGCTATCTATTACCAGAATCGACCATTGTCAGTAGACCAGATCTACTATACAGCCAGAATCGCCTGCGCTGCCTTATTTCAACAAAATTACCGAATAGGCCTCATAGGCTACTTCCTTTTCACAGATTTTGAGCTTAGGAAACTTTTGAAGCAGTAGATTAAGTGATGAGACTGATACTTTTTTTTAATATAATTACAATTTTCTATTGTCACCCTCAAAATAACTTTCTTCTGAAGCCATACAGAGCTGGAGACGGTTCTCCACTCCTCATAGCAATGCTGGAACTGTTCCATTTTTCAACTTCGGGAAGAGAAAAACGTCACTGGCTTGTTGACATTGCTGTGTGACAGTGATGCAACACCCAGTTGTTCCCGATCTGATGAACGGTGGTGTGGGTCAAATTTAACTCTTCCCTGACCATCCTGACTGTCAAACTAAGATCTGAACGCTCAATATCCCGGATTCGGTTGATATTTTCATCGTTGTTGAAGATGAAGGCCTTCCGCTTCGTGGTTCATCTTCAATCGACTTTCTCCCTTCTGAAAACCACCAAAAAACCTGGGCTCTTGACAAAACACTATCTCCGTAGGCCTGTGTAGCAAGAGTTTCCATTGCTCTGTGCCCAAGTCTGAAGCAAAACTTGATAGCACAAAGTTTCTTGAAATTGATGTCACTCATTTTAAGAACACAATAGAAAAAACTGTTTCACAACCAAATGATTTCAGCGAGTTCAAATTTGAACTGAAGGCGGATCACATGATCCCCTGTCTTCCCTCCAAGCCCTATGAAAAAGAATTTCAGTTAAATGGCTGTCGCGGCTGGCCTGGCAGCAGTCCATCCTCTTAACCCAATTTTGAAGCACATTTTCGATAGTTTGTGAGTCTATTTCATCCATATCTCGACGGATATTTTCCTTAAGAATATCAATTGTTTGAGGATCGTTAGTGTAATAGCGGTCCTTAACAGTACCCCCATGGGCGTCAAATCACAGCTGCGAGCTGGCCAATGAACGTCTCCAAAACGGCTGATAATGCGATGACCGAACTTAGTGTGTAAAAGATCGATTATTTCACGGCTGGTGTGGCATGTTGCGCCATCCTGCTGGAACCATAGATTGTGCAAGTGCATGTCGTCTAATAGTGGCCACAAAAAACTCCTCAACATGTCTCTATAGTGTTTCCTGTTTACCGTCACGCTGTTACCATCTTCATCTTGAAAAAAGTAGGGACCAATAATAATAACACCACTCCAAACAGTTACTCTTTTTGGATGCATTGATTTTTCTATGACATGTGGATTTTCAGAACCCTAAATCCTACAGTTCTGCTTGTTAACGTAACCTCCCAGATGGAAATGGGCTTCGTCCGAAAAGATGATTTGGCGACCAAAATTGACGTTCGTTTCCAATCGATTTAGAGCCTACATAGAGAAACGATATTGAAGCGGATGGTCATTGTGTTTTAACTCTTGCACAAGTTGCACCTTGTAAGGAAATAATCCCAGGTCGTTATGCAATATTCTCCGCACAGAAGTGCGACTGATGCCCACTTGTTGTGCTCTGTGACGAGTCGACATACTTGTGTTTTCACTCACACTCTGGGCAACAGAGGCAATGTTTTCCAGTGTACGTGTTATCCACAAGCAGGAAAAATACACGAACCTTCTTCACGAATTTTTGTATACCAGTCCGTATACCAGGGAGCTTCATTCCGACCAAATAGTCTTTTCAATTCTCGCAAAGTTTCTGCAACACAGCACTCACTTTGAAAATAGTTTTTCAATATTTCCCACCTTTGTTCAAGATTAAAACGATCCATTGCTCACAGCGGAAGCTTGACACAATATATCTGTCAATATGTTGAGCATGGAAGTGTTACCAAGTGTCAAAATAATACAAACTTAAAAAAACCAACTGATGGCCCACCCTTTATATCCACGATTTTACTTCAACAGGAGGTATGAGCAAAATAAAACATTTGAGAATGAGAGAGCATTGTTTGGAGGTGCTGAATTGAAACATCTTTCTTTTTAAGCCTTTGAATCAAGTTCAAATTCCGCATCCGACGGCAGATTGACACTAAAACCTACTTGGAGCGATCTACTTTGGTTCCACGGAACTTCCGGGATTTTTCGATGATCATATTCAGCGACCCAAAATGTTCAATTAACACAAGTAACCGCAGCAAATAACACATGGACTAATATAGATAAGATAAAGAGGTGATTCAAAAAGTACACAGAGTGCAAGGACAATTGGTTACAGCAGTGTTGCATAGTGTTCGTAAAAATTAAGGAATCCAATATAGATAACTGAAAAACATCCGACACAAAACAAGTTCGTCATTAATAATAATAGATATAAGAATATAAAGTAAATAATTACGAGGGTCGTTTCAAAAGTAAGGTTCCCAAAGCTGCAACTTTGCCGCGCGTGATGCTAGGCGAAATCTGGCAACACCGTCGTGTTTGGCGGCTCCCCCACCACCGATCCCAACAAGGAGCGCCTATTGGCGACGCCATGCGCAATGGAGCGGTTCATCGCCGTCACCGCCAGGTAAGAAATTCCTGCGGTGATCCAATTTTTGCACGCAAAAAAAGTTACCACTCCTAGAAATTCATCACCAGTTAAGTGAAGTATACTGAGTGACAAAAAAAAGGTAAACACCTACGTATGTTCATTAGAATTCCAGAATTTTTTTCATATCGATTTATCGTGCCATGAACAACAAGTGATAAAATGGTCAGGTTTTTATGTTGGCTGCGTGTATTGTTTGGTGATAAAGAAGCATTCAGCGAGGTGTTCTGGATGTCCCAGAGGGACCACAGAGCGACAAGAAGGTTAAAGCTTCTGGTTCTGAGAGACATATTCAGTAGTACTCGAGCCATCGCTAATCAGTGGTTTGAAGAGCATGGGTTAGTATGCGTACGGTATATCGCCGAATACGACAGTTTGGCCTTTTTTCTTATCGGCCACATTGGGTGCTTATTCCATACCTAAACACCATCCAAAACCAGATTTTTCAGCAAGACAAGGCCACACCGCATGCTGACAGAGCATCGTTAGTCTTCATGGATCAACATCGCATCAACCGTTCACCTTGGCCACCACGATCGCCTGACCTATCTCCAATTGAACATGTCTGGGACATGATAGGTCGCAGGGTCTTAAATTTGCAACACGTCCAAAAAATGCGTAGCAAAAAATTGCTACTATGGAGAAAGATAGCTTAAAGAACAACGTTTCCAATGGCGAATTCGTTTTTTCAAATAAAAATTCGTTGTGCCTGAAAAAAACGTGGGAACCTTATTTTTGAGACATCCCTCGTAGTTTTGTCAATTATGGTGTAAGTGGCCAAATAAAAGTTGTAATGTTCGAGCCTCAATAGACCATAGAGTGGTAGCAGAGGTTTGCATAATGATCTGCTGCTCAGTGTGAACCCAACAGTTCGTGCAATTCCTTTTATAAGAGTACAATTTTGATAGCTCGAAATGAAAACGTACGCTATTGTATTATTAGATATCTATGTACGTATTAGCAAATACGTTATACAGCAAAATCTAATCTGAAGAATGCATCAGAGATCGAACAATAATGCACTATGACTCTGCTACTTTCTCTTTTATTCGTTATTATCCATAAAGAATCGATTTTACAACATCATCCTTCGGATCAATTTCACTTTGAGATTGCTTTGGTGTCCATAAATGTTCATAAAATGTTACTAGGTTTGCAAGTAAATTGCTTGATCAAAATGAATAGCGTTTGGAAATCATCTATAAGTGAACTAAAATTAAAATTTCTGGGTGTGACCCGAAAAATCTAAATATCTAAAATACTAAAGCGTTGTGTAACCGAATTTTGTATGTAAAATTGGGACCATCCGGTATTCCCAGCAGTCCCAGTGTTCCCAGAGTCTACGCACCTGATTTACCCATAAAAGTTTTAATCTGGATCACAGGTGTGCAAGGATTTTTGAAAATGCATCTCGGAGGAGGTTGCAAATTGAGCAATCTCCTACCCATCATATCCCACACGTGCTCAATTGGGGATAAGTCGGGAGATCTTGGTGGCCATGGTAACCATGTGACATCATTATGTTGAAAGAAGTCTATTGTGACTCTTGCAACATGTGGTCGGGCATTATCTTGTTGGAAAGTTGGATCTGCCAGGGTGTCAAGATAGGGTAAAAGATAGGGTTCTAGAACTTCGTGGATATAACGCTGCGCATTCATGTTACCTCTGATGAAGATTAAAGGTGACCTGGAACCATAAGCTATAGCACCCCAAACCATAACACTCCAACAGTGTGATGAACATGTCTTTCAACAAAAAACTGTGGATTCCTCCTTTCACCACGTCGCCTTCTAACCCTGGCACGACCATCGTGCATGCCTAA